GCAATAATCGATGAGTGAAACTCTATTCTAGGGCTGTTTCGAGCTGAGATGTTGTACAGCTCTTTCGCTTCCCTGCTTCCATCTTTTGATTCTAGAATAATGAGGTGATGCAGAAGTCCGGATCCACTGACTTTCCGTTAGTAATTAACTTACTCAGGGCCGTCACGGGTCACTCACATTCGCAAAACCAGTTGGGCCATCTAAGTCCAGGGTCTAGATCTCATATTTGCCATACATGCTCCAACGAAGTGCATACGTCACTTCGATTGTACGTGAGCTGCGTGAATAAAACAGCATGAGAAACGTGAGATGCAACGGGAAAATTCCCAATTTCCGAACCGATGATCTGCACCTTCTTAGCTATCGGAGGACCCGTGAATGGCATGCCTTTTAGGCGTGCGTAGAACAGGAGAAATGTTGCTGCGTGCATGGATTCATTCAGAGAACGGAGCTCCTTTGGGTCTGCAGCATGTGTTTAGCAACCATCCGGGTCGACTTCCAGACCATCAGCAGTTCTTCATTAAGCTCTGGAAGTAAGGAATTTCCCAAAGAGGGGTTTATACTCTCTGTTCCAGCAAGACCGTCACATGTAAGTGCCTCGCCGCTTGCCGCTTTTTGTGCTCATGAAGCTGACATCTACAGCAACCTGTTCACAGCCCTCGACTCAGACACCGTACCTATGACGCTCTACATCAAATATAAGCTCCGTGTTCTATGGCTAACGTAACCGATTATAGCATAGCACTATACGGCGCCATCTCGCTGACCGGTACTACAACTCATCGGTTATCCGACCTCAGATCATCGAGATGATAGACGAGCGGGCAGAAGCCTTTGGGGCGGTGTGTGCAGCATCAGATACGGCAGACATCTACGTGAGATACCCGAGGTCACCCGCATGAACGTGGTTGCTGACTGTGCGTTGAAATATTAGTTTTACCTGCATGCATACGCTCTCGATTGTGTGACTGGGATGTTGTTTGATTCTCACACAACAGATTCACTTGTCGACGCTGGTGACCAGCAGATGGTCAAGCTGCTATCCTATGCCAAAACCCGAGAAGGTAGATTTTCATCAAATGCGCTTTAGAGTCAAGAAACTCTTTGGGATGCGTTCTTGACACTAACAAGTCTCGCAATCACCTTCTTGCACCATTATCTGCCCCTACTATCACCACTCTGGAAGGCCCTGTTCCCGAAGCTGGTCGACTGGAATAAGGTGGCAACTTTTTGCGAAAGTTTGTGCAAGACTCGTTGGAAACGGGAGACCACCCTGACTTCACCGTCGCACGAAAGCTTCTAGAATCGAGCCATGTAAGCAGGCCCCTGGCAGAAGCTGAATGCCTCGACCACATTGGCGCTGGGATCGAAACTACAGGCGACACCTTGCGTTGGCTCATTTGGGAACTCTCTCAGCCCCAACACGAGGGAAGAGTTCAAAAACTTCACAACGAGCTCGTCGAAGTATGGAATGACCGGCCTCTTCACGATCTGCCCTATCTCAACGCTGTCGTTCATGAGGGCTTGCGTTTATTTGCCCCAGGAACGATGTCGCTTCCACGTTACGCGTCAAAACAAGGTGCCTTCATTGATAGATATCTCATCCCCAAGAATACGATCGTGGCGTGTAACTCATTTAGCATGCATCGCCTGGATGAGAGCACGTTCCCGGACGCATGCCAATTCGTTCCCGAGAGATGGTTGGATTCGGAAGACAACACTGATCGACAACGTTTATTTTTTGCCTTTGGGCTTGGTCCGCGGACTTGCATTGGGCGGCAGTAAGCTTCAATATTTGATCCACGTTGAGTTATAGGTTCTTGGTCAAGGGGTGAATCGCTAACGCAATGTGCGCTTTGTAGTCTTGCTATGGCTGAGATGAGAGCTTGCTTGAATGCAGTCTACTCTAAGTATCGTACGAGACCTTCACCGGATATGCGGTCGAGTATGGAGATGGATGATCAAGTTCTAACATCCCGTCCTCGAGATCTGTGCTGCAAGACACAGTTCGTACCTTGGGGCCTGGAGGCGTGATTCTCCAGAGTGCCTTGATCACACGCCGTTGGAGACCACTGGCATCTGTTGCTTGGCAATCGGGCTGGCACAAGTAGAGAGACTTAGAATATGAGCCCTGATTTCGCGTGTACACTCAACTTCCAGAGATCTTCTCAACATTGGAAGGGTGGCCGAGTTGGTTATGGCGCCAGGTTAAGGCCAGCTTAACATCTATTTCCTGGTGGGGCAACCCGCGCGAGTTCGAGTCTCGTCCCTTTCAAGATCGACTTTTTGCATGTCGTGGAGAGACCGATATCCATTTTCCAAGAATTTTTTGGTGTGGATTTGGCGAAAATCGGTGAGCTCCGCCGATGCGTCTTTTTTGAGGTACGTACCTCGAGAATTGAGTTCCGTCTGCAGAAATTGTTAGTGCAACGGAACGGACCAGTAGATGGGGCAGAAACGGCTCAGAGTGGAGGCCTTCGGATACGAGGGACCTGTGAGAACTTTGCACGGGTGGGGCCGTCACCGACGATGTGCCGTGGACCAACCAGGGACGGTATTTCGTCGTGCACAGGCCACTTTCTCGCCCGATTCATCCCCGATTGTGGGTCCGGGCCTGGATTGATGTTTGCCCCATTCCGGACGTCCTCCGACCGGTCTTCCCAGCTGCTGTCGACTTGTCTCCACGCAGATGTTACACTCGCTGAAATTGTTGGAACGCGCCATCATTTCATGAAGATTGCGCTGCTGCAGCCTTAGCTTCGGGGGGCAACGGGGGACCCAAGCGACCCAAGGTCCTCAAAATACAGGAGCGATGGATGCTGCAGGCATGTGCGCACTGCGCAGCGCTGCCTAGCGCTGTACGGAGTAGTCCACTGTCCACTGTCTACTGTCCACTGGTCCAGAGGTGCAATGTACCGAGATGAAACGCGGCATTTTGCACTGAATACTGGGACTGACGAAGACATCAAGTCAAAGAGACATGTCGGAGTGGCAGAGCAATTGTCGAGACTCGACAGTTGTTGGGCACTGGCGGTCCTGTTCTTGGCCAATCGTTGCCGACCGTTGCAAGTACGCAGAACGCAAGTTTGTGGATTCGAGCCTCTTGGACGACATGGCCTTCTTCTCGTGCGGACTTGCTCTGCTCCGCAATACCTTGTCTTGCGTCGGATTATCCTACTGCTGCGCGTCCCAATTCCCTCTCGTAATCGTCAACCAGACCATATCGGTTCCTGGGAACTTTAGTCAATAGCTGGCCATGCGCAGCGCATCTGAGCGTATCTTGTCTTGTAAGATCACAGCTGTGTTGTTTGCTGCTCATCGCGATCGGCCCAGAAATTGGACGTCGGATGCTTTTCGCAGTCACCGACCACGTGAGCGGTGAAAGCAGTTTCGTCTCCGATCAATATGCTCGACGGATGCACATGCCGCCCAGATAAGAGTACGGCTTGCGACTGTCGCCCTCCAAATGGTGCCGTATCTTGGGGTTGTTTCCGAAGGTCTGGCCGCAGACTTGTTTCGTAAAGCTAACTGCGTCTTATCTTGGGCGATAGGCGATTGCTGTTCTCGAATGGCGGCCAGGCAACCAGGAGCGACAAGGGGTTCAAGGGGATTCCTCGGCGTCCACATTTCTATCCTTGAGCCTCGAGATAAGCAACCACAGCAGTCTGGGGTTTCGGTAGGTCCCCCACGCAATAATGGAGGAGGCCCCTTTCCGCCCCTACACCGAGTGGGCTTATTGATGGCCACGGTCAGCAAAGTCCCCGTAACGTATCCGATCAGATAGTCGTACATTGCGCGGATGAGCAGGTTGTCTTTCCCCGAGTCCCTGGTCTGAATGGTAAGCTACGCCGTATGCCTTACCGAGGCGGGTGATATTTGGCGGCGAGAGTCCTATCTTCGAGGCGCGCTGGCGCGGTCTGCGACAAGTTGACATCTTGGTCAGGAGACACTTGTGGCGTTATCAAATCGGTTTCCCGGCGTGTAGGCCCCGTGTTTGTAAATGTCGGGATAGCCATTGGTCTCGCTCAGTCTATACCGGATGACTTTTCTGGATTTGGGAAGACGTCGCGTGATCTGCGTAGGATCGATATTCCCGAGGGCTAAGAGTCGGTAGTTGGAGATGTGTTCAGGGCTAAACGTCGTCGTCACTCCTGTCAGGGCGGCCTGCTTGTCGGCCGCCTTCGTTCTTGCAAGTACCTCGCTAACAGGGTACAGAGTCGGTAGAGTCGGAACTGGTGTTTCTCTGCCTATCAGTACTTTAGCCTAGGGTGTATTGATGCCCATGTGCCGTCCAGCACGCTGTATCAAGGACCTGTTCCGATGAGATGTTGGTTGCTTCGTCTACTCCGCACAGGGCCATGAGAGCTTGTCTAGCTGTCATCGTTTCTCGTCTCGCTGGGTGACAAAACACCGTGAATTATTCGCACGGGTGGTGTAGCCGGCATAGAGCATAGCTTATCCGTACACACATAGGAGATATGCCTTGGTCTCGGTCGATGGCAAGGATTCAAGAATCAAGGATTGATGCAGCCGTAGTTCGCACCCTGCATTCGAGCTAACATGGCCATGTGAAGGGTAAGGAGTAAAGATCTTCGTCAATGGAGAAAGGGAGACTTTGGCGATAGCTTAGGAAAAGATGGAGGCGTTAGAGAGATGCAGTTGCCGCAAGGCTGGAGAGGATCCAAGGCGTCGGTGGAGGAAGGCACGGGGTGGGTCTGGTGACTGTCAGCCTTGAGGAAGCCATGATGCGAGGCAGGCGCGACGACGGAACCTGCGCACCTTCCGGCTGTTTCTCCAAGATATCGCAGAAGAAAGGAAGGGAAGGTGCGGTGTCCACCTTCTTGAGATGTACCTTCCCCTTCCCGCCCACTCCATCTGGACGCGACCACGTGCTTCCGATCCGACGACATCTTGCCGCATTTCTCAGGCCGGCGGTGGATGTCTGTCTCCGTAATACAGACGCGAGGTTCACTCCACTCAACTTCATGTCAAAATACACCAGCGAACGTGTTTCTCTTGGTCTTCAACTCCACGTCGCATCCCGCTCTCATCGACAGCTGTCGTGGTCTTGGCGCCTCTAAACAACCTTCCTCACTCGAAGACCTACAGCGGGGTTCCCAATTAGACGCCCTCCCGTCCTGGCCTACCTTACTCCCGACTCCCCCATGTACCTTGCCTTGCCCTCTCGGCTCTCGCATGGCCATCTGCCGCTGCTGCTGCTGCTGCACTGCACTGCAACGGAGAATCTAAACGCAGATCTCTTCCAGGGCAAATGTCGGTTCTTGGATGCTGTTGGTCACCGCCATGTGATGCCCTCGCTAATTTGTTTCCAGCTGCGGCTCAGCGGCACCAAAAATGTTTTGACGTACGGGAGCGAAGGATGAGGAGGAACCATTCTCGACACCCTGCGCGCGTGTCTGCGGGCGTTCGACCAGCCTTACCGAAGCCACTGACCAGGTACACCTATCTGTACGCTGGTATCCTTATTCTGCATACGAGGTCTGAATTCCAACGTCACTTCCTCCAAATGGCTTCTAGTGGTGGTTGTGTCGGGCTCTCCGGAAAGGCACTCGAACCTTTTACTTTGCCCGAATCATACGCTCTCTTTCGGGACTCCGCCAAGCAATTTGTCGGTCTGCACTCGGTGTGTTAAATCTCGCTCTCGCCATCCCCACTTGACCAGCGACCGTCATCGCGCGCGCCACACCCGCTTCCATCAAAAGCGAGGCGTTGCGCATTTTGCTGCCCTCGCTGTGCCTCATTTGAAAGCCATTGAGCTGATCATGATGCAAGGCTATCGATTTGTTCCATCATGCCATCTCAGCCTTTCCCCGGATTCGATACGTATATACGTATCGTGAGTGTGCCCCTCCTGTTCAGCCTGGCAGTGGACAGGGTCTCCAGGGTCTAAGGGTACCAATTGCGCCATCAGCGAGCCTTCAGGCTTCAGTGCAAGTGGACGACCCAGCATGGCGGGACAAACGTCGACGTCCTTGTCGCGTGTGCTGCGATCGGGTGTCATCCCCCCGGACTGGCCTGGCTTCCCTCCACCAAATGGCCGGGTTTGGCGCTGAGCCGGCTCGATACAAGGTGCTGAGGGAGAAATTTCTTGGCTTGACGACTCGTCTGTCTTTCCCATCAAGGAATCGACCGCTTTCCTCGCATCCCGACGACAAACATGAATGGTAGACTGACAGCCACCGACGATTGTCACCGACAAGTATCTCACCCGCGTTAAGCCGGCGCAGAGATACTCTTACGTACGACTCGGCTTGGCTCTAACTTGGTGCGGCAGGTGGGCGGATCATCACTGGAGTACCCTCTGTGACATCAGCACCTATTCAGGGCCTCCTCAGAGCCACTTCAGAACCACTTTCCACGGGAGCTTGCAGGCCTCACGATCCTAGTGGGCTTGGTTGTATCAGGGAATTGTTCAAGGTGTGCCCCCCGACCCAGTGTTGGCGCGCAGAAAGAGCCTTGGGATTCCCTGTGCAGGACGGGGGGAGCCCCTGTCTCTTCCCCCATCTGCTCCAGTCTCCTCCATTTTCCTCCATTTCTCTCCATTCTCTCTCCATCCAAGCGCGCCCACTTGGCTCACTTTTCAAACGCTCACTCGCTCGCTTTGCGACCGCCAACCGTGTCGTCCTCCACCGTCGTCGGGATCAAGACGGCAAGACGGAAGATTGAGAGACTCCACGACTCGCACCGGGCGAACCAACGGTCTGCATTTGCGTGGAGAGCATGCGGCGCTAGTCGGGCAACTGGGACCACAGCACTACGTCATTACGCATTATGTGCATTGAGCAGGTCGAGGATGAGGACTGATGGAGAAATGGATCATTTCTTTGCTGTCTCAGAGGTTGACGATTTTTTCGTGCTGCCGCCTCTAGGCATTCGGTCCCTGATTGTTTCCCCTCGACACGACGAGGATCATTAGACATGGAGCGCAAGCCGCAACCACAAAGCGCAACAACGTGGAGCGTTGGAGCCTCATCCGACGCCTCGCGGCTTCACGGCTCCTCGGGGTCATCCCTTTCGGCGCCGACGGGAGAGGGGAAAAGAGGAGAGTTTCTGAGGAGAAACCTGGAAGAGAGCGTTGACAAGGTCTCAATTCTCAAAGTACCTACACATTTCCAACGAGTACGGATAGCTTGATTATTCGTACATCGCCCCCAACCCACCCGTGCGGGACAACACACATGCGCAAGAAGCCGCGAAGAACACACGAAGAATAATGCCTCCATGGGTTCCTAGCGTCAGCTAGCGGACAGCCAAACCTTGACCACTTGTCGAACCGCGGCACTGTAGTGCGGGAAAAGGATTTGCAAAGTCTCAATGTCTCGCCATCCCGCCGCCACTCTCCAGGGAACTCTCAGGCCTAATCCAAGTCGTGCGACACACAGGCGCGGAGCAAAGTCCTAAGGCGCGCGGACCAATGTCCAGAGGGCCGCAGCCCAATCGGCTGATGATTAGGGATACAAGGCAGAGGAAATGCAAATGCAAATGCAAATGCAAATGCAAGACAGGCTGACAGGCTAGAGCCCAAAGTACCGCCGATAAATCCCATTTACCTTGGGTCGGGTGTTCCAACGATGGGCTCAATATGCTTTAGAGCTGCGGTCGATAGCGCGGGACAAATTACCGCAACCAGGCCCAGAGCCGACACCGTCTGGCTCTACACGCGCTCTTACAGGCTCACATGTTCGGCCTGGGTCTTGGCACCACACCAGATACGGCTGTTGCGAGCGATGCGATGCTTGAATGCTTCGATACGGCTGACGCTGGCCACATGCCAGGCACCTCAGCTCTATCTTCTCGGCCTTGCCTTGCACGGCGTTGCGTTGCCCTTCACTGTGCCGCAGGACGTCGTCCGTAAGCGAGAGAGAGAGCGCCCATGCCATGCTACCCGCGCTGACTGCCCGGCAAGTCTTGGGAGGTCAGAGAGTGTGGGCAACAAGATTGCTGTGGCACCGGTCGAATCCACCGGGGACCCCGAGTCAGACCAAAGAGGCCGCGAGAGATAAACAGACGCAAGTTGAGGGAACCTACGCTAAGAAACCCTTCATCGACATTGTGCGAGCCCGCCCACGCCCAACAGTGCACACGGCGCCTGTATCCTGTATGGGCAGATAGGTACAGGGACAGCACTGATAGGACGAGACATGCGACTACATACGGACGGACAAGGGGCTGAGAGGGGGGCAAAGGACATGGGCATGGGCATGGTGGGTGTCGAAGGTACACTACAACTCTTTGGGAGTTTGGTCCCGCAGCCCACGTCCACGTCCAATGAGATGGACGTCATTCACCCATCCCGGCGAACGCGACACCAAGGAGTGAGAGAGGAACCGACTGATAGCCCAGTACGGGACGGCACTGACTGGAAGTTGTACAGTGAGGAGTGAGGAGGAAGAGTGAGGACTGCCTCAACTCAATCGAGACCTTCCCTGCCGGCTGTTCTGGCTGTCAATCTGTCTCCGGCAGCCTGTCTGTCTGATTTGTCTCGTTTGTCTATTTTTTCGACCCTTGCCGATTTTTGCCTCTTTTTCTTTTCCTCCTTCCTTTTAAACTCTTCGTCTTCCCATCTCCTCGGCTCTGGAATACTTCAATTCCAGCTACACACGGCCGATCCTCCCCCAAAATAAACTTCCTTTCCTCTTGGCTTTCCAAATCACATAAGGTCTTCATTGTCCCTCATGTCAATTGGAAGAGTCGTCTCACCTTTTTAACCTTTCTCTCCTTTCCGGTCCTCCCTCTCATCGCCTCGGAGCCCGATTTTGGCTTGCTACTCGACAGATAGTGTGGTCAAACAACACCAAGGGCATTCATCATGGCGCATGTGCTCTCGCAAGACCCCGGTGCTCGCGAGCACGATCTCGGCTTCAACAAGGGCGATATCAAGGATGGCTACACTACCCGACCCTCCCGTTCCGACGATGGCGGTGCCGACAACATGCTCGAGTCTCTGGGTTACAAGCCCGAGCTCGAGCGTAATCGCTCAACGCTGCAGGTCGCCTTCATGTCCTTCGTCCTCGCTGCCATCCCCTACGGTCTTGCCACTACCATGATCTACCCCTTGGCTGGCGGTGGTCCTGTGAACATTATCTGGGGATGGCTCGGCGTGTCTTTGATCATTATCTGTGTCGCTGCCTCGCTTGGTGAAATCACCAGTGTCTACCCTACTGCCGGAGGTACTTTGCAACTTTTCTTCTCCGTCATGTTTGCCGTTGCGACGGCCGGCCGGCTCCGGAATTCGCCAAATCCGGACTTTATGCTGACGACTTCTCTCTGATAGGTGTCTACTACCAAGCTTTCATGCTGTCCTCTCCCAAATACCGCCGCGTAGCCAGCTGGATTTGCGGCTGGTTGTACGTTGTGGGAAACATTACCATTACTCTGGCCGTGAACTTTGGAACTGCTCTGTTCATCGTCGCATGCGTCAACGTTTTCGAGTCGGAACCTGGTGTCGGCGTCCTTGCTGGCGAGCCGTACCAGGTTTTCCTCATCTTCCTGGGTTTGACCTTAATTTGCAACATTGTGTCCTCGCTCGGCAACAAGTGGCTGCCCATCCTTGATGTAAGAATGCTTCTGCTCCCGCGTGCCCGGTGTTGTATGGTTGTGTGAAATGAAAGTATACTAAACTTTTCGTGACTTAGTCCGCCGCTATCTTCTGGACATTCGCTGGTGTCTTCGCCATCATCATCTCCGTCCTCGTCGTTGCCAAGAACGGCCGTCACGATGCCAAATACGTCTTCACCCACTTCGAGGCCAACTCCGGATGGCCCGATGGATGGTCTTTCTGCGTCGGTCTCCTTCACGCCGGATACGCCACTTCGTCCACTGGCATGGTTATCTCCATGTGCGAGGAGGTCAAGAAGCCCGCTACTCAGGTCCCCAAGGCACTCGTTCTCACCGTCTGCCTCAACACCCTGGCCGGTCTCCTGTTCCTCATCCCTCTCGTTTTCGTGCTCCCCGACATCACCTACTTGATCAACCTGGCTTCCGGTCAGCCCGTCCCCGCCATCGTCAAGGACGCCATGGGAACATCTGGCGGTGCCTTTGGACTCCTCTTTCCTCTCATCGTCCTGGCCATCCTTTGCGGTATCGGCTGCACCACCGCCGCCTCTCGTTGCACCTGGGCCTTCGCTCGTGACGGTGCCATCCCTGGTTCCCGCTGGTGGAAGGAGGTCCACCCCAAGCTGGACGTTCCCCTGAACGCCATGATGCTCAGCATGGTTGTCCAGATCATTCTCGGTGTCATCTACTTCGGCTCCAGCGCTGCCTTCAACGCCTTCTCCGGTGTTGGTGTCATTTGCTTGACTGCCTCGTACGCCATTCCCATTGGTATCAGTCTCTTCAACGGCCGCACCCACCTTGTCGGCAGCCCCTTCAACCTCGGCAAGTTCGGTGTCGCCGCCAACGTCATCTCTCTCGGTAAGTACACATTCAAAACGATTCTCATCATTAGGTACAAAACTAACTCTTTGACAGCCTGGTCTGCTCTTGCCATGCCCTTGTTCTGCATGCCCACCTTCGTTCCCGTCACCCCCACGACTATCAACTACGCGCCTGCCGTCTTCGTCGCCGCCTGCCTCATTTCCGGCGGATGGTACTTTGCCTGGGGCAAGAAGAACTACGCCGGCCCCCCTACCAACGAGGAGCCTGCTTTCTAAGCTCTCTACACAATTGAGCTCCAGGATGTCTGCGACGACCAAAGACCGAAATGTTTTTGGGCTTTCCAGCATCTTTGGGTCGAAAAAATTAAAGTATCGACAATATACACTTGGCAACAGTGTGCATCCGTATGGGTCTCCTGTGACACTTGGAAACAGTGAATTGGGAGCAATCCATTGGCAACATTTTGCTAAGAGGCGCCTATGGATTATGGCGCATCGGGCAAGGATACGAGCAAAAAAAGAGAGAGAGAAACGAAGGCGGTCATGTACATAGGAATGATACCCCCAGTGCTTGAATTCAAATTTTCAGTTACAAACATTTGTCGTTATTTGCTATTGTGATCTATCCTGCAAAACCGCTGCAGTCAATTGACCATCCAGGAAGTTTCCATGCTCCAACATCAACCAGTTATTGAAGCCATTCACAGTTACCAGTCCCAAATCTGCCAAGCCTTACCATCCAAGCGTAGAGCAGTATTGAAACACCACACCGCCGAGGTACATCCGGCCAAAAGCCAATCCTACGGCTTTCGTCTGATCAACAAAAGCCATTGCAGAGTTTACGTCCAGCCAAACAATCGACACTGTACTGGACTGTACAAAGCGGACAGGGACTACCCTTCGTACTCCTCCGTGCCTCCAATTCCCCCCCTTTTTTTCGGGAGGAGATTTTCACTGCAGTATTTTTCCTCTTTTCAATGGAGTTGTTTTTCTGGGTCTCCCGTTAGAAAAGCGTTGAACTTGTCAGATTGCCAAGAACCTCCATTCCGGCCGCCTTGCACACCCGCCCCCATGGGGGCACGGGGGCAAGCCAAACCAGACTGGGATAATACAGGCGGTTTAAAGGATGGGGAGTGAGGTGATCCTCTCTTTGTTATGCCAAATTTGGATATAATAAAGATGAAGGTGGGAGGAGGTCCCGGGAAATTTTGATCTAGTGTAGACAGAGCAGCATCAGCATTGGATGGAGTGTGTGTGGTGAAACAGTGCCTGGGTGTGGGCTCGCGCGGTCCCTCAGATACATACAATCCTTGGGCAAAGGGACCAGCAACCAACGGCGGTGATGTTGGAGCTCTTTACTCAACCAACGTCCTTTTGCATATCCGGCCCCGCCCTGGGTTACCCATTTAAACGCCGACCGCTCCTTCATGTCCAGAACGGGGTGGGGAACGCGGTCAGCGGAACTTGTCCGCTGGATTTGCCGTGTTTGAATTTTCAATGCTCGTGGCTCAGCCTGATTTTTGATGTGAGGAGCTCGGGACACTCGGTGACTTGGTCACACACACATATGCGGACTCTCGACTCGAGGGAGGGGAGTGAGATGGAGTGGATGGTAAGGAACTTGTTCATTCTTACGGCATGAAAGTCCACTCACACGTAAAACGTCCCTTTTGCATCCTACAGCCTTGTTTTCCGCTTGATGTACTCTCAAATGTGTAGATCCAGGGTCTCAGGGCTTGTCCCTGGATAGAACGTGCTGGGTATCGATACATGGACCTGAATGTTCTTCAACGGGTCGATCCAGTGTGGCAATCTTTGAAGGGTGTTCACGGTCTGGCGAATCAGGGCCGGAGGAGTCGGCGGGACAGGGGGATGGGTTGCGATGACGTCTTTCGGTCAGGTTTTCTAGAAGGTTTCCGTTTCGGGGGCTTCTTTGTGTTGATCGTTTTCACCCCACTTTCTTCTCGGGATGGCAGGGCGTTGCGCACACCTGAGTCGGTGAGGGTGCCGAAGGTTCCGAGGGTTCGGTGAGATGCCGTCGAAGTTGAGGTTAGGCTTGGATAAGCCGTTGTTCTGGCCATTGAGCGAAAAGAAGAGAGTTTCACGCCTTACGATAGTTCGGCTCTTGGATTTGCTCAGAAGCTACCGTGCCTGGAGTTTCCCAATCTTTAGTATTGGCCTGTTCGATTGGGAAGTGAGAACTTTGATGAATGGTTAGATGGATGAGAGGCGTTATCATCTGGACTCTGATATCCAAGAACTAAATACTTGCAACTAGCTATGCACTTCGATAAAGATATACATACGAATGCAGCACACATGCATGATAGTCTTGAATGCTGTCTTATGCCGCAGTGAACGAGTTCACCTTGATCGAGCCTCCCAATTGCTTAGTAGCATAGTTGAAAATACCAAAGCGATACGCAATGAAGAACTCCCACCCAGAGTTCAGTTTATACGCATCACCAAGCTTAGTAAACTCAACACCATCAAAACTGTAGAAAAAGTCGGCGTCCCGAGTCCCCGTCGGCCGCGCATCCAGTTCAGCCCGGAACCATATCTTGGTAGCGCCGCTCCGCACAGGTGCTGAAGCTACCTCCTTGCCTGGGTCAACGGGATTACCGGACTCCGCGTCGATGATGATACCCTGGATCGCTTTGAGGGTGTACTCGCTGCCGTTGCGGTGGATGCCGATGTACGCAGTCTGGTCGCGGAACGCCGCGAGCCCGAACCTGTCGCCGTCGGCCATGTTGCTAAAGTCGATTTCGACGGTTCCCTTGGGGAATTCTCCGTGGATTCGGTGGGTGAGGGTGTTTCTCGCAGAGTAAATGTCTTCAGTTACGCTGGCGGTGCGCAGGGTCACGCCGTTGTTGACCTCGAAGCTCGCGACGTCGGGGTTGTGGTTCCATTCCCAGGTTGGACCGAGTTCGCTTTCAAACGTGTAGGTTTGCGTCCAGTTGTACAAGGGTTGAGGTGGAAGAGGAAGCGGGTAAGAAGAGCCCCAACCGCCGTTGCTTCCTTTGACAATCTCGGGGAAGCCGTCCGCGCCCCAGGTAATCGGTGCCAACACCGGCATACGGCCCGCGGGATACGCCCAGGTGAAGGACATGAAGTACCAGTCCCCTTGCGCGGTCTTGATCAGACTTCCCTGGTGAGGCGAGTTCCCTCCCTCCAGAGGCGGCGCGATGTTTTGGCCGAGGATCTTGGCTTCGTAAGGGCCCCACGGACTGCTCGACTTCCAGATGTAGGTCGTGGATCCGGGCTGGTCGTTGAGAATGTAGTACGTCCCGTTGATCTTGTACATCCTGTTACCCTCCACCGTCTCAGTGTTGACATCAGATGCCTGGAGAACCTGCTGCGTCTTCACAACACTAAGACCATCGGCAGCGAGCTGCGAAACGCTGATTTTCCCGTTCCCGTAGACCACATACATTGTATCATCATCGTCAATCAGCAACCCGTTGTCGTACATGCAATTGCCGCCACCAAAGTTGGCGCGGTTATACCATGGTCCCTCTACGGACGAAGCAGTAAAGACCCAGGTGATCCAGAAGTTGGTGCACCCAATCCAGTACCATAACCCATCGCTCTCGCGGTACCGCAGCGTCGAGGCCCAGGTACCACCTCGGTAGGCGCGGGGCCCGCCGGGCGGGAGGTCGTAGCCGTCGCCGAAGTTGAGACGGGGGATGGAGTGCCCGACGGGCTCCCAGTTGACGAGGTCGAGGGAGCGAAGGATCGGGGCGCCGGGGCTGTAGTGGAAGTTGGAGGCGGAGAAGTAAAAGGCGCCGTCTGGGCCGACGGAGATGTCGTTGTCAGGGTAGTCTTCGTAGAGGACTGGATTCTGAAAGGTTTCCTCGCGGCATCTTTTGATGGTTGCCGCCGAGGTGAGGAGGGAGAGGGCTGCCGAGAGCAGCAGAAGACGGGTCGACACCATCGTCGGAGAAGCACTGGCTGAGGCAGCCAGGGGAAGTGAGAACTTGGTTAAGACTTTGGGAATCTGATCGATTATCACAGGAACTTCTGCTACTAATACTGGAATATTCCTCAAAGCGTCTTCCCTGACCTTTCTGGATTACTCCGGAATCATTGGCGCGGGAGGAGAGTGTCAGCCATCTGCAGGAACTTCTCGGCGGGTTGACGTCCGCTTCCTCAAATCGTCAAATACGACGCTGTCACTTTGCGGGGTGAGAGATGCCAAGAAAAGAAACCCGCCCCAATTTAGCCATCTCGTTTTCCCGATCACCAGGGACTTACGAGAAAGCCTGATTCTTTTGGGGAAATAAGGACATCTTACCCGGTTTCCAAGCCAATGATCTCACCACCATAGTAATAGGGGATGACGTTCATTCATGCTTCTGCGCTCTTGCTTGAGAAACTACTTCGCTGAGTTGGGGAGGACCTGCATCTCCACCGCGGGCTTAGTATTTTTCAACTCGAAATTGATGGTAGGCAGATGTGCAGCCGGTCCCAGACACCATGGGCACTGCCGGCGAGTTATTGTGTTGGTGGAAACATGTTCTTTGTACCAATATAGCTGCGAGTTGAGCAACATATCGGCTTCGTGGATGAAACAAAACACGGAACGACGACTCTATTCTCAGAACCAATTTCTATCCTAATGAACCTCTAAGTGGCCTCCCCTCAGTCCTCTTGCTCAGGCTTCTGCCCATAGACCACATGGCTAGAATGTTTGTTAGAATTGAGCCCCTTTATCTCGAGTAAACCGGTACGGAGAAGTTTAATCAGACTCACAAGTGTAGGTAGACGTGAGATTTGCAGGCCTTCATTTCCTGACGGACCTGCGAGAGCAACACAACTGCCTCCTCCCTAGTCCAATCCAGTGCGGTGCAGAATAGCTTCAGGGTGAATGCGTCAAGCCCTTCGAGCATCTGAATAAGGTTGCACATGCCAATGTCCTTGAGCGAAGGATCCTTTGCCCAAGGCCCGATGGGAATCTTATAGTGTCGATGCTCGACGTTTTGAAAGCCGTGGTCTTTCACCCATGCATTCAAACTTGGTCCAGGAGCCCCGTCTCGTCCAAGATTTGCGCAGGCTTCCATGAACAGGGTGGCCCATCGGTGTGTCTGGGTATTGTCGAGGGACCCATCGTCTGAGTCTAGCATCAAGCTCCAGTCTTGGAACTCCGCCCAGCCGCCAGGCGTCAGGTTCCTGGATAGAGCCATTGTTACTACTTATCACCCAGGTGCAGACAGATTCAAAGGTCGCTCACTCAAAGATTCGGCTGATGTACAGTTGCCAGTCCGCGATGGAGCCAGCCATGTAGCGGCTGAAGATGAAGTTGTACTTTTTGTCTCCTACCCAGGGGCTTTCGACGTCGTCGACCTCAAACTTGACGTTTGGAGGTACCCAAGACGGCTGAATGGGACTCAGATCGATTCCGGTTACCTCGGCATTAGGGAAGAAATCGCCCATCTCAATCGCCCCTACAATGACATTATCAGTCTCGTGAATTAAGATTGTGGTCATATGGACGCATACAGATACCGGTCCCGGTGCCTATGTCTAGTATGCGATGCGTCTTAGCTTCGTCGATGGGTGCAAGGAAGAGCTTGTTGCCAATGGTCTTTACCATCACGGTATGCGTCAAATCGAGTCTATCCGATTCTCTCCATAAAGGATATTGCAATCAGTGACTCTCACTTTAGGAAGCTTTTAAGATGGAAGCGTTACCTCGTCATTTGGAAAATTATAGGCTGTGCATGCCGTCATTAGATGTGTCGCTCACAAGGGGAAAGACACGGATCAGCTAATGCTACTCACAGCCAGCTCGAAACGCGTGATACGTTCGACCATATTCAGTCGGATAATCCACTACTGATGAAGACAGAGAGGCAGTATATGAAGACCTTGTTTGAATACTCATTAGTTCTGCTTCAAACGAACCTGTAATTGTCGGTTTCGGGCGTAGAGCTGGACTCACATGCGATCATCCATGGTCGAGGCATCGTCCTGTACATGAGAAACGTATTAGTCACGTTAGATTATCATAGAACTTTAAGATAAGAACACTACTCACTCTGACTTCGCTGTCAACTTCGATATTGGTTGATGCTGATAGGGCGTCTGCCGTAGATGCCGCGGTCGGCTGAACGGGTTGTGCCTCCATCTCACTAATTGGGCCGGACATGATGATACCTGCACGCGCTGCACTTGTTTCCTGACACTACAGAGGGTAGTTGAACGAGGTACCGAAGGCCTTCAAATAATGCCATCACAGGAAGCGGGGTTTCTGAGGTTTATCGTATGTTGGCACCAACGTAGCTTGGCAGCGCTTAGTTGCAGCAAATATCTGGATCTTCTGCAGCGCGGATGCAGCACGTACATGGAGACAACGCATCTCACCAATCAAGGGTCAAAGTTCGGCTGGATTATCGCTTTTGTTCTCAACTGAACCAACATGGCAAGGTCGAGTAGTTCTAGTGTGACACGGGTAGATTGTTCGCAATTACCAGCCTATCTGAGGCATCCAACGCGTCTAGTTGATATCTAACAAACATGAATGCATCGCCGTGGCTCGTATGATACAGGGCAGTGCCATTAAAGGCTGTGTAGAAATTCTCCTTCACATCCCATTCTGCCAACCTCATGTGTCAATTCTTGATACCATAAAACTGAACCTCTGCAATCATTGGGGTCTCAGATGGTATGCTGGCACCCTTGGAGCCCCCGGTCTCATCGGCATTGAATGTTCGTCGGATTTGCAACGCACCTTGCTCGTCAATCTCCAGCTCACGAAAGCTGAGAACACGGGTGAAAAGCACGTCATCATTCCGAGACTTGGCCTTGATGTAGATGTCCTCGCCGAAGAGCAAGAGCTTGCCGTTGCCCTGATCAATAGCGAGACCATAACCCATGTGTTGATTGATCCCCATGATTATCTTGATGTCGAATTCCGATGTGAAATGAACAATTTGGGTTCCATTACAAATGTGTGCAGCGATTCCGATGTGAGGTTGACCATGATCCTGAGCGTTTAGGAGGAAGGGGACGGCTTGGCGGAAGAAGGTGACGAGCTGGAGAATATAGGATTCAGGGTTCCGTATCTCTGAATCTTCGATGCTGAGCAATATAACACCAATTGCACCATGAGTACCAAATGCAGACCAAACCAAGCGGATGTTATCATTGCATTCACCATGAGCTTGTACTAGAAGAGCTTGGTTGGCACCAGAGCCCCAGGTCTTACAATTCTTGTTGTAGTCGTCATGAATCTTTTGCGGTGCATAAAGATCAATGTAGGGCGCAAAGAGCTTCCACAGATGCAAAGTCTCAGGTCGAGGGCCTCCGTGCTTTTTGCCTCGTACTTGTTCCAGATCAGCATTGACGATGACTGGGACAGAGTAGATTTCTTTGGCAATCTTTGCCAGGAAGTTGATGTGGCTGGCCATGTGATATGTGGTGAAAAGTTCATCCGTAGCTTCAGGACCATCGGCGAACTCTTCCCAGGCATGAACAGCAGCAACAGAAAGGACTGAGCCGGACCGAACGAGGAATTCCAAGTAGTCAGCTGGAACGCCTTTGTCAAACTCAGCTAATGCTGCGTCACAAACGTCCCTGGACCACTTGAAGTAGCCAATCTCGCTGCCAATTTGTAACATCAAGATGGTATCATAGCCAGCATCGGCAGCTTTGATCTGCTGTACGAACTCTGTGAACGCCGTTTTCTCCGCTGCGATCAACTCTGGACCAAAGAGCGAGACGACGGTCGTAGGGACTGCGACCCATGCGTCTGTGCCATTCTCCGGATTCTCGTTATCTCTGTCATTGTTCTTGGCCTTGTGACGACTGGCGTGCTCGTCATCGTCGTCCGTATCATCAGCCATTTGGCACTTGGCGACCCTCATCTTGGGAAAGCGCGCAGGATCAGTCTTGATCCACTGTGGCGTATAGCTTGATACATCTACCAGAAGTCACATCAGTCAGTCGTTGTCCTGCAGAGATCTCAAGAGCAAGTCCGAACCGACAGGGACCTGATGAAAATTCGGACAAAACTGAGGAATATTGGAAGACAAAGCAGAAAACATCGGCTCACTGGCATGTTCAGAAGCATTAAAGCTTGCGGATGGAGTGGTTTCGACAGAATAGACAAATGTAGACGAAGATGAAAAGACTTGCCGTCGTCGAAATCGCCCTTCATCGAGCCAAACCAAGAGATTATGACTCGAATGCCCGCCTCGCGAGCTTGGGCAACCAGACTTGCGACCAAGTCTCTGTTGAACTGGCCTTCTTTCGGCTCAAAGACCTCCCAAGTGACGGCGAGTTGCACAGTGTTTAGACCGAGGGCTTTGATGTCTTGCCACTTGCGAGCCATGTAGGCAGCAGATGAGGAGGCTGAGGGGAGAACCTCTACTCCCAATATTAGAAAGGGTTTTCCGTCAACGATTAAACGGTGGTAGTCTCCCTCCTTCTTGAAGCGAGGCGGAGCTTTCGCGTTGTCGGGATTCGGCATTATGGCGTCTTTGACTCTCTCGTCTATCGTCCTCGTGTATCCTATAATGAATCAGTGGATGTCGATGCGGAGATAGATAAGCCATAGAGACATTGAAACTTACGATCGGGTGTTGTGATTTGCGGATGAAGTCAGGCAATGAGACGGAAAACGAGGCTCAGATCAATGCAATGATGGGACGAGCTTGGGAAGATAGGGGTCCAGCAGCCTAATAAACTGGAGGGAAAGAAGAGACGAGTGCTGATAGATGAAGTCGTAAAAGACAAGGTCGAGGTAAGTCTGGACTGTTAGCAATCAAGATGGAAAACAGAGCTCAGCCTGAAGCGTGTAGGTTAGGCGGTCAGGAGAGAGTTTTATATTCCATCATGAGAGTAGAATGCTCACTTTCAACTCTCGGCCCCACATCTCGTACTTTCTGTAGCTTTAGTCCTGTTAGTTCTTGCCTTTCCGTTCAGTCCCCATGAAGGAGCTGAAAACAAAAACAAAACAAAGCTTCAGACAATCCCTCCCCACCCAGGCATCCCATTTGTTTTACCAGACCAGACCATCAAACAACAAAGGTTTGCCTTCATCATTTAGTCTTTTGTCTTGCAAAAGCATTCATCTCAGCATGTGTGAATCCTAACTAACCCTTTGGTACAGATGACCAATCCTACCCAGAAGAAATATGCGGGCAAGACACCCAAGCTTCGTCCAGCTCGATCCCTTCCTGCCAAGGCAAAGGCGCCTCGTCCAAAGAAGCCCCAGAATGAGAAGGACTATGGCAGCACCCTCGTGTGCCGCTATTGCCAGATGAAGAGAAGCCGATGTGATGAGATTCGCCCTCACATCCGCAAGGCGCACTACCCGACCCTCTTTCCACGCCTCAATCTCGAGCAGGCCAGAGCCCGCATCCGCACTGTCGACGCGCCCTGAACTATCACTGCTGCCAGACCGCTGGAATCACCTCCTACCTGCCGGTACCTGGCCAACGACCTTTTCAGATCGGATGGCTTGGAGTGCTGTGGCTCATCAGAAACACGATAGAGCGCTGAAGGACTAGATTGACTGGATGGAGGAATAACAGGACGATGTGGCTGTGCTTGTCTGTACATTGCTTCGACTGAAGGCTTCACGATATGTACCAAGTGTGAGGGATCAAAGAACGAAAGGGATCAGATTACTTGTGTCCAGTGAAAGTCATGATGAACCGTGATTACAGATCAGTGTGTGAAGCGGAAGTGTAATGAGCATGCCACCTTTTCACCGTTGATAAGCCTTTGTCTCATTTGGAGTCAGGTTATGACCGACGTGGTACAAGACCAGCGGATTATCAAAGGGAAATACGGGCTCAACGAAGCTGATTTCATTCAGAGAGTCATCTCTGCTTTGATAGGGGCATCAAAGGAAGAGATCGACCATGTACAGTACCTTCGAGCAAATCTAGCAACGGTCTGAACACAGGTCTCCCAGACTCAGAATCTGCTGGACTTCAGACTCAAGTCTCTAGAGGTGATATCTCACGATCTCTGGCCCGTTCGATTCGCCATGGTATCTCAAAGGTCGATCCCATTGCCTACTTACTCTGTCGTGTTACACGTCCAATAATTTCAGTTCGGTTCCTCTAAGAAGCTGGTGACGTTGTAATATGTCTGAACTTACAGCGAAGCAGAAAGAAGGCGGCCCTCATGATAACCTGCTTGTCCTATCTAAGCTGCTCTACCTTATCTTCCCTGAGACGAAGGTGATGGAGTTGCTAGGTCTAGGATAAGAACTCAAGTTCTCCATCGCATACCTTCCATTTTCTTTACTCATTTCACAAATGGCAACATGAGCGACATATTTCGTACTGATCATCTTCCAGCCGCAAAACATGATGGCTGGTTTACCAATCCGGGCGGCAGAGTTGAGCAGATTTCCATATTAGATGCGGACTCGGCAGACTCGCAAATGCAATCAGGCCGATGTTGTGGCAGCACTTGGATGAACAACACCTGAATTATCTTGGCCGTGAACTCACGTGTTGCGTCTCCGCGTCGTCATCCGCGCTGTTGGGTTAAATAGGGAATTTTGCTCCGCCCCAGCCACCGCTCTCTGCGGACTGCTACCACTCTCCAGTCTTTCGAGTTCTCCTGACGCGGCAGCCATAATTACCAGACGCCATCAACAAAAGCGGAATGCTCGGGAATCTCGACTGATCAAACGGCTCTGTGCTTGATGTCATCGTTGTCTTCCACATTTCTGCCAGGTGAATCTAGATGCAACAATGTCACCCAAGATCCGTCTGATGTGGCACCAGGAAAAAGGCAACCCGCGAAACGTCTATCCGTCATAGAACTCAGACCCTTTCATCATTTTCAGTCCATCTTCGCCATCGGCACGGACATTCAGCGCCACTTCGTCTCAACATGGGCCGAATCTTCCTCGCCAGCACGGAGCACTGCACCTCCCTACCGGACAATTAAGGCGGTCTACTTGTCCGTAACACACCGCTGACTGTGAATGACGACTATGATCTCGAGACAACAACTAGGATATTCCGAAATATGGCGAGGTTTTGGTTCTAAACATCGTGAACTCCAGCACGCGAACTACATTGAAGTCACTGACCATGGAGCTACTACGAGATACAGCGTTCGGACACGTTGTCCGGTTCGTGACGAAAGGAAAACTCAGACAGTTTCAATACTACGAAGAACGATATCCCGAAGTGTGGCGCGAATATGTCGACGCGGATAAGACTGCCAACGTCGCACGCTACGGCCAAGTAGAGCCACCCGACCAGGAGTTCGACAAGGCCGATAACGAAGATGACGATAATTGGAGAAGAGGCGCCAGCATCGACTCTGCGCGAACAAGGGTGCCGGGAGATGAAGAGTAAAATGAATTGAGTGGCACAAGGATTGATCCTGAGAAGGGCAAGAACATTCATCTTGTTGCTTTTCTACCCAACGATCCTGAGGTGATCACCTACACCCGAAGTGTTGCGCGCAACATTTCAGCTGACAGAACTCAGAACCCTCAGAATTGGTCTTTGAAGAAAAAGGTCTTTGTGACTTTCCAAATATGTCTACTTACCGTCGGCGTGTATGTCGGCTCAGCCATCTACAGCGCTGGTGTGCTGGATGTGATGCAAGTATTCGGCGTAAGCCAAATCGCTGCTTTACTCGGCCTTACGCTTTTTGTGGCAGGCTATGGCCTGGGCCCGGTATGGCTACATGCTGTTTGATACTTTTCTTCACGTAAACTGACGAGAACCGTAGATGATCTGGAGCCCCTTATCCGAAATCCCTCAGATCGGCCGCAACCCGATATACATCAGCACTCTCCTCCTTTTTGTGCTCCTTCAGATTCCCACCGCATTAGCAGTAAACTTTGGCATGCTACTGGCTTTCCGATTCATTACGGGATTCGTCGGCTCGCCTGTCCTAGCGACCGGTGGCGCCACTCTGGCAGATATCTGGTCACCGAAGAAAAGAGCCTACGCCATGGGAATCTGGGGCGTCGCGGCAGTTTGTTCTCCCACACTAGCTCCCGCAATCGGGGGGTTCGCAGCCATGGCAAAAGGCTGGACCTGGCCCATTTGGGAGCTGATGTGGTTGAGCGGGTTCGCGTTCGTTCTCCTGTTCTTTTGCCTTCCGGAAACAAGTGCCAACAATATCCTATATCGACGAGCAAAACGTCTTCGGAAGCTCACAGGAAACAACAAGCTCATGAGCGAATCCGAGCTGATGGCAGAGGAGATGACTCCGAGGGATATCGTGATGATCTCGCTGGTTCGGCCGTTCACATTGAACTTCACCGAACCCATGGTCTTCCTTCTGAACCTATACATCGCCCTGATCTATGGGCTGCTCTATATCTGGTTCGAATCCTTCCCTATTGTTTTCACCGGTATCTACGGGTTCAGTCTTGGCCTTCAAGGAGTCGCTTTCATGGGTATCTTAGTTGGTGCCTTGATTGTGATTCCGCCGTTCTTCTGGTATTTGCACAAGTATCTCGAACCACAGTTCGACGAAAACGGAGACATCCAGCCAGAAAAACGTCTCCCTCCTGCATTCATCGGCGGGTTTGCCATCCCCATCTGCCTCGTTTGGTTCGGCTGGTCAGCAAGACCAGACGTCCACTGGATTATGCCCATCATCGGCTCGGCGTGGTTCAGTATCGGGTCGTTCCTGTTGTTCAACTCCGTCCTAAACTACTTACCAGACGCATATCCGAATGTTGCAGCCTCGGTGCTTGCTGGGAATGACCTCTTCAGAAGCGCATTTGGTGCGGGGTTCCCATTGTTTGCAAACGCCATGTACACCAAGTTAGGAGTTGCCTGGGCGAGCTCCCTTCTGGGTTTCTTGTCCATCCTGTTCATTCCCATACCTATCATATTGTACAAGGTAAGTCACCACATGTCTACTGGCTGCCTTGTAACATTGCTGATTCCAGGCACAGGTCGGGACAATGCTGCGCAGAGAGTACAGCAGGCATGCGCGGAAGGATATCTAGAGCGACCTACACACCACGCCAATCGTGGCTCCCGTGACAAGAGCAAAGGGTCGCGAGTTCCACAAGATCGGGTAAAATTTTCGCCATTTATATTCCTATTTGTTTCAATGTACAAATTTTCTCCAGTTTGTTGTGAAACCCAGTCACATGGAGCTCATGTTCAATGCCCACATAACTGTGTTATAGGAAGGGAGTACTTCATGGGGCTTTATGATCATTGAATAATGATCAACCTTTGAATAGGGATTAAACATTTGCTTTATTACAGGGTCATGAAACAGTGAACTAGCGACATTCTCCCAGAACCACTCTTGCCGGATCGCTTCCGTGTATACTTAGTTTCCTTATGCCATCGCGCACTTAGATACTGTATCTGAAGAGCTTGTCCTGTTTATCTGTCAAGTCGCTCTCAGGAGCACCACCTGCATCCAAGACGACCTCTTCCTGGCTCTGAATATTCTGGCCATCAGGTTGAGCAGCATCTCTCTTCTTGTTGTCCTTTGCGCAGAGGTATCTGTACACGACAATCTCGACAAACAACAAGCACCACGTGACGATGGCTGTGACAACGCCGTTGAAATAGCGCGGCTTCTTGGTCCATAGCTGAGGTGCGCCAATGCATCCTGCGCAGTACCCAACGAAGAACATTGCGTTGACGATGGCGCGTTTTGTGTTTCCCTTCACGTTCGATGCCGTGAGGGAGAGAAGGATCGACCATACGGCGGTGATGCACGATGCCTAAGCATACAATGTCAGTAAGATGTCAGGACACAGTGTCGAGAATGTTTGACTTACAATCCAAGATGCAGCAATCATACCCCATCCGGCATCGGTGGATAGTTTCATAAGAAGTACGTTGCCAATGAGGGGCGGCAGGATGAGGACGAGGGCCACCAGACTTCGTTGCTTGGGGAATAGCATGCAGCCGCAGACACCAATCCACAACATTCCAATTTGAACGGCGCCTACAAGGACGTTAGGCAGGAATTTCAAACCTGGTCGAATGGAAGCACATACCAGATGGAGCAGTGTAGAGCATGGTCTGGTACTTATCGTAGCCAATGCTATTGATAACAAGTGAAGCGAACTGAAGTATTCACGGTCAGCTAGTATCGCAATTTCGACATATAGATGAGACGAACCGTAAGGACTGGAGACTGCATGGTGACCAGAACACCGAACCAGAACACGAACCAGGTTCTAATGTCAAAGACAGCCTCCTTGAGCTGCGTCATAGAGAATGAGGTCTTGTCGCCACCTTCACGGTCCTTGGCCATGCGCATGGAGAGGACTTGTTTCTGGCGCTCGTTCAAGAACCACGCATCCTTGGGGCCATTCGGCATGAAGAGGTAGAAGAGAACGCCGGCGAAAGAGGTAATTGCACCACAGACGAGGAACAACACTCTCCACGGAGCGAGGGCGTGGGTGTTCTTGGCGATGCCGTACATCAGAAGGGAACCGCAAATTTGAGCGACGCCGTTCATGGTGATCCAGAGCCTGCCTGTGGTCAGTAACATGATATATTGGTCGGCTTTGGGATGGCTTACGCTGTTCGGAGGGCGTGCTCGTTGCTTCGGTACCAGATACTTGTGATTGTGATGAAGGCGGGAGAGACGGCTCCTTCGGCGAAGCCTAGTAGGAATCGAACGGCAGCGAAGCCGGCGTAGTTTTGCGGGGCCGCGAGACACATGCAGATGATGCCCCAGATAACGCTGCGAAGAGAGGATATCAGCAGCTGTATGAAGAGATCACAGGAAGGGATAGACTTACACGGTGACACCGACAAACTTGGTAAGATGGAATCTGCTCATCAAGTAGATGAAAGGATATTCAGACACCAGCTGGCCTGTTCCGCGATGGTTAGAAACTGAATAGCTCGGGGAGCATTGCAGATATACTAACCGACATAGAAGATGGATGAACACCACGAGTATTGTGTGCTGGTCAGGTTCAGGTCGGTGATGAGGCCGAACACCTATCATCATGTGGTTAGCAGCCTGAAGTCAGGGCAACATCTGATGATTCTAGAACATAGGCAGCTTACACTGGCGTAACTAAGACTTTGCTTATCCAGGTATTGCAGAAAAAAGACGAAGCACATCTATAGAAGCAAATTAGTCGAGTTGTTCATCAGTCAAGGTTGCTAAAATTAGTTACTCACCATTGGCAGGATGGCCAGGTCGATCTTGCGGAGAACTTCCTTTTCCTCTTCAGGGGTATAGCCATCCGCAAGATCAACAATCTGTCCAGTCTTCTCCTCCATTCCCTCTGAAGGGATGTCGCCTCCTTGTTGCTTGGTCATCGCATCGATCTTGGTGTCGCCGGACGAGGCCATTGTTGCCAGTGCTGGTTTGGAAAGTCTGAAGTCAAAGTCAAAACAGCCTTCGTCAACTGCCTCTCTAGAAATCCTACCCTCTCGGAGAACGGCAGAAGTGCCGGTTTTAAGATCCACGAGTTCGTCGTCTCCACATGTCGCATGGCATGTCATCTGTCGACCCGGGGTTATGTTTCCATCCCCCGCACTAAGAGATGCATATCAGGACATTCTCCAGAAATCCCTTCGATTGGATGTGACTAGTGAAGATAGCGGTGATACCGGAGGTGGGGCGAGCCATGTTGCCGACGACAAAGGAGGTTCATGACAGATACCCGACGCGGGTATCGGCAACATGGCTTCGTGCTAACCAGGTTCCCGATGATAGACTGCCACACTACCGATAAGTCTAGTAATGTCAAATGTAAGTGGTTGATAATTGCAGTATGACGAAGTGCCGTGAGATGAAGCCAATCGGATAAATAAACATCTGTGGAAAAGAGGGAGCAGACATCCGAACTGCAGGCACTGGAATTCAGCATTTGTAAACTCTTCGCTCTTGTTTTTTGACTTTCCCCTCACCTCCGCCTCCATTCCAAGCTTGGCGTGGACAACCTAATCTCTCAGAAGTCATCCATCACTCACCATGGTCTCCGAAGCCGACTTGAAGCCCTGGCTCCGTAGCCCCGTCCGACGATACATTCTCACCAACGCCACCATCGTCGACGTGACAGACGGCAGCCTGCGCCCCGACGCGGCGATTCAGCTCAAAGATGGCTACATAGACACCATCACCGACTCCACAGACTCAGCAATTAAGATCGCTGTAGAACAAGGCTTCGAGGTGATTGACTGTTCCGGCAAGTTCATCTGCCCGGGCCTCATCGACTCACACGTCCACTTCGTCGCGGTCCCTGGATTCGGCGACCTTTCCAAAGCATTCGGCAACGCCAACGATGTCTCGCTTCTTCGCCAACCATACGTCGCCGCACAGATGCTACACCGCGGGTTCACGAGTGTGCGAGACTGCGGCGGTGCGCAGGAGGCACTGAAGGAAGCCATCAACGACGGCGTATTTCCCGGCCCGAGGCTCTTCATCGCGGGACATGCCCTGTCGCAAGCGGGCGGCCATGGGGACATCCGTGGTGTACACGATCACTCCGAGTGCTGCGGCGGGTCAACAAACGGGCTCGGAAGGCTATGCAACGGCGTACCGGAGTGCATGACCGCCGTCCGAGAAGAAATCCGCGGCGGAGCCGACTTTATCAAGATCATGGGCTCCGGCGGTGTTTCGACACCAACCGACAGAATCGACCATCTCCAATTCACCGGTGCCGAGATCCGAGCCATGGTCGAATGTGCCTCGAACGCGGGCACCTACGTCACAGCCCACGCATACACGACGAAAGCCATCAGGCATTGTATCGATAACGGTGTGCGGGGGATTGAGCACGGCAACTTTGTCGATGCTCCTACGGCGAAGCTCATGGCGGAGAAGGGCGTCTACCTTACTCCCACCCTCATCACATACGCTCAGATGGCGTCGCCGAAGTGGAAGGGCTATCTGCCACCCGAATCCATGTCGAAGAACGAGGAGGTGCTCAACGCTGGGTTGGTGGCGCTCAAGACTGCGTACGACGCCGGTGTGACCATCTGCTTTGGCACTGACCTTCTTGGACCGCTGGGAGCAGCGCAATCATTTGAGTTCTCGTTGAGGAGCAGAGCTGTTCCATCACTAGCTGTTCTGCAGAGCGCGACGCTCAATGCCGCGAAGATGGCCGGCAGGGAGGATTCGCTGGGTCAGATTAAGGAGGGCTTCGAAGCAGATCTTCTCATTACAGACGCCAACCCTGTTGAGAACGTGTCGATCTTTGATGACCCTGAGGCCCACGTGTTTGGTGTCTTGAAGGAAGGCAGGATATACAAGAGCAGATGGAGTGGTCTGGTCGAGGATGCCACAGTACCCGTCAGAATCAAGCCGGCGTTGTGAGATCTGTACGGAACTTGGAATACTTGAAAATATTTATGAGAAACTTAGCAGCTTATGGAACCGCAGGAACCAAGAAAACTGCATAATGAGATAAAAAAAAAAAGTCAATGGAAACCATGACGGGCAATTAGCTGAGTATGCCAGAGCCAGCGACGCGTCGAGGTCACCTCGTAAAGTTCACGAAACTCGTACCCTGACGCGTCACTGATAGGCTTCCCAACAGGAGCCAGTGACATGAAAAGTCGGAATTCTTCTCCGACTCCGACGGGATGGGAAGGGGTTGGAAACACAATGATAGTGTCCTGAATAAGGTGAGGTGAGGTGAGGTGAGGTGAACATTCTCTTTCTTCGAACAGCTTCACCTCGACGCGTGATCCCTGCCGCCACAGTGGGGTCTGTTCTTATCGGCAAAGCGTCCGAAATGCGGAGAGACCCCAAGAACTATCTTGCTTCAGACATCCTTCTTCCTTCCACACCAACTTCCTCCCAATATTGAACGCTCAGCCCAGAGTCATACGAGTCTCGGAGACCAAATAACCTCTCATCCATCATGACGATTCCATGTTCGTCATATGAAAGCGACACTTCCGCCAATGGAGTCTCCCGCAGAGCGCCGCCGCCGCCGCCGTAGAGTCCCGGATGCAGTTCGAAAGCGGGCACCCCGGGCCTGTGACCGATGCAAGGCACGCAAGAACAAGTGTATCGAGACTCCTTCTGGAGTATGTGTGCGATGTACTGAGGGATCTCACCCATGTCGCTTCGAACGGGAGCGTAGTCCAGCTGGTGAAGATGAGGCCTCGGCTTCGATAATAACTTCGATAACCGCGGGCACAAGATCTATTAGCATTCCAGAGCGACAGTCGAATCAGCTAAATACCGATGCCTCTTTCGCTCTCAACACACCTTTGGGTCAAAGTATGAAGGATGACTTCTCTCCCGCAGACAGTGCGCCCTCAGAAGCCTTCATGTGGCCACGCTTCCTATCCCGTCTACGGGATGCCTTTTGTCTCGAATCACAGCCCCCATCGGGAGACCAGGACCTAGCAAGACTGCAGCCTCGAATATCGGATACAACTCCAGCTGATCCTGCCGAGCGTAGGCGCATCAAGAGAGCGGTGAAGAGTTTTCCCCCGCGCGGTGTCGCCGACTTCCTGGTGTCGGTTTGCATCGCCTACGGGACCGATATTTTCTTCTACCTTGACCAGAGCCACTTCATGGCAGAACTCGATCAACTGTATAATGACGAACAGTCGACTTTGAGAGAAGATGCTGGTTTTGTTTGTCTTGTCTTGGCAGTGTTCGCGCTAGGGAGCCAGTGGACAGCGCTGGCGAGACCGGAAGACCTGAGCAGTGCAGCCTCGACGGAGGATCGGAGCGTTGACCCTGGTCGGATCTTCTACAACCAGGCTCGTATTTTGATCTCTGATTTACTAGACCGGCCTTGTCTCAAGTCAGTACAGGCGACGTTCATCTTGGGCGTCTACCTGATGCCGGCTAGCGCCATCAGTGCCTCCTATGTGTACATGGGATTAGCACTGCGAAAGGCTCTGGCTATTGGGCTTCACCAAGAACCCGACGACCCCTCTTTGACTGAGGACGAAAAGGAGACCAGGCGAAGGCTGTGGTGGTCGATTTACGCCCTTGAAAGGTATGTCTTCTTCTGTTGCATCATGCCTCGAGGCGTGCGCTGATAGCGACAGAACGGTCACCATCAAGCTCAATCGACCGCGATCCGTAGACCAGGAGATCATCACAGCGAGTCTTCCGAAACCAACTTCACGGGACGCGTCTCAGAAGTTCGACAACGTACAGCATCAAATAGCAAATGCAGCGTTCGTCAGAATCATTGACAAGCTTTCAGAGCCTGGGTCAGTTGACTTGAGTAGTCCTAAACAATGTCCCAAGACTAATGCGACCAGCAGAGCATGGTCAAATACCAATCATTCGCACAAAGGAGCTCCAAGACGTCCCACAGATGCCCAAATATCTCTGAAGGCATGGAAAAAGGGGCTCCCGTCATCACTCAAGCTGCAAAATGTCGATCCAAAGTCATCCAGCTATCGCGCCGTCTTCCATCTGCACCTCAACTACTACTTCGCCTGGATCGACATGGGCAAGGTCTCTGTGGTGACCGTCGTCCGAGATCGTCTGCAGACGATCTTCCACACAAGCGCCGGTCACTCCGATGTACCTAGAGACGTAGAACAGTCTTCAGAAGCATGCATCAAAGCAGCAAAGAAGATGCTGGAACTCTTCGAGGGCCTTTGTCGCGGGGGCAACATGGCGCGATTCTCCTTCACAGACTTTCAGGGATGCAGCATTGCCACGATCATTGTCCTCCTTGCCGGTATCTTGGACCGTGATTCTGGGTATGAGGGGCGGGTGGCCTTCGGTCTTGACTGTCTCCGCAAGATGTCCAGCTTCGGCAACACGACTGCAAAGATGGGAGTCCGCTTCGTTGAGGCCCTACAGTCCATCACGAATGAAGCTAGGTCCAAGCTGGCGATGGCTCGGAGAAGAGAGATGAGTCAGGCTCAAGAAGCCTCATCAGGACAGGCAGAGGGCTATGGACGATGGGCAGAATGGCTGGCGAATGCTGAGGTTGTTGGCAGCCCTTCGGGCGACGAGTCCGATCTTGAGATGGAGCAGTCGGGGCAGCCGCCGGCTCCTGCTCATGGTCCATTGATATCGCCAGTCATCATGCTCTCTTCTCCGTGGGAGGAAGCGGCAGCTCTTCAATTACAAGAGATGTCAGCCTCGGGGTTCGGTATATCAGCGTCGGAGGGAGTGGCAGCTGATGATAGCACATTAATGCCCTTACCTACAGGTGAAGAGGCTTGGCTGCCATCTTTTGCATGGAATGATGACCAGATGTACTTGATGGGTTTGACTGGTATGGATGGACTAGACTTCATGGGAGGGATTTCATAGTGCTGCGGTTTACCCTTTGGACACAAACAGAGCAAGGATACATCCAACCTGAAAATGCTACTGATCTTGTCCACTCGCTAGAGCCAGCTTCTTGTCATCTGAGTTCACCCTCGTTCCTCTCGACTGCTTTGTATTTGTTCACTTTTCCATCGCCTCCAATACCTGCTCTCGGCACTTGCCTGGGTGCTTCGAAGTGTCGACGACAACCACATTGCCGTCGGGTCTGTACGGGTTCTCGATCCATCTTCGAAACAAGGCCTCCTGTTCGTCTCGTCCTTGGCATGCATCGCTGTCAAGCGGAGGACAATACGCCCCCGTACGCTGACTTCTCAACGCTACCCTCTTCTGCAATCTCTCATCCAGCACATCAATGCCGACTTGAGGTCTGCACTCGATGTACCAATACTCAAAATCTGCTTTTTTCGCCAGGGTTCTCCCACTAGTGAGGACTTCTTCGTAGTTGCAGGTGCAGTCTACAATGAGGTCGCGGCCCTGTTTGAGCATGCTGCCGGCGAGCGCCCAAAGCGTCGAGTAAGCTAGCTTTGCGGCCTGCTCAAATAGTACACCATTATCGAGGAGAGAGGACTTGATAACGTCAAGATCGAGGATGACGGCACCAAGAGGCTGGGCTAGGAGATTTGCTGTGGTGCTTTTGCCCGCGCCCGGCGCTCCTGACATCTGGAGAAAAAGACGCCGTGGCGGACTAGAATCTTGAGAAGGCGTTACGACAGCTGAGCCGCTGAGTCGACCGTGTCCGTAACCGAGTTCGCTTCTGACCAGATTTTCTGTGTCGTTGTACTACTGGAGGTTTTCTGTACAGACTCGAAGGCTTGGTGTAAAACAAAGAAGAGGCAACCGAGCTTAGGAGTACTTTGTGCTTTGAATACATCTATCGGGTCCCTTTGGCGTTGAAAGCCAAGACTGAATCACTGAAGAACATCCCTCCCACAGCCTGATCTCATATACTTTGTGCGTGCACTGCCACAGTGACGTGTCTCGACCTGCAGCATTCACCAAGCTCCTAGCCACGACGAACCGACGTCGCAGTTTGAATGCAGCCTGACCCATTGGTACTCGCTTCGAACACCGACGCCTAGACTCCTAACGCCCATCCTGGAGCTCTCTCTGGTTGATTGCTGTTTTCTTGCCCGACCGCTTGCTTCACTGTCATCTCATGGACTCAGGCTTCCCCGAGTAAGCTCGTGTCCCTCCGGGTCCTGTTCCAAGGGAATCCTTCCCTTTCTCCTAGAGAGTCCTTGCTTTATGGTTGCAAGAAGCCCGGGCATGTCCGATCCCTCGCCACTCATTATCATAGCCGGATGTACCACATTGAAGACCGCAATGGCGAGAAGCATCGGCAAAGCTTCCAAAACGTAAAAGTAAGCCTCGTGTGTAATCAAGACATTGTCAATCCCATGGCCCGAAGAAAACTCAATCAGGCGGTAGACGATCCGTACTGAGATCATGCCGAGGGAAAAGTAGAGCGCCCATATTAGAGGCTTCCAGGAGCGGGATTGCTTCCCGGAAAGCTTGTCCAATCTTTGCATCTCGATCTGGAACTTCAATGCCAAGGCGACAAAGATGAGGATGAAGAACTCTTGGAGTCCGATACCGCCCATGTAAATGTGAATCGCCTTCATCTGCTCCGCGGGTGGCGCTGTCGGGCCGGCCATGCTGCCTCCAGTGAGTTGAACAGCGAACGATACGATGTCAAGTGCGACAAAGATCGCGGCGAATGTTGCGGCGGGGATGCGGAGAAGAGAGCGCGAGGGGTGAAAGAAGTAAATCATGCGGCCCAACGTCATGTATGCAAAGGCGTTTACCCCTGAGAATGCGTTAGACTTCTTTCAGTAGAGATGAAACTCAGATATTTGTACTTACAGATAGGCGCAAGCAAGATGAATATCTGGAAAACGAGGTAGATACCGTTACTCTGCTGGTTCTTGCTGCTTGCAGCTCGGAAGATAAAGGCCAGAGTCTCCCAGATGCTCGCCATTATAATAACCCAACACCATCTCTAGATACTAGTCAGATACTGAACAACTCATGCTGATCTACTATCAATGCTTAAACGTACGAACCTTCTTGTGCTTGGCGGCCTGCCAGATGTGGACAACGGTCAAAATGCCGAAGAGAGCCGCAAACACCGCCGCAGCCGCGAAGCTAGGGTAGTAGTTCCAGATGGCACCGCATTCGCCAGGCGGGATGTAGCCATTGGCATCGGGCTCGATCGTCTGAACACACGTTGGGATGGCGATATCGATGGTCTTTGCTGGGACTGTGACGTAGCTATTTGTGACGCCGGGAATGGTGATGTACTTTGTCGCGATGAAGTCTCCCGTCGGGATAGATGATGTTGTTGAAGAAGTTGCAGTAGTATCTTGACGTTTTACCAAAGAATTCGGCAAAGTGGGCGTGGGTGAAGGGCCTGATGGCAAAGCCAAGGCGGTCGTGGCCGCGGCCAGCATGATCCATGACAAGTGCATCGTGATGAGTGTCAAAAGATGTGGTTTGTCGAGAAGAATTGAGCTTGATTATGCTGAATCTTTTTCATCTTCACAACGAAGTCTGGTATTCTCGTCTTTATAAGTGAGAATCTCAGGCCTTCATCGCTGGTGTAAGTGAATGTCGATAATCACGGTGCCTGGCGATGCACAGCCCCCCACGTTCGCAGCTGTTATGTAAAGAAGCGAGCCGACCAATCGTAGACTCTCAAGGGCGCAGCTTGTCGATGATAGCAATGTAGAGTGTGAACCCCTGCAATGTCAGCACGGTAGCTTGAGACCTGGCCGCGTGTGAGGCGTAGCCTTCCTTCGAGAGGTTTAGCGTCATAGAGAGAGAGACGCGCGGAGGGAAGCAGGCCCTGGGCGAAAAATAGCAGCTAGATAATCATGGCTTGCGCTTCAATTGTACTCGAAACCACTCCTCCTGGACAGTGATAGGCCCTCCGTGCTCCCTCATCAAGAGACCGACCTTCTTCCACATGGCGATACCCCCATTCTTCTCGTGAACGAAGCGCACCTCGTCCTGCATAGCCGAATCTTTAATTCGCCGTCCTTCCGGTGGTAGTGTCCCGTCGTCTATAACGTTGGCAATATCCTCATCGTGTCCGAGATCCAGCTCGTGCTCAAACTCGACAATCTTGCGTCCGAACGCCAGAACGGTGTTGAAGTCCCAGAGGTTCTCCCTCTCGTGCGCAATCGTCTTCATGAGACCTAGTGCTGCAATTCGCAGTGACAAGGACCGGCACTTGATAAAGACAAATCCTAGCAGTGGGCTGAAACCCATCTCAAAGGTGAACTTGGCCCGTCCGATCCTCTGCCACATCTCTCGGAAGATGGCTTCGACTTCACGGCCGAGCTCGATGATCCGTTGGAACTTGTCCAGATGTAAATCGTATACCAATTCGCCGCGAGAGAAACACGTGCTCAGCCAAATCTTGCCTACGTGCCACTTCATCTCTAGGAGGCGTTCGACGAGCTCTTCTCGCATGGCAGCGCGCTGGCAATTATTCGGGGACTTTTGCACCATGTACGCTTGAAATGCCGCAGCCCAGTCATCTAGCAACTCGTCCATCTCATCTCTCTCCTGCATTGCTGCCATATCCGGCTTGGGATGCGTCTCATCACCGAGGCGATATTCGTCAGCGGCCCGTACGAAGCGAATCGCGCGGACGAGTAACGGGTCCAGCGCTGCTTGAACCTGCTTTAAGTTGTAGAACGGGGGTACTGGAACTGGATACGAGTCTGGTATGGCCGGGAATGTTTCCGGTCGGGCACCGAAGAAGAAAGGGAACACTCCAAGGCGACAGAAAGCCGGTGTCAGGTGCTCTCGAACGAATCGCGACGTAGACCTGGAACCATTGAGGATATTGATGCCATGCCTGCAATGGTCGATGGCACCCTTGCACTCGCCGCGGAGCATATCGATACATACGAAGAGGATGCACACAAACAGGACCGTCTCCTGGTTGTTTGTTGTTCGGAGGTGTTTGATCGCCTCATTGTAATGCGCAACCGCAAAGGAATTCTTCTCCGAATGCCGGTCTAGGGGATCCTCCTTGAACTTCTCGTACAGCGAACTGATGGCCAATGCGGCATGTTTCGCAGCAAGCTCCTGGTGAGAGACCTGAGAGACAAGATGGGTCCAGAAGTAACTATCCAAGGGCCCGGACAAGACGGGGGCGACAACTTTGCGGAAGAAACTCAAGGCCCGGAGTTCTGCGTCCGACGCGGCCTGGGTCGGAGGCGGGTGGATGCGGAGCAGCTGAGCCCAGGAATATGTCCCCGTTGGCGGTGTCACGTAGCCATCGCATCTCCGGCCCGTGCTGACGCACCTGTTGCATGCCGGGCGTGCTTCATCACACTTGACTCTTCGGATTCTAGGTTGGTTAGCTCCAACGTACGTGCAGACATGATGCCTCCAAGCTTGCGGCTGTTGGACTCACTTGCAGGTTACACAGCCCGTCTTAACCTTTGCTACCCCGAGTCGAGCCATTTGCGCACCACAAGAACAAGCAAGCAAGCAGGCGAGATGTTAGGGCTGTGTGGTTGTTGTGTGATGGAGGTGGAGATGCGCCCTGAGAGACGCGTTTCTCACCTATCTCGTAAAGATGCGAGGTGGCCTATGAAGAGACAGGGAGTCGATAGTAAGGCATGTTTGGTGTCAGGGAACGAGCCTCCTCAAGTAATGTAAGCTTGCGTGCGGCTAGTCCCCGCATCCTCGTGTCGACTCAGTGGACGGACTAGGTGATGTTCCATGGAACTGAATCCCGAGCCACATAGCGTGACGTTGTCGTTCTACGGCGTTCGTTTCAGAAGCGAACAAGAGAGCCTGAGACCAGAAACGCAGCATAATACACAGTTTCCCGACGTGTCTTAGTGTCCAGGTTCGCAGTGACCACCCTCCCTTGCACATACGCTCGTGTCACTATCAGCCACCCACTCATCCATCCACGCAACCATACCAAGAGAAGATCGGGCGGCCGCTGGTGAAAATAAGCCCCGAATCCCTCAAGTAAGAGTCCACTTTCTGCGGGGCAAATGCGACCAGACCAATCGGGCGCCGTAGACTCTAAATAAGGTCTGCTTATCTAAGTTGTTCTCTCTCGCTTCTTCCTGCGCTTCAGTGTCATCTCAACTTCAACAATGACATGACAAGACACCTTCAACTCTGTCTCATTACATGATTCCGACATTCCAGAGTCCAGACGCATTACCGCGTTACCGAGCAAGAGGAACCTTCCAATAGTGGCGTCCAAACTATTGATGCCGAGAGTGGTCGAAGTCAAGCGCCTCTACAGACCAACGAATCATCTCTCGATGAACACGAAACTGTGCTGATAAGTAGCGTCGGTGCTCATCATCAGCACTGCTGCTAGGTCAAAGTAAAAGAACGGGAAAACGGCCCGCGAGAATGCGAGAAGCTTCGTGGGCATCCGAGATCGGGCCCGGGAGGCATTTGGCATACCGGCCGATCTTGAAGACACCAGCGATGGAGCGGCGGCACAAGTGGTGGACACGATGCCGCCGGATCTGATCGAATACAGATATTTTAATTCATCAAGTCATATTCTCGGGCTGGCTTCTGCTAGATGATGGCCTCACGAAGCCTTGTCCGACAACCCCCGCTCTTCTCAAAGCGCTCGACAAGACAGCGACGAGCCTCACGCGTCTATCTCATCGTCACAACTCCGACTTATCCGGCCAATGCTACATATGGATCTCCGTCCGATGTTCTTCGCTCCGTCGCTCGCTAACCTTTGAGGCCCCGCTGGAGCCGGGCAAACGTTGAGTCCTCGACCTGGCCGAGACTCCCCCCCGCGCGCGCAATCACCATGGCGGACAAGGCGGGATTGCAACGACACCGATGTCCGACCTCTCCGAACTGTTTCCCCCGCACGTCACTTCTGTCAAGTTGTCAACACACCTCGGAACGCTCAGTCAGACCTCTGTCGCAGCTTGACGTGAACCGGCATCCCGTCAGAAATCTGCGGCGTGCCCTTTTCGGTCTGGTAGCACCGGTCTCCCTCCACAAGCATTTTGGGGTTTGTGGTATTCCCGCTACGCACAGAGTTAGCATTAAGGTCCCCCATGACGGAACGAGTTCTTGAGGAATGCGGTTTCGGGAACTTACTTGAGGGTATCCCACTCATCCCAGGCGCAGTCAATCTCAAAGTTGCGCGCGAGAGCGACCAGGACCAACTTCATTTCGACTACGGCTAGCTCTTGGCCAATACAGGCACGGCTTCCGAGTCCAAAGGTTCTCCAGCCGTGCTTCTTTGGATGCAATGGATCTTCCGGGTCTGTCGTCATCCATCGCTCTGGCACGACCTCGTTGCCTCTCGGCCACAATTCCTCATTGCGAGACTGCGAACGTAACCCGTCCCATATGAGGAATCCGCCGGTGGGATACTGCTCTCCTGTGATACTGTCGGTGATGCGATAATGCGGTTGTCCGTCTCGAATGACAGGAGGACCGGGAAACAAGCGCAGTGCTTCTTTAATGACCCCGCCCGTGTAGAGAAGAGAGTTGAGCAAGTGCGGCGACTCTCTGATCTTGTCGGTTGCGTCTGCGGGGTCTTTGCCCAAGACTTCGTCGTGTTCGGCCCGTAGCTTTTGGCCAACTTCGGGATTCTTGGCGATGCAGTGTATCGCCCAGCAAAGAGCCGTGGCTGTCGTATCGTAACCGGCAAACATGAAGATCTTGAGCTGCGAGACGACTGTCTCTAAAAATAACCGGTCCACATTGACCACACCAGACATGGGCTTCAGCGCCAAGTCGATGATGGTCTTGAGCCCCTCCTTCTTCTTTGATCCTTTGAGAGATCGCTCGATCGATGGGAGTAGTTCGCTGTACATTGTCTCCCTGTTCTCTTTGATAGCAGCCAGTCGCCACGGGCTGTACCACTTCCACATGGTGACAATGTTGAAATGGAGAATAACCCGCGAAATCTGGTCCATGAGAGCACTTCTGAATCTGCTAGGTCCGTTTGTCTGCTCATGAAGCTCGATATCAAGCACCGCTCGGCCGATAACATCCATGGTCAAGTTGGTCGTGGTCTCCACGAGCGGAAACACACCACCCCAAGAGCCGTCGGCGCCAGCCTTTTTCCCCATGATATCGGTGAACACCTCGACATCCTCCAACATGCCGGGAACAAGGCCGAGGACGTTCTTGTTACTGAAACTGGGGTTGAACCTTGCACGCCACGTCTTCCACGGCTCCCCTACCAAACATGCGAGGTCTATTCCTTCCGTGATCGGGGTCAAAGCCTTCTTAGTCCAGTCACTCCGCGGCACGCTGGTGTCGAACATGTAGTGGCCGGCTGCCTCCGGATGCACGGTGAAAACTAGCGGAGGACCCATGGGCCACATGTCGGCATAGACTGCCGAGGGGCACGATGTCCGGCCGGGGAAGAGCGTTTCCCAGTTGTCGACGATGGCTTGGGCATAGTAGTTGAAGTGTACATCTTTGGGTAAATGCGAGGTGAGCTTCATGAGTAGTCGCAAGTGGCCAAACAGAAGCGAGTGAGGCATCATTGGCTATGTCATGTCAGAACCCTGGCTTCCCGATTGTGCTTGAACACTCACGACTCCTTGTCTCTGAAGCTTGCGAAACCTCATTCGCTCTTGGAACATTCGAGCCAACACGTAGCCGATGCCAAGTACCGCGGCCAGGCTTAAGAGGCGGAACATCATTGCGATAGGGCTATCGACCCCCGAAGCTGCGAAAATGCCCATTTGAGCGGTCTTCTCTCTGATGTTCCAGCAGAATCTGCGGATTCTCTCTCAAGTCACCTTCGTAGCTCTCTCCAGCGAAAAGAGTGCCGAACCACCGCCTCTCTTATACATAAGTACAACGGGAGGACCCGTCAAGGATTGACATATGCCGCGGTCGTAAAATGACAAAAGGCAGGGCCATCATTGGCTCCACGATCAAATACCCCTCTCAGGCCAACGGTGGTATCGCAGGCCGAAGAACAAGACTGAGGTAAAGGCGGCCGCCTTCTTCATACGTGCATGCCCCGGCGGGACTTTGCATCGGGATTCTCCATTCTTCAGGCTTGGCTTTGCAGAAACGGGTCGAGAAAGCCGTTCGTTGCGGGTGCTTTGTGGGAACTTTGGGCGGGGATCTTGCGGCTTCTGGATCTGCGAGCAAGGGTTGTGCAGGGCTTCCGAGGGTAACCTGACTTATCGCATCTGCGCCGTTGGTCGGTTGGTTGAATTTGGTTCTTTGGTGTATGTAGTGTAACGGTGTAACGATCGACAGCGGATACGTGATATGTGCTCGCATATCCGTACTGGTGTTAGTGTCGCACAGCCCTTGATCATTGCGAAGTGGCTCTGAGTATCTTAACTTCAAGTGGTGTTCTCGAAAAACTTTCTTGGTACCACAGCAGTCTTTACCTGACAAGTATCTTGACGTGGTCACAATTACTCGGCGTACAACGAAACTCATTGCTTCTTTCACTTGCCGCATTAACTACATCGTTGCTGGCTCAAGTTTGGCACATCCTACCAACTTCGTCAACGAAGCCTTAATTAATACCGAACTTCATGTTACGAGAAAGCCTGTATCTTTTTCTCAATCTATATCCCATCGCACTTTCAATCAGCCCAGCCCATTTCGTGGCTGGAAATGTCGCCAGGTGTCTTTATAATATTTCGGGGTGAGTCATTCGGCAAATGCAACTAGTCCAATGAGACTTAACATACAGAGCGCGATTTGAGCAGCACCACCAACATACCTCTAAGAAGGAGACATAAACACTACTATAAATCAAGATACTTGCTGAAAAATAATACTTATTCAAGAGACCAAAGATTAAGATTCACTAAGTGCGGTAATCCTTTCTTGATAAACTCAGCTTTGTCCGCAAGGGACTCCCAACGACAAGCAAGAAGCAACCACAGGCTATTGGAAATTATCGTCATAACACAACCACAATGTCGGAGATCGACCCTTCAAGCCCAAATATTGCCACCTTCATGGCCAAAGTCTCCGCTGAGCTCAATATCCCTCTTTCGCCACCCAAGGATGTAACAGCATTCGGCGACAATCCGGCCTTGAAAGACGAACTCCTGGATCTTCTGCTTCAGGGCAAGAAAACATCTACAACGACCTGGCCAATCCCTGAAACGCTTCATTGGGGAGTTGGCGACCTGTCCGTAATACTTGACGGCAAAGGAGAACCAAAGGCTATCATCAAGACAACATCGTTTGAGAGATGCAAGTTTCGGGACGTGAGGGAGGAATTCGCGCTTGCGGAGGGAGAGGGGAATTATCAAGAATGGAGAGACGGGCACAAACGATATTTCGAGCGCAGCGAGGATTCAAAGGATTTCAGTGAAGACGTTGAGGTACTATGCGAGTGGTTTGAGGTTGTGTATCCCCAAATTACGAGGAAGTAGAGTTGGGCAAACCCATATTGGGGAAGAGAAAGTGAAACCCGATTTAGCTTGGTCCACCAGATATCAACGGATAAGATCCAATATGGCAAAATGATACCAAACGGTCTTCTCCAAGAGCAACTGACGTGTATGGAAGTGCTCCGAGACAAAAGGGAAGTGTTCCACGGCTTGTTGCCTCGAAATGCAAAAGGATTGGGCCCTAACCAGGATTCGAACCTGGGACCTCTCCCAGACGTGTCGTGAAGACCCTAAGGGAGAATCATACCGCTAGACCATCAGGGCGGTTGAGCTCGAAACGAGCTGATTGTCGTTGAGGTCGAGGTCGAGATGCGAGATTATGTTGTGTTTGTGGGTGGAATAGGGCTTTTGTCGCTCGTGGGGACGTTTGGGGGCCGAAATGAGGATCCGCGGGCCGGGCCCGGACGCCCACAACCCGGAGGGACCGGCTCTGATGTGCCGGAACCCCGTGGTGCAGTGGTCCTGTAATCTGGCCAGCGGGCGCGGGTTGAGCCTGAAAGCTGGTGCAACAGGTGCTGCATATGAGGCAATTTGTGATGAGATCCAGTTGTCACAAACGCACCAGCGAAGCCGGCCTTCTTTTTACACCAATGAAGATTGAAATCTCAAGAGTGAAAGATGAGTTTCTGGACTCTAGTCACTTTGGCTACATTCTGGACGCGTCGAAAGATCGCCCTCGGACATACTCAAATTTCGACCCCAGGAACTCATCCCAAAGATATTGGGCTCTCATTTCCTAAATCCCCGAAAATGGGCTCCTCATCTATTTCCACGGGGATTTGGTGTCCCGTTGTTTGCACCCCACGTTGATGTGGGCAGCTTGCATGGGAGCATTTTCTCCCATTTTGTTGGACCTTTTGTGGGTTCACAAGTACAACACGGTAGTCCGGCACAAAGGTTTGGGAAGAAGGGCGAGACTACAAATCCTAGAGCAGTACTCCTTAGTGTTGTAGTAATTGACATTTGGCCAGTCGCCAAGCGAAATGAAGTTCTCTTGATTTTATCATGCAATGTGTGGAGGTGAGCCCAGCCGGCGGTGTGCTTTGCGGGACTCGGGAGACGGGGACCGGGAATGCGGAGGAGATCTCCGAACGTAAGATCATGAAAGCCCGGAGAGAATTGCTCTCGAACCTTGCAAGCACAGGCGTGGTCTAAGACCTGGACGCTCATTTCAGCGAAAGGGTGCTGCGTTGATGCACCCATGCAGAATTGGGGAATCTTAGAAACATCGCATTCCAGTTGGTCCCGGTTCTGGAGCTTCAACCACAGCTGTGACCAGCTCTCTCGAATTTGAAGCAGATCACCTCAAGTGCTTACTTTTGAGCCGTAAGCTTATGTGCATTAGTGCGGAACCAGTCTCGTAGGCTGGACTGATGCGTCTAAGCTGCATTATTAATGCTCTTTGACGCTTGAGCCTGTGACGCTACCAACCAAGTTCGCGTGATACCATAATGAACGCGTACGTCCAATGCCTGGGTTGATCCGGCAATCCGGGACAAACTTTGAGGTTGGTGTTTTCTCGGGGTGAACCTTGATGTCGCGTAGCTTCTTCTGGGAACATGCAAACTCTTGATGAATATCCATTACTCCAAAGATTCGTGCTTGAAGACGACAAGACGAAGCTTGACCAACATCCATCAAAGGAACTGAAATTATAGAGCGGCCTACATGATGATGCTCAGTCGTGGAGTTTGGATTGGATTCCTCGCGACGGCTTACGCTGCAGTTCTGCCGTCAACGCAGTTGCCACGTGAGGTCAAAACCTCTTCGATTTCTAGCATTGTAGTATTCGGTGACTCGTTCAGCGACAACGGTAAGCGATCGGTGGTAATTCGACGGGCTGGCATTCAGGATGAACATGGCTGACGGGATGCGAATCGCAGGAAACGGAGCTGCTCGAGTATCGAATAATGCATGGCCTACAGACAAATAGTCAGTGAACCCCTTTGCGCTACGTCTCTTCTAGTTCATTTCATGTAACAACCAATTCAGCTACAAGGGTCGCTTTTCGAACGGCATCGTCTGGGCAGAATACGTAGCAGCGAACCTTTCATTGCCCCTTTACGACTATGCGGTCGGAGGTGCAACGACTTCGAATGCTCTGATCCAGGGCTACACAGGCGCAAAGGGTGATATCGCCGTACCTTCTGTTATTGATCAAGTCGTCTCGTTCCTGGCGAGGATGAATCCTCAAGGAGGAGCATTCGGAGCGTCCGATTCGATGGCAATAGAAAGCCCTTTGCTGATCCTGTTTGCTGGTGCGAATGATATCCTGTTCAACGCCAACATCAGTGCCTCGCAGTCGTATCAAATTCTTCGTCAAGCCGAAGCACAGCTGCGCGATGCATACCCAAGTGCAAGAGTCTTGACTCTTACGCCGCCAGATATCTCCAGACTTCCGTATGGCTTCTACTTGGAAGACAATCTGGGAAAGAACCAGTTGCGAACTTTCACAGACCAGCTAGGAGAACTGCTCGACAGGTCAAAGACAGGAGCCGTCAACGTTGATCTTCGGCCGCTCTTTGACGACTTTGAGTACTATGCTTCCCCTCGAGCGTACGGATTTGACCCACTGGGAAAGTACGGCAGTTGCCTCGAAGGTGCATATGGCGAGACGCCGAACGTGACGATCTGCGGAGACCCAGATAGGCGGGTATACTGGGACGAATACCAGTGAGTTTTGGCTGGGCACTTCTCTTCGTTTCTTTTCCGAGCCGACTTGCCGTTTACCCAGTCTTGAGCTCTCATTCTGACGTCGTGCAGTCCTACAACTCATACACACTCGTGGATTGCCAAGGAGGTTCTAGACGTCCTGAGAGGTCCGTTCTGATTACCTCTTGTGGTTGAGGGAGCGAAAGTTGCAGTTCCGAGGTTGTCGGTTTCGGCATAAATGGAAAAATGCAAGTATACGGGGGGCAGTGTAGAAGTTTTCTTGGAAGCAGTTTTACAGAAAGAGCGATGAACAAAAGCGAGACATTGGATCAGACGAAAGAAGCAAACTCGCTGGCCCAATACCAAGTTCTAATTCCAACTTCGGTCTAAGACCAGGGGACCCCTCGCAGGTCTGTCCTGAAGAGGCGAAGGCATCCCAACCCTCCCCTGCCAACTCCACTTGACCCGGCTATTGTTGACACCAACTCTCTGTGTCAAACGAGCACGGACAAGTTGTTTGCGAGCTGAGGATAGTGCGTCCCGCCCGTTGCCGCTGACAAAGATGCACCCTTCAGGGGCGGAGTTCTTGGTTCATCGTCAAGCTGCAACGAAATCCGATGTGCTGACCATGGCTACATAAAAGTCAGACGGACTGGACTGGATCAGCTATGATCTGTGATAAGATAGAAACAAGCTCAGAGTGTTGAACTAATTTTGGTGAAAGTCTTTCTGCATATTCATGCTTCGGACTTGTACGATAGATCTCCATTCATCCATATTGGATGGCGAATTTCGAGTAGAATATTTTGACATGGTCCACAAGTCTTGGCAAGGCTCGTTGTCACAGAAAGCACGGCACGAAATTCAGGGCTGGTGGCCGCGTCTTATTCTCTGCCCATGATAAGCGGAAAATTGAACGCAATGACGTGGAAACAATTTGGCTTTAAGCGCTCTTGCGTTCCCGAAGCCGGACTTCCGGGCCTAGGTGGATGAAGTTATGGTTAATTGGTTATTTGGTGATGTGGCTCAACAACAGACGAAAAGAGAAGCAATCTCGGAGGCGTCTCACCGATCAATGTCACAAGCCGTTGAAGCAGGGCCAGGCAATTCGCCAATAATGCGGACATGACTTCCCGAAAGCGTTCTTTGCAGTTAGTCGAGTGTTCCCCAACGCCGCGACTCTCCTGAGGCCTAGGAGTTTCCATCCCACGTTGCCGCCCAGAATTGTTTTGTTAAGGCTGGTCCCTGTGCAGGCATGTCCCCTGGCCTCATTTAAGCGCGACGTGCTGCCATCTGATGACGCGTAACTAAGACATGGTCCGCCCCCGGTAGACAGGGAGACTAAGCAGCGTCCCATCACTTCTCTGGACTCTGCATCCCCGTTAAAAAAAACCAAGTGAAAACCCCCGAACTAGGAACAACGGCACCGTTCCCCTCGCCCCAAAATGTAAAGGTGAAACGAAGACGACGACGTCCCTCATTTACAGCAAACGCCCCATGGTCGGAAAATAAGGGAGCTGTGGAGACCCTGGACCCGTCTTCCTTGAAACACACGGCCGTGATGGGTTGAACATCGAAACCCAACCACTCAGAGCCTTCCACACACACTCCAGTCATGTTCCCATCCTGGAGAAGATCTGTTGTTCCTTGGTTTGGTCTAGAACCCTCGAGGCTCGAGCAAGTTGTCGGTATCAGCACTGTTGACTCGCTGAGCTGCGCGCACCATCCACCCATCCATCCGCACCATTCACCCACCCACGCGGCATCCATCATCCTGATCCCGCCGCGGAAAGCTAGGCCAACAGTTGCCAAACTCCTGTTACCCCTGAGAACCCACCCGTTGGAAATTGACAGCAATATGGCGCCCATGCTTCTCACCACTGTTCTGTCTTGATCGAAAGCGGGAAAGTCGGGCCACCCCTTCTATCCAAGCTGGAGCTTGAGCCGCAGACAACTACCGAATAGTGGCAACTCGTCCGGGGCCAAAGTCGCCAAACATGGTTCCTGCTCTGCTAAACGCCCACATCCCGCCGGGCTGGGTCGGCTCCCCTTGTCGATCTGTGTCGTCCGATGGCGCAACAGTTCACCATGTTGCTCGACCAAGTTGACGCCATCCTGGCAAACCATGAGCCAAATCGGTGGCGGATGGCAACCGGGATCCCAGACGTCGAGATCGATATAAGATGCAGCTTTTCTCCTTCCAAGACCAGTCTCCTTTTTGCTCTCCATCCCACTCCATCTTCATCACTTTCATTCCAAACACATTGAAGCTAGTCTTCTTTTTCCGTTCTTGATACCAAGCCTTTCATTCGTTCCTTCGAACCACATTCCTTACCAACCTTTCCCACCTCACAAAAAACAACCTCTCAGTCAATCTCATAACTCAGACAAAATGAAGGCCAACGTTATCGCCGCTACCATCCTTGCCGCCTTCTCGGCTGGCGCTTTCGCTCAGGACCAGGAGGCCGAGTTCCCCACTGGCTTCCCTACCGACCTCCCCTCCGGCTTCCCTACCCAGGTCCCCGGCGCCGCTAAGCCTTCCGGCGGCTTCGGCGGTGGCTTCCCCGGCTTCCCCTCCGGTGGCTTCCCCACTGGCTTCGGCGGTGCCCGCCCTACCCAGGTTCCCGGCGCTGCCCAGCCCTCCGGTGGCTTCGGCGGCAACTTCCCCGGCTTCGGTGGCCACTCCGGCTTCCTGACCCGCACCCGCGGCTCCTCCGAGGAGGCTGCTGGCTTCGGCGCCCAGGCTGCTGAGACCCCCTTCCCCACCGGCACCCAGTCCGGCGGCGCTCGCCCTACCGGCAAGGGTAAGGGCAAGGGTAAGGGCAAGAACCACGGCACCGGTGCTCTCCCCTCCGGTGTTCGCCCTACCCAGGTCCCCGGTGCTGCTCAGCCCTCCGGCGGCTTCGGCGGCAACTTCCCCGGCTTCGGTGGCGATGCTCCCTCCGGCGCTCCCTCCGCTGAGCCCACCTCCGCTTAAGCGACAACAACAACTTCTTCGACGATGACATATTCGGCTTATGGGTTTGACTTGGACCACTTGGTTCAGCAAACGGCTTTATCTGGAGCGTGTTTGGACGATTTCTAGTGATGGAAGATGTGTTTCTTTTCTTACTACTCCACGTGGAGCTTTCATTGTATAAATACAAAAGCCACTTGGAGTAGCTGGCTGGTACATTGCATAGGCGTTTGCTTTTTGTAGACTTATCAAATAAGAGCATCCGTCTTTTTCAAACTTCTCGGGCATGAATTCGCTGTGATTGCTAACTTAGAGATATCTTAACGTGAACCGCTCTGGTCTCTCTCGTTGCTTCCCCAACACCCCTTTGAGAAGCTTTTCAACTGTTGAGCCTAGACTCCGGAGCAAACACTTCTGTTATTCTTTAGGATGCAGTCCATCACTATAACAAATGAACTGAGCTAGCGAGCCCACTGGCTAGCTGGCCAATTTTCAGATTATCTCAATCCCTGGAAGTTACATTTTGAAGATTTCAACTACTTTGGCTGATGAGTTCGGGAAGCGCTTTGAGTTCTTCAACCGGATTTCTATGCTGTTTCATATGAGCATAGTAAACTATTAGTAACGACGATCGCGGTAAAAGCAAAGCAGTCAAACAAGGTTTGGTCACAGATCCATGAAGGTACAGTGCGTACTTAGGTCCTTGCGTTCTGAACCAAAGTCTAAAAGTCCCTTTCAAAACATCGTTTGCCATTCATTTACCCTGTACGACTAACTACATAGGAATGTCTTGAAACCTCACACAACGTTCTGATGTAACCCTATATCCGTCCGTGAGCCATCTACAGGCTCTCGATGTTTCTTCTATGGCGCACTGCCAGCTACCTAAGTCACGTATGCCGGTGATAGACCACTCATATTACACTTGCTTCATCTTCTCATCCAATCGTACCTCAGTCTCTAGTCCTCTCACAGGAGTTGAGTTGCGGCCATAACAGCAGCCAATGCAAAGGCGATAGTGGCAGGCTGGTTGCTATTGGCAGCGCTGGCGTCGGTGCTCGAAGTAGCAGACTAGACTTTTGTTAGAAATCCCGACTATGATCCATGGTTGCCCCAGAACAAAGACATACCGAGCTCGAGCCGGTGGCAGATGCTGTGGAAGATGAACCAGCGGTGCCGGATGTCCCTGCCGTGGTAGTCGCGTTGTTCGTGCTGTTCGAAGCAGTGACAGGCGTCGCGTCAAGGTTACATCCGTCCGCGGCTTCTGTGACACCGTCTCCGTAGTATTGCCAGATGTCAAAGGTATTCGCGCACTGAAGACATCCCTCGAAGTAGTCCGTCCAGGTGGAGTTGGTGCAGTAGCCGTCCTCAGCTGCTCCAAGGATTGCATAGCCTAGATGTTGTTATGAGTCTGTCTGATCCGGCGTACGGAGCACATCGAATCACATACCGCAGTTCTCGTGGCACTCGTACTTGGCTCCGCTGGTGACCTGACGCGCGTGAAGAGGCACGATGGGGAGCCATTCCAAAGCTGTAGCAGTGGAGGCCAAGAGCGCGACAGCTGTGACGAACTTCATATTGACGACAATGCTGACTAGATGAAAAAGGTAGCGGATGAAATCGATCAATGATGGCGAGGCAATAACTAGAAAGAAGGCTGCGCGGTAGAGAATCCGCGCTGCGCCGCATCTATATATTTCATGCTACTGCAGCATCCCGAGCGAGCAGATTGTTTGCATACGCAACCTCTTTCGGGGATCCTCTTGGTGGATCGATAACTCGCAGCTAGATTTTCTTGGCTGGATGCCTTCAGCCGATGGGCGAATCATGTTCTGACGGCCGAGAGTGCCGAGGTGCTCAGGTTGCATCGGCACGGGTTGGAGTGGGGGATCAAGGATAGTCACGTTGCGATGGGCGAACTTTCGAGCAAACTTCTGCAATGTCATCGTTCTACAGCACTCTGCTCCACGAAACACCAGTTTACAGTAAATTGAATACGGTCTGGTAAGTTGGTGTTAGAAATCCAGTTCACGTCCCCGATGATGAACACAATTCGAGAGAACTGAACAATGCAGAAGGCATCTTACACCGAAAAACTCACTGCTTACATTTCTACTCTTGAGAGGTAAGCTCATCGGCCAGATCTCACTTACAACACAGGGTTCCCATGCCGATGTGGTAGAACAAGATCTGGGCACATGTTATGATTGGTAGATGGCATCTTATCAGATCATCTGATATCCGCTCTGCAATCTCGGTTTCCCTCCACAACACGACACACCTGAGGCCAGCATCTCGGCGCTCCTTTTCTTCGCCTCAGGCCGTTAGGCCGAGACATCTCAAAGGTTCTCCTCCGACTCGGCCGGGACCTTCTCCGGTCAACGGACCACAACCGCCGAGAAATACCGGCCGGATCGCCTCATTGTTTGAATGGAAGAAAGGGTTGGGCACGAACAGGCCCGGCCGCTGACACCCTTGTGATAATCCTGGTCCAATAATCCACCATCATGTGGAGTTTCTTCCTTCGCAGTCTTGCGGTGTGGTCTTGCTCCCCGGTCAAATACGCACCCAACCCCGTTTGCAACCGTCCGACCCAATCACTCCCCCGACATGATAGTCAAGGGTTCGTCGCCTTTTGAAAGATCCGGTTCGTCGCAACGTGCTCGCAGCGGATCCTCAACAAACAAACCATGGCGCCAAACTCCCGATCGAGTCTTTGGACGAACCACGCGAGTTCTTACCGCCAAACTTCTAGCCCACAGATGCATGGCCAGCTCAGTTGTGCTAAACCCATTCCGCTCTTTCTTCAACGAAAGAGTCTTGTGCGCCGATGATGTTCTTGTGAATCGCAGGGGATCGTGAAAAAAAACCACGGAAACCGAGTGGCTGGCCAACTCAACGCCCACCGCCTCTTACGCGCCCCGGCTCGGCGTCCGTTGCCCGGCTGCTCAGTTGCTCGCCTCACGATGGCAATCTAGTGTCTATTAAAGACTGGTCAGTGGCCGCATCTCTTGTCTGAGTTTCATTCTTGGAAGATATCCTCTTTCGAGGTCCACCTCGATACACCACCAAAACAATCATCCAACATGGCTCAGGCCTCGCCTTCGTGGCAGAGGCTGTTGGGGCTGCTGTCAGTGCTTCTGGCACTGATCCTCGGCGTCTCGGCCGGGGAGCACGGTGCTGCTGTCACCGGCTGCCCCGCTGATCTTGCTTCGGCCCCGGAACACACCCTTTCTGCCGGCTTCGACAACAGCACCGACGTTGCTGAGACTCAAGCAGAGCGCTCGCACGTCGAGAAGCTCGCGGCGACCAGCTTACACGGCATGGGTATGTTTCGACTCATTAACCCACGTGTTCTTGCTCACAGACTAACAACGCTTTCTTAGGCGCCCGATCCAGCTTCGAGGCTTTCCGAGTCGAGATCCCTGCCTCATGCAACACTCCCAGCATGAAGAGCTCCCTCATCGAGCTCCCCATCAGCTTCGCCAGTCTGCACATGCATCTGCAGAACATCCGAACCAAATAACCTCGATGGCGGTTTGCCCAACGCTCAAACCGCCGACACGAGATGAACTACTTCACCCGTGTTGGATTCGAACATACGATCTCCGACACACTTAAACCCTAACGTCGGGGTGTGCTTGGTGTACCATGATATACACACTGAGCAAGTCCCGAGCCCGACTGCCCACAGAGCTGAGCCGTCACACAACAAACTATCTACGACAGGAACGACATGACTATAACGAAACGAAACTCACGACAAAAAAACCAATGCAACGAAACACGATGTCACGGACAATATCCCCTCAACCATATGACTGGTTGAGAAGTACGACGAACGACCTTTTCTTTACCTCTCAGATACCAAAACCTTCTCCCTCTTCACCGAGGTATCAGCCACTTGGCTCTTTAAATACATCTTCTTTGTCTTGAACAAGACTTTTCGTCCCTATACCAGTGAATAAATCCAATCGTCGTGAGATTTCCATGCTTGCTCGGTGTCCATCGTGTGGAAATCTTGTCGAGGGGGAAGTGACGGTGATGATCTTCAAGATTCGCTCATCTGCGGAAGTCAACTTGATTTGGCATGTAAAGTTTAGTGTCTTTAATCGTGGCTAGCAAGTTGCTGTCCAACACTTACGTAGTATTCGAGATACGAGGAGTCGATGGGTGAGGCCTAGAGATGAAGCCGCAATAGCGGCCGTTTATGACTACTTGTCCACGGTATCGACTGTCATCGAACTCATGATCCCTGGTAGAAGCACATGCCTCCATCCAGACGTTAGTAACCCATCCTTCCACGGTCCGTGGCTTGAACTTGTACCTTGCCGAACCTACTTAATGGAAGAAGGGCTACAGAAACGGGACGAAAGCTAGGGTGGCCATCGACATTGTTTGCTGCTGTTTCATGAGAATGAGGTGTTTCCTCTTCAAATTGCGACACATCCATAGTTATCACTTATTCCAGTAAGCTAAGATGAAATTGATACGCAATCTTTGGCCAGCAAACTTGAATGAAGACGAGAAGGACCATGCACACTGGTGATGCATTCTACAACAAACGATTTGGCGGATTGAAGCAAGAGATTGATAGATCGTAAGACATACCATTCTTCTATGCACCAGCTGTTGTTCAGTTGCATCGTGAATCTCGATTTGAGTCAAGTGAAGCTGAGCTTGACCCATGTGAAAGGTGATGGAGGTACGATGGTTCTTCACGCCGAGCCAAAGGCCAGGACATCGCGCCACTACGCATGCTTCTTCCGAGCCCAATCTTCACTCCGGGCTAAGATAGACTGAATAAAGGCAGCTCGCTAACCCTTTTGAACGATGCATATGCAGCATACGGTATTGGCATCGCAGACGAGGATGACAAGATCTTGTTCCGACTGGAGATCCCTATTCCAGCACCGAGTATGCATGGGGGCGCAACGGATTTCGAAGCCATGCTTGCGTACGCCATATTCTGAACGGCAAGCTACAGAACAATTTGAATTGATTGTTATCCTTGGGGATGGTCATCCTCCTGTATTTCACGGCCTAAAGGGAAGACAACAATACTCGTCAAATCACCTACGTCGTAAGGTCATACCAGAGGGTCTAGGAATAACGTACGAGCATGGCAGGGGAAACGAAGACGTTTTAAGGAGCAAGGTTTTGAACAAAATACTGCAGGATGCTCGATTGACGCCGTGGATTTCTATCAAACCGATGGGTATTCATGCCTTGAACGAAGCACTGTTCTTAGATGTCCAAGCCCGCCCGAAAACCCGGATCAGATCCCAAGCATCTTATCGGCTGCAGAAAAATGAAAGATCAAGCATCCAAACATGATTCGAATCTCCCCACTCAGATGGTTGCCAAGGAAGAGCAAGCAAGGTGTGAAGTTGACAGCATGAACGCATGCATACACAATTCAGGTTAGACTCCGAGTGCCTGAGACACTGCCGCACTGGAGCACTCCGTTATTGTTTCCGATACCCTTGTCTGCATTTGTGTAATACATTTAGTTTGTCAGAGACTGGCGAGGTGCAATCAGCTGCGTCTGGCGGGTAAACTTACCAAGGTTAATCTGGCTCGATTCTCTTTTCCCGTTTGAAGCATTGCAGGCACAAGTCAAAAGATTCCTCTCCTTACCACTGAGGCTGCACTTATTACAACTTGTGCCAAAAAGGCCCTGGGGACTTATGATGAAGTTGTTAGCAAAAGACCACACGGAGAGAGAGGAGGTAAAATCTAAATACTCTTTCCATTCCATGACTCCACCTTGTATGTTGTTGGCGATACAGCCGTTGAGAGAGAGCTCAGTTTTGTAGTCCTGTTTGTCGCGACCTGTACAGGTGGCCTTCAAAACATAGTCGTTAAGTCCCGGGACTAGTTCAAGATCATCTTCGCAACTCTTGGTGAAGTCTATAGTATTTCCGAGAGCATCAGCCGTGCCAGATGCAACAAGAATAAAGGCCGCAGTGATGATGCCGGTTGCTAGCTTCATATTCGTATGTGCTGAGGTATGGACGGGATCGTGGTATAAGATAATTCGAAGAGAAAAGAATTAGCACTCAAATCTTCAAAAACGTCTCTATGTCAAAGCCTATGACTGCTGAGAAGTTGTAGGAGATGGAGAAGAAGTGACCAAGGGTTGATATGTTGCGCTGTTTTAAACGCTTGTAACGAGGCATCCATCACCGGTTGGGAAGGTATATTGGACCACCATAAGTTCTCCCACACTTCCTTGTTCCAATTTCAGTACAAAGTGGGCGGTGAACGTGGACGGTGTCTCAAAGAAAACTGCTCAGATCTCAAAGGGGGATGTGGTGAAGCTCGTGATATCTTCTCCTCCAATTGAAGCTTGGGAAAGTGCGATATGGGGGCAGAGGAGACATGGAGGTAGAAAGAAGCGCTGATTCTTGTGGTGACCTCTAATTCATATGGTACCTGGCCTTCTGAGTAGGTGATCGAGGTTCTGATAGGTTGCAGAATGCCCCAAAGGTGGTCGTTCAAGATCTGTAACAAACATATGAACAAGTGCTATGCGCATCGTCTTTCTCAGCATGCTGATTTTCCAGGGAACAGAAGAGAAAAATCGCCAAGACCCACCGTCACTGCCAAAAGAGAAGGCTCGTTGGAGCGGATTTCGGCGTTTTCAGGCTTGGCTACGAACACCGCCTTTGTTCCGCTGAACCTCATGAAGGCCAAGAGCTGTCGGTGTTCTCTCTCCAAAGAATCAACCACTCAATCCGGCATGACCGCCTCATCAAATGACATTGGTGGGTGCACAAGGAGCAAAATTTGAAATCTTGCGTATGGGTCCTCTACCTAGACGGTCGATATACGGCATGCGAACTGACCTGACTGAGGTGTATCACCACTCATCTCGAGATCCTCGCGTACTATTAAAGTATTCTTGTTTATACCACACTTTTCTAGGTTTCTTGCGACCCTGCGGCATACCTTCTTTTTTCTCATTGATCACATGACCCGGTTGCTCCTTCCTCTTGAACAGGGAGAAAAAAAGTGAGGCTCATGAATATCGGGGGAATTTTTTCTCCGCGGCAACCAAATTTTGCAGCCTCCATCTACCAACCTCATCCTCTCCCACCCAACCCTACCACCTTTTCTACTTTTCTACCACACACAAGCCTCCATCTACCAACCTCATCCTCTCCCACCCAACCCTACCACCTTTTCTACTTTTCTACCACACACAATTTCCAATCCCTTCCTTTCCAATATTATTTCCTCTCGCTATCAATTCATCAACCACCGCAGTCCATCCTCGTCACACTTCTCTTCCTCACTCCTCCTCCCGCAATCAAAGCACCACCAGCCCAGCAATCACTTCGCTTCAATCACAGCTTTCCTGGACGAATCGCCATATCGAAATCTCATAATGCTCGAATTGCCACGCGTCTTCCCTCAGAGATTCCTTACTTGACGACTGCGGGCCTTCCCGAATGAGGCAAGCTTGCCGGAACGCGTCACTCGCGTCGCCCTCCGGATATTTACTTCACCTCCAGCCTGTCGCCACGGCATCTTCACCTCTTCCCTCTCATCGACGGCTTCAAGCGATCCTTCCAACACCAACAGCTCGGGTAAGTGCGGACATATCCCCAGATCGAGGCGACCTGGAACCCGTCGTCCGCCAACGGATCCTCGAAAACTGCCTCCATCTACGCGATCACTGTCCAATATCGGTCCAGCACCCTCTTCTCACAACGTCCCATACTTACTCTTCCTTCCCTCAGAATTAGAGCCCAAAGAATTGATCGCTCTTGCTGCTTGAAAAGTCTGTCTAGAAGGCGGTGTTAAGCCTGCTAATTTTCTCTCCTTGACCTCACCTTCCCACCAGGCAAGTACTCATCTCTCCGATCTTTTGGCACAAAGCCGCCTCTCCTTCGTCCCTATAACCTTCGTCTCTTCACACTTCGTCTTTGCTCTTCTCGGTCTTTCACACTTCGTCTTCTCACACTTTCCCTCTACACACCTCGTCCCATCGCACTTCGTCTTTTCACACTTCGTCGCTTCATACTTCGTCTTTTCACACTTCTTCCCTTCATACTTCCTCCCTTCGCACTTCGTCGCTTCATACTTCATCGTCTCATTCTTCGTCCCGTCGGACTTCGTCTTTTCACACTTCGTCTGTTCATACTTCGTCCCTTCATACTTCGTCTCTTTACACTTCGTCCCTTCGCACTTCGTCTCTTCGCAATCCGTCTCTTTATGATTCGTCGCTTCTCTTGCTCATCGCTTTTTTGCCTCATCGCTTTTCGTCCAATTCATGCTTCATCGCTTTCGAAATACCTGTTCATCGAGTCTCTTTACTCATCGCTCTTTACCTCAGTGACCAAAGCTTCACATGCTTAAGCCCACCAGTCACACTACAAAGGTATTTGGACTTTCTGCTCTAGCATGAATCCCAGCTCTCAAATGCACACCATTCTAGCCCTACTCTACGACTTCACATTCTGACTAGAATTTTTGGCTAACTCATCGTGTTCTAGATACCAAAATCGGATGACGTTCACCGTCTGAAGAGATACGACGAGAGATACGACGATGGCTTCGTCGCATCTTCGGACGTATCGTCGCATCTCTTGGATTATCTTAGTCCCGTCCGAATGCGACTTCCGACGGACATCGCCATCTCGACATGTCGCCTGACCACTACCAAGGTGTGCTCTGCCATTGAGGTCACAATCGCTCTTGCGAAATTGCAGCCTTCAAAGACTTGCTCGAATCATGGCCCATAAGAAAGGCTTGGAATGTGTTTGCTCAAAATGAGGTATGTTAACTACACATTCAAGTAGAATATCACTTGCCTGAGAACGAGCTGGCTATCCAGTCTCTCTCTGATCATTCCTTTAATTGGTGTCATGAATGTTTGCTAACAATGGCCTTTCTTAGACCTCTCAATAGGGCATGGGGACAATAGAGCCTCTGCTCTCTCCATTGGTTTGTCTTCTCAGGACATAGCTTGTTTCAAGCCAGAAGAGGCCAAGTTGAAACCAACTGCTCGAATAAGTCTACGTTTCCACCAACGGCTCCAGCTCTGGGCAGCCTTTCGGCACTTCTTAGCATCCCAGGCATGCATGAAGCCATCGAACAACCGACGTGGCATCAACGAGGTCGGGGCTTGCTGCCCTGGCCTCGCATTTGGGGTGACGCGGGAGACCACGCTCACCCCGCGTGCTCATCGTCCCTCATACCTGCGTTGGAGTCTCCGTGTCAGCCAAAACCCCAGTCAGCTGTCTGCGATGTGGTACGGCGGACACGGCGAGTCCAACGCGGGAATCTCGTACATGAGAGGGCCGAATGGCGAACCAGACCCTGCCGTTTCTATCATAATGGCAGATAAGTACAGTGATATCGACATTGACCGAGGTGACGATATCGTCTACTGCGGAAGCGATTCACTTGACAACACCTCGAGCAACACTCCCGCCGATGGCGAAGCGCCCGTTCGGGGCAATGCAGAGACTTGTTCGAAAATGCTTCAAGAAACCTTAATGGACGATTCGAGATCCTGCTCAAAAGACCTCCTAAACCGAAGTTGACGTTCCCTTCCGGGAGTCGATGGCATTAATCATGGCCCAGCGCCTTCAATCATCATGGCAGACAAGTACGGCGACATCGACGTCGACCGTGGCGACGACATCATTTACTGCGGGAGTAATTCACTCGAAAACACATCGAGAAACACTCCCGCCGATGGCGGACCGCCCGTTCGAGACAACGCAGCCCTATTCAAGCCCACAGAGAAGAAGACCAGACTTGTTCGAATATGCTTCAAAAACCCCGAGCGGGTGATTCGGAATCCTGTTCAAAGACACCCTGAACCGGGGCTGGCGTTCTCGAGCCCTCAGGAAACCATTCTGCGGGTATTTCCACCACCTACACCGGCAACTTAAGCCAGGCCGGCCATCATCATGTACTTTCTTTGAGACGGTCGGTCCTGGCTTGCTCGAATACCAGAACAATCAAAGATGCGTGCTCTTCCATTGTCCGAAGAGCTATGCCTAGCCCAGCTTCCGGGCGAGACTTTTGGCTCAAGATACGCCATCAAGAGAAAGCTGGAGATCACCAAGAGGTTTTCGACCGAGGGACGATCCGGAAAACAACATCGCTTCTTCACTTCGCCCGTCAGGGATATTTCAGCTCATCTTCTTTCAACGACTCAACGTCGAGAACACCATCCACCCACACTTCAATTAGTGCTCGAATGCGGAAATTTCTTTTGCTCGAATGCTAGATCTCCCTGATCTTGAAGATCTTGTCGCTCACCTTGGAGATACTTACGCCGACCTTGGGGACCCTAGCTCATTTGCTACCACGGGCCCCGAGCAGAGCATCAACTTCCAAGTATGGATTTTCCCTTTGGCCAAGATGAGCAGGGAAATCCTTTCCCGGATCCCGATCCCGCTAACATCCTTGGCCCTAATCCCGACGAAGGATGGCCTAAGGATGAACATCCACAACACGGGAACCGCCAGGTTATCGGTGGTTTTCTTGAAGATCTCCCTGATCTTGATGATCTTGACGCTCACCTTGGGGACCCTAGCTCATTTGCTTCCACGGGCCCCGAGCAGAGTATCGAATTTCACACGAGTTTCGAGGGGATGCCCCCAAACGGTCCGGCCGACCAGGGCTTGGGCCCGACAGCACTCCCAGAAATTGGACAGGCCAACAACAGCAATGACCTTGGTTTCCAAGACGGAGTTACAAACGCTGCTCCTCCTCTCGCTTATGGGCCCGCCACTGGCCACACGGCCATGTGGATATTTTACGCTGCCAAGCACAGCAGCAGCAGCCCACTAGCAACGCGTCTTACTGCCACGCTCCTGGACAAGACACGGCGAACATGAAAGAGATCATGACCAATTACGGTCTCGCGGCTGACGATGAGGATATTTCTCGCACACGCCCAAGTCACTGGCACTATTACGACGATTGCCCACCATGCTCAACAAGCCCAACCGGGGATTATTACCGCTCGCGGTTATTTCGAATCAACGACATCAAAACCAACCCTCGGGGCAATGCTGGCTGCGACTAGCCCCCGAGTCTTTCGCAAGGCGATGTTTGGGGGGCGTCTGGGGTCTCGTAGAACTCTCTGGTTCAACAGTCCTGCTCGAAAGCTTGTTCGAAAGCCTGCTTAAAGGCAATTTTCAACTTTGCTTTCAACAACCCCCGCGGGCGGGCGGCATTTCACGGCGCTGGACGCTTTGTTTTTCTTTCGACTTTCAAATATTGGCGCCGTCACTGCTCGAATAAGTCGAATAGGAGTGCTGGAAGCCTCCATTTGCTACTGGGGGAGCATCCCGGATTGTGTCGGGCGTTCGCATGGTCGCCCAGAAGGAGATGGCCCCTCTGTATACTCGTCTATGCACTGGGGAGGGGAAAGGAGCCCCCGAGGGCATCAAGGGTGCAGCGTGGGAGAGTTATGCTCGAAAAGACTGCTCGAATGGAAGAGAGCGCTGGAACGCTTCTCATCAGGCCTCAAGATTAAGCATATCAGGAACATCCCGGTGGACTCTTGATCCCTTAGGAGTGTTCAGGGCACTTTCGAGGGCATCAAGGGTGCCGTCTGGGAGACCTGATGATTTCGACATCGAAACATTGCTCGAAAAGTTGTTCGAAAAATTGTTCGAATGAAGGGGGGCGCCGGACACCTCTCGCGAGGTTTTGAAGATTGGGTATCTTCATGGTCTCCTGCTCCTTCTGTGCGATCATCTCGCACAGAATGAGATACTGCCCCAGTCCACTGAGCGCATCGTTGAGGTCCAAGGCACACCCGAGGGCCTCAAGGGAGCGATTTGGGAAATCTGCAAGTGTCTCGACGACGAGGACCTCCAAGGAAGAACTCGGGCGGAGACAGGCAGCAGAAAGGACCACCGCCGCTGCAAGTTCAAGTACTACCAGCGCAGACAAAGCCGGTCCAAGTACCGCAACGTATACCGTTGCAAGGGCTATCCCGGAAATCACGATTGCAAGAACATGCTCTACAACCCTGTCGTTTGCACTCAGTCCGATACAGCATACATGGCGTCGATTTCTCACTTCTCTAAACAACAAACGCGCTAAGACATATGACCCAGCCAAGAGGATTCCAAAAAGCGTGTCAAGATCACTCACGGAGAGTCTGCTGTCAAAAGGAGCATATGGGTCGGAATGGTCTTCTACTGGAGTCAGGCAAGCATCATCTTTTGAGCTGATGTTCAAAAACATGTTTCAATAGGAGGAGCCTGTCCCAGGATGATGTCGATGGTTATTTTACCACAAGCCGTTTGTTTCATCATCAACATCATCATCGACATCGTCCTCGGAATACTTGAAGTCTTCGTCATCGCTTGGAGTCTGGTGGTTATCGGCTAGGCTGAGGGCCGCCGCAACCCTGGTTGCATTCTCAAAATGAAGTTGCGGGGTTGAGGGTATCGACATGGACATGGGGATTGCTCGAATAATGGGAGACACAGGTTTGAGGGCATGGATATGGATGATAATGAAGGGTCAAAGGGAAGGAGTTACGGAGGTGAGGGTATCGATGTGGATTTGGGAAGAGACCGAAGAGCAGCAAGTAGGGGGTGGGGGTATCAAGGAAGCGAAAAGGAGTGTTCGAAGAGGCGTCTGAAGCTTGGAGTCTTGGACATCAAGTAATATCTGAGCCGAGGCGCTGTCTCATGGCCGGCGAGCCTACTACTCAACCTTTAGAAACCGTTGTCCGAGAGCAGAGGAGTTCTACTGCATAGCTCGAAGGAAGCAGAAGGAATGTATGGTGGAGAGGACGATGGGGGGATTAGCTCAAGACTACAGAGCGTACTCAAAATAACGGACAAAACGCTTTTCTCAATCAAGTCCTCATGTTAGTGCATTTGTGAGAAGGGCCTTGGCAAGGAAACCCCACAAGAAGCCATAGACGCAGGCTGGCCTCACTCTGGGTGTGTTTTGCACGTCTTCGTCAATCGAAATCTGCTAGGTATATTCATGTATCGTGACACTGCCTTGTCGGGAATCATTCAAACTCTGGTGGATGTAGTCCACCTCTCATCTTAGGTTCTAAGAGCTTCATTTCCCAATCTCGTTTTCATCTCTGCATCAGTCTAGAAAGAGAAGAACATCGCCGCCACCAGCGCAGCGAATCCAAGACCAAGCGAAGGCGCAAAGCCACTTGCAGCATCAGGCTTGGCAGTCGAGGTCGCAGTGCCGGTGACAATGGTGCCAGGAGTCGTCGATGTCGGCGTAGCGTCGGTCTGCTGCAGGATGTAGATCTCGCCCGTGGAGTCAGAAGTCATGAACAAGCGGTTCTTGGAGTCCCACGCGAGACCGACGGGACGGAAGCACTGGTCGGGGCAGGTGCTGAGATCCTTGTTGTACATGATGTTCTTGAGAGCGTCGGTCGAGTCGCTCTTGGCGACGGGCTCGCCGTTAGAGAAGTCGACTGCGGTGAGGGCGTAGCCGACGGGGTTAGGGCGGTTGACTGCGCGCTATGTTAGTGGCCATGATGGACTTGTGATTGGGTGGGTGGAGACACTTACAGCTGCCGCGGAACGACATGAAGGCCTTTGATCCGTCGTTGTTGAACTTGAGGAAGACGGGGGATGAGTGGGATTGGAAGGTCAGGCGGGGAGCGACGTAGTCGTTGTGGCAGCGGGTATCGTTCATGGTCGAGTTCTGCTCCATGGAGAACTGGTCGCCGACGTTGAGAGAGCTGTTGAGCGGGATGCTGGTGTCCCAGACAGCGAAGCACCGCGGGTAACCGTAGTTGCCGGCGTCGGTCTCGTTCGCAATAGTACCGAGCAGGTTGAGCTCCTCACCGGGGTTGTTGGCGTGAATGTCGACGCCGTTACGCGTGATATCATCAATGGAGTTGTCCATCGCCCAGACGTTACCCGTAGCCGGGTCCTCAGCAACGGCGACGGCATTGCGAATACCCCAGCCAAGAAGCTTGCCATCCGTGTTGAAGTCGAAGGGGTTGTTGCCGGACTTGCTCAGGTCAAAGGCCTTGACTTGAGCGTGACCGCTGTTGGCATCGAGGGCATCAATGTCAAAGTTCTCGTCGACGCCGCGGGACACGACGAGCCAGTTGCTCGAGGCCTTGGACATGACCAGGGTGCGCGTGGTCTGGTCGTTGTTGGCCATGTTGTCAATGACGACGGCGGGTTCGGCGTTGACGGTGCCGGCCTTTGCGTCGTAGGCCCAGGCGAGGACTTGGGAGACGGAGGAGGCGTACAGTGTCTTGCCATCTTCTGAGAAGGCCATGCCGTGTGTGAGCTGGATGATGACATGTTAGCGCTGTTACCATCTCTGGGGATTTCTGGAGGTCAAGTCGTACTCTTGTATTGTTAACCAGAAGCTTGCTCTCGGTCAACGTCAGACATGTACCGCCATTATCCTTGAATGTGACGCGGTAAACACCAACAGCGGCGTCCAGGACGAGCAGAGCGCCCTCGCTGTCAACGTGAATTGTGCGAGGCTTCTTGAAGCCATTGGCGACGAGCTGTGCTTGCCAGCCAGCGGCGACCTGAGGAGCAGTGTAGCTGGGGGTAATGATATCGGCGCATTGTTGCGCGAGCGCCGTGGTGGCGGCTGCTACCGCGAGCGCGGCAGTTGTGAATCCCTTCATTCTGGCGGGTGTGGGGGAAAGGAATACGTCTGGATTCAAGCAATCGCGACAAGCTACAACGCAGTCACCTTTGAGAGCTGTCTCGCGTACATAAATAAAATGCCCCTGATATTTTCAAGGTGAGGGGAAGCTCAGTGGCAAGGTGAAGAGATTAATTAGCGACTGAGTAGCTTCGGAGCAGATTGGAACATGTCCCGCGAGACGGGTAGCGAGGCATCTGTCGACTTTCAGGGTGGCAGACCAAAACTCCACTTAAAAAAAGAGAGAGACAAAGCTCTCTGGTTCGGGATAAGATGCCCCTCCATCATCCCCCCTCCATCGCCTCCTTGTGCGGCGGCTCGCGAGTGGTTGACCTGTACGCGAGCGGGCGATCCTCTGTGCCTCTTTAGGAGCTGCTCACCTGCTCTAGCGCAATCGGTGGACGGTACGGCGAGGAGGCGACTGGGCGGCGGAATGGGTGGGTAAGTCGACCCATGGAAGCTATTAGGGTCTTCGTTGGATGAGGGGATCAGAAAGCCTGACAACCTGAGAGGGACGGTATGGCTGCGATGACAGTGGATGGATGGAACAACGCCTCCCATGTGTGTGTCTGGCCATGTTGGGTCCCTCGCGTTGAGCCAACGCACCGGCGTTGCTTTTGCGGCCAGCCACTCTGCATGGCATTGCTGCTGAGGGATGCAGACGGCAGTTGTGAGGGTATCGCGAGGGTGAAGCATTGGGGTCTCTAGCTACGGGCTCACTGCTCAGGCCTCGAGATGCTTCGGTGATGTGGCTAGCAGTCAGGAATGTTCATATTTGTTGCCCTGAGCATCGGGCCTCACTCGAAGACGAGACACGGACTGAAGCGGAATGAGAAGTCTTCCTCGAGTATCCAGCATCGTGAAGGACAAGGTCCGAATCCGGCGTCGAGGCATCGCTTCCCACCCAGCGACAGGTCGAACAAGAGCTGGATTGGTGTAGCGGATTCAGTAAGGCGCGTAAAAAAAGTTGTTCAAAAGGCGCACATTCTCTGGTAGCGTCGCGCCATGCTATCGGACGGCTCACGTTTGATGTGGGGGAATAAGCATGCAAGACAACCTTAGCTGCGTCTGTTCAGTGGGCACAGGAGCGGGATCCACGACCCGACGATGGCCGAAGGAGGCAGGTCGTCGGATTTCCGTCTGCTTGGAGCTGGGTCTAGGCGGATCGCGGGTGTGGTGATTCTGGCGATGAGGGGCAACCCATGTGGTGGTGGCCAAGGATCGTCGTCGAGATGTTGCGACTCGAGACTTCATCATGATTTTGAGAGGCAACGACGGACAACAAGAAGGAGTTGCAAAGCCAAAGCCATTATCCGTATGTCTTTCGCTGATATTTCTCCACCGAGTCTGACACGATCAGGCAATACAGTGTCACGAGCATGAAGAGAGAATGTGCGCCCACATGTCTCTCAAGGTGACGGATTCAGCTTCAAGCTAGCACCGCCAGCTTGAGCTTCACCGCTGCTAGTATGGCGTGTCTGGGATGACACATGTTGGTTCCTGAACGGCGTCTTGGCTGGACTCTGGTAGCGCCCACAGATACGGGTTGTGCTTGCATTTGAATTCTCGCCAACGGGAACAGACCGAAGTTACGATGTTGTTAATAATCAACAGAAAGAAAGGCCGCAATGCAAGCACGAAATCCTCCGCTCCCATAGAGTCCCCAGTTCCGTAGGGCGAGTCCACTCTCCGGCCCTCTCCTCGGCGCATCTGTCGGGCCTCGTCCCTCTACGGAGTACAGATCGATCATCACATATCGTTACACTTACCACACGGCATATCGGCTCTGTTAACCACGAGTGAGTCTTGGCAAAATTACGAGAAGAGCCAAGGCCTTGGTAGTGTCTGAACTCGTCCCTTTGCTTTGCCCTGACGCCCATTGACCAACCACCTCTCTGTGCGAGCTCACGCTTCGCAATCGCAACCATCCACCATCCTGCCATCCCACCACTTCGGACAAATATTTCTTACACTCCATCTTCTGAGTCTTGACACAAGCAAATCGAAGCCAAGAGCGTTGAGGCGTCTGAGCTAGACCACTCCCGTGTTACACCATGCACTGCAATCATGGTCGACTTTCAAAGACGTTGAGAATGTGCCCAGCCGGAATCCTCATTTGATTTCTCTTGTTCGTTTAGACAACCTACTATCGCGGACATGGAAGTTTTGCACCTCATAGCCCATGGACCGCGATCATGCGTTGGCACTCTGTCAAAGGGTGAATACGAGGCTGAGCCCATCTCTCGCATCCCGAGGATGGCGATAGAGGCTTTTCATACGGCAACGGCACAGATAAATCAGCACCACCACCTCCTGTCACGCAAAGAAACTGCTTGGCGCCCATCAGACTTTGCTGCTGGGTGGTGGCTGCAGGGCAGGGCTTGCAAAGTTGCTTCCAACCCCGCACTAATCACTCTCTGATGGTGCCGGTAATAGGCTCATCGCCCATCCCATGGTCCGTATCGAGGCTGTTCCCTGTCTCCTCCGAGTCGTATCGCCCCTCTTCTCGACGAGAATCCCAAGTCCACCTTGCCTTGGCTCTAGCAGCTGTCGCTTCAGAAAGTTCAGCCCAGCCATCAAACCCCCCCTCCCTCTGAACGCGAAACGGAAAATACACAGGCCCTACATGTAGCTACACTACTGTGCAGTACAGGCGTTGCAAGTGGTGTTCGTCTGCTCTACCTGAGCTAAAACAGAGCTGTCTCCAGTTTGGCCTGTCAAACGTCAAGTTTGGGACCCTTCAAGAGGAGAACAGATGAGACGGCGTTCAATCTTCCGAAGTCTTTAGAGATGCTAGTCACCACACCGCAAGTATGTGATACTCAAATGTCAAGACGCACCGGCAAACTCAACGGAGGACACTACGGCACTCCGGCACCGTGAATGGCGGCATGGCATACAGATAAAGTGAAAGCCTACATGTTAATGACCAAACACACAAATCCATGGCACGCCGTGAGACCTGCGCCCAGAGCACGCCAACACTTGCTCGACAGGGGCGCTCCGGGTTCCAACCATTGATTCTGGAGCTTGCCGAGACAACAACGTGCTGAACTGATGGTCGACTCCGTGCAAGCTCCATCTTCCAAGACCACGGTGCCCATCTGTCTGCGCCCTTCACCCTATCACCAACCTCCTTGGCGTTCTCCGCCCATTATCAACTGGTTGCCACGCTGCCGTGCCATGCCCGCGATTGTCTCTTGCCAAGCATGCGTTCCTCACGCCCAGCATCCTCCTCATTGGGTGCCGTATTGCCCATGATCCAGCGCTGGACCGCTGGTCCCCTCGCCGAAATGGCCTTTAGGCTTGAGGGAGCGGGACATGCGGAGCAGAAGAAGAAAGGCCATTCCACCTTGGATTTCACCCCATTCTCTTCTTCCCACTTGTTGCTTACTTGACTGGTCCGAGTCTTCTTCTTCCATTGAAGCCTTCAAGTTTCCTAGCGCCATCTGCTCTACCTTACTCTCCAGCCACCCAACACACACACGAAGTGGTGCGCTACACTAGCTCAACTGGCGCAACCAGCCCTGGACTTTGGGGACTCGGCTCGAACTCGAGAATCGCGAACGAATACGGATACATTTGCGTGCTTACTTACTGCCGCCTGCGTCCGCTACCGCTGCTTTGCTACCAACGCCCAATGCCCCTCCATTCCATGTTCGTATGACGCGTTGCGAGACCCCAAGCCGGCAAACATCCGCTTCTTCTGGGTCCTTATTTTTTGGCCCTTTCTTTCCTTGTGGATTCCCCTTGCTCAGCGGCGCCGCTTAATATTTGATACCCAGCAAGGTACGGCACGCTGAGCTGTAGAGAACCGGGACGAAGTGGTCCATCACCAGCCGATCTCTGCTTTCTCTTACGATCCATGTCGATCTGTTGTTCTTAGAGACGCAGCTCATTGCGACCTGGTTCCCCTCGAGATATTCTTCCCTCTCTTGCAACCTGAGACTTCTCATCATATTGGAGCGAACAAAGGTGGACTCGACTCAGGAATATACGGGCGAGGACTCTTCTACATGCACTTTCACCCACTGCGTCTGTGCTCCCCAGACATTTGAAGCTTCGCACAGCATCGAGAGACCCTTCAAGACCATGTTCACAAACACACAACGACTGCTGTCAGCCTTTGCGGCGACTGCTCTCCTCTTCGCAACTTCATCATCAGCCGCAGCCGTTCAACCCCGGCAAGGTCCAGGTCCGGTCAACGACTGGATCTCCGTTGACTCAAATGGCAATGCCCGAACCATCTCACCATCAGTCGTCACTAGCAATGGCGCACGCACAACAATCAGCCCGCCACCGTACTCATTAACGGGCTCCGTCTACACCGTCACGGCCACCACCGGCGGACTCACAACCAGCACAGGCGTACCGCCGCCGCCGCAAGCAAGCAATACCCAGGGATTTGGAGGAGTTTTCGCCGTGTGCAACAATAGGGTCGGCCAGGATGGTCCGTTTTGTCAACCTCGACGGGGTAGCACTCTGCACGTGGAGTCGACGTACTACAGTAAGCTTAAATTCATCCCGTCCCGTTCATGTCTGAATCGCGGGACGGCCTTAAGCACCCCTCTTCAAAATCAGGTTGCTAACGATAATCTCAAAAGTCACTTGGGATACGACATTCTTTGCAGATCCCGCCACGCCCATTGGCATCGTCGGCTTCGATGTAGACAACGGCATCACCGACAACGCACCCGCATTCTCCGTAACAAACCTCAGCGGCGGCGATGGCTGGGTTCCCTGGACCCCTCACCTTACCGACCTCGAAAGCAAGACCTCCAACAACATGACCATCATCCTCATGTACAACGACCCCGACACGGGCGAAGAGAAGAACGTCACGGGCCCCGTATTCACGCTGAGGATGGCAATGGACACCGACACACCTAACTCGAGACCGAACCTCCTCGCCATCCTATTACCCGTCATCCTCATTTCCCTCGCCATCGCCGCCTTTATGGTATGGCTGTATATCAGGCGCCGCCGCCGTCACGCGGCCGTCGCTGCCGCGGTGGAGCGCCAGAACGCGGCGCATCCCACGGGACAGCCGCGGAGCATGCATGGGCAGAAGGGCAGCGCGGATATCCAGCTCGAGCCGACGAGTCCGCCGCCGGGTTCTGCGCCGGGGCGAAATGTGTTTCAGGAGGAGGTCCGCAGACAGGAGCGGGAGAGGGCATAACGAATGAGTGATACGACACAGGCATTGGGAACGGGTAATGACAGGAATCTTGTCTGGCGGAGATCCGTTGAGACTTGATGGAATAGGGAGGGGGTACTTCGTTTGGTAACGACTTTCCAGCGATATCCTCATCTCAGAATGAAGGCACGGCATCTATGACTATCTACATACCATGATACAAGAGACGGATGGGATGTGCCATCGCTCAACTTTGATCTTCCATCCTCAACAATAATGCGGCGCTGGTTCTATTAAATGCAGTGTGTGAGGTCTGACTCAATAAACCCAATGTACCCAGGCGGCCATAATGACGGGTCGCTAGAGTCAACCTCTTGACTTCTACCGTCGCATGCAGCGGTATACAGAATATGGCCTTGCTGAAACCAATGCTCTGAGTCAAAGGCAAACCATGACCATGGCCCGTCTAGTACGATGTCTATTAGTCGCCCAAGGTGAGTCTAGCAACGAGTATCCGTAGAGATTGAACATCATGGTGATCAATCTACTGCGGTGGGCCTACCGGCTGCCTCGGGTCCGCGGGCGGCCGCGGAGATCCGGTCGCTTGGTGGAGTGTCAAGGGGCCCGAATGGATCTTTCACAACTCCCATCTTTTTGTTGTTCACCTCGGCTGCCGCAATTCCGGCTTGAGGGGAACTTGGCCTGTTCAGTAGGCTTGACCATAGATCAACTGAATCATGATCCGAACGGAGAGAGTGCTGGTTACGATTGGATATCAGCATCGATCCAACATGAAGGCATGTTGCAGGGTGAGCGACAGGCAGCAAGGTTGAACCAGCCTAGATCGGCCTCGAGCTTGGCCTCCAGAGATCGTTGTGCTTCATTCAGTCCCACAGTTAGGTAAAGCGAAGATAAGCTTTCAATATGGACAGGTGCGTTCAAATGAGAATGCGGCAGTATCAAGTTACCAGAGCTCCTTATGGACTCGAAATCATCCGCTTTTTACAATATACACTATATGACTGATTCCATGAAGGCTGAGGTGCCGAGATCAAAAGCCATAGACACTCTTTGGGGTATATTGAGTGGTATCGGCCCTTCGGGAACAAGCACGCTGACTTCTTAACGTTGTCCAGATCAAATCCATCTTTAGATCAAATCCACTTTCATAGCTTAGCGACGAACCTCTTACCACCCTCCAAAGAACACAACCCGTCAGTCATCCGCACCAAATCCCTCCTTAGAATCTTCCCTGTCGCGTTCCTCGGGAGCTTATCAACAACCCAAACACCGCCTCTCAGCTTTTTGTACCCGCTGACTTGTTCGTCTACCGCTTTCTGTATTTCCCTTAAAGCTCGAACAATCTCGCGCCCCTTCATCTTGGTCCTGCTGTCTTCTCTGAGCACTACCCATGCGGCAGGTACCTCTGTAAGCTGATTCTCGTCCCAGAGGGCCCCGACGCCAGACTCCCTCACAAGAGGATGAGAGTTGAGAATCTGCTCGAGTTCCGTCGGGCTCACCTGGAAGCCCTTGTACTTGATCAACTCCTTTGTTCGCCCAACAATTGACAGCTGTCCCTGCTCATCTATACGGCACACGTCTCCGGTATTGTACCACCCATCGACGGGGAATGCCTCCCTGTTCGCGCTCGGGTTGAACGCGTAACCGCGCGTGATATTCGGACCGCGGAGCCATAACTCCCCAGGGCCGCCCAGGGGTGCGTCTTCGGTCGTTCCCTCCTTCTGAAGAGCGGCCTCTATACCGGGCAGAAGCTTCCCGGTACATCCATCAGGGACGACTTCGTCAAACCCCTGGTAGGCCACATACCCAGCCGCCTCCGTCATCCCGTACGCCTGGATGAGCCTCCACGGCGCTCGGCTGAGTAACCTCGAGAGCTGCGCCGGCTTCAGCAGCGCGCCGCCGATGTTGATGACCTGCGCCTTGGAGAAGTCGTACCGCTCTGTGACATCCGCGTTTGCAAGGCCCAGCACCACGCTCGGGACGCCTTGGAACATGGTGGCTTGCGTAGAGCCCACGAGTTTGCCAAATTCTTCGATGCTGTACTGCGGCATCGCGTGATGGAACATGCCGGTATACGGACCGAGAAAGAGGGGAGCCGTGGTCATGGCGATGTGAGCCCAGGGTGTGAATGCGACAATTCTACAGGCCGAGTTGAACATTTGGCGCTTGTGGTCTAGGGCGACGAGTTGCATAACGTTGGCGACGAAGTTGTAGTGCGTCAGCTCGACGCCTTTCGGTTTGCCTGTTGTTCCAGATGAAAGGTGTATTGAGGCCAGTCGTTCCGAGGTATCTGGCCAGTGTGGTATGGTGAGCTGACTTGAAGCCATAAAGTCATCCGGAATATGTCTCGCTTGCCTGCTTTGTTCCACGATAGACAATATTAGCGGTGGCTTCCAGAGTACCCCTTCCTGACGAAGCTCGCCCGCCGCCACATCCACGGCCTCCTGTATGGTGGTCTCTAATATTGAACCATACGCAATGATGAAGTGAGGCCTTGAGACCGCGATACCGTGGCCAATCTCAGATGCCTTGAGAGCATGATTAATGGGACACACAACACCGCCTGTCCAGAGGATGGCATGGAAGATCTCGAGAAACTCGACACAATTTGGCACCACAATGACCCATCGTGCCTGATCCGGTGGATTCAGCTTTTCCGCGAGCCCCTTTGCAATTCGGCCGGCGCGGTTCCGTAGCTCGCCGAGAGTGATGCTCCGGTTTGTCAGACTATCGGCGGCGATAACATGAGACTCTGGTATTGGGCTCGCGTTTGTGTGAAGTAACTCGGTGAGATTCAGTTCGCGAGGAATCTCTATGCGTTCAGATGTGTATATCCTCATGGTCGTGCTGGTCGGTGCATTCCCTCTTTTGAGTTTTGATCTCAAACGCACTGTCGGATGAACGAGCTCTTGACAATGACATGAACAACCACAAGATCCCAGAATGAAAGGAATAGTCGCAGAGTCGTATTCTCGATCAGTGTCAGGAACAGTCGGTACGAAATAGTCCGACGACGACGGCGAGGAAGAGCCTCAACTTGTTTGAGCCGCTTATGCCGTTGAACTCGCGCTTACATCCCACCTTTCCTAGACAACTAGAGTTACTGCGCGGGATGAGTGAGCGGCTTCTGCGGACCTTATCCGATGATTCCCTGCGTCGGGTAATGAGGTAAAAGGAGGGCGCGCAGTAGCAGGGAACAGGTTGGCTACTAAGAGGCAGATTTCCCTTCAAGCGTCGCCCAAGGCGGGATGCAATGAGTAACCCCCCACAAGGTAGAGGAGGGGGGAGACCGAGACAATGATGTGCGGAGAAGAGAGCACCTCTGCATGAAACTTCTGAATCACCATAGTCTTGGTCGCACTCGGGGAGCATCCGCAGGCGCAACTCTGCCAAACAGAGTTTCTGCGGTGATCCTTGTGGGACGCTGTAGGTGCGAGGTCAAAACGTCGAGGCGGCAGCTCGAGCGGCGCCGTCGGCACAGTTCGGTGTTTTGAAGGGCGAGAGGGTCATACGATGGCCTCAACGTCGAAACAACGTTTCTAGTGCTCGAATGATATATCCGCGGGCTATTCGATTCAAGGTTAACTCGCACCAAATAACATTCATCCTGCCATATGGATCCGCCTCGACGACCTATACGCATCGGCAATTGCTCTGGCGCCATCAACGACGGCATTGATCAGATATACCGCCTGGCCAAGTACGGTAATGTAGACGCAATCACTGCCGACTACCTCGCAGAGTTCAACATCGCCTGGAAGGCAATCGAGCTCCAAACTCAACCAGAGCTGGGATACGAGCCAAACTTCCTCGAGCAACTCGCCTGGCACAGCGGCGACGCAGCGCGCCTCGTCGCCGAGAAAGGCATCAAAATTGTCCACGATGGCGGAGCCCTGAACCCCCGGGGCCTCGCCGACCAGACGTACGCGTACTTTGAAAGCCTCGGCATCCGCAACGTCAAGATCGCGTGGGTAAGCGGCGACAACGTGACCGATGCCGTAAAACGCGGCGCGTTCGGGCGAGTCATGCATCTCGACCAGCCCAGCGTCGAGTTTGATCCGCACTCGCAGGGTGACGATCTCCTTGCGGCCAACGCCTATACGGGCATGGCTGGCATTGTGCGTGCGCTGGAGCTTGGCGCCGACATCGTCATCTGCGGGAGATGCACCGATGCAAGTCCCGTAATGGGCCTTGCGACGTGGTGGCATGGGTGGCAGACGACGGAGTACGATGTGCTTGCTGCGAGTCTGATGGCCGGGCACTTGATCGAGTGCGGACCGTATGTGACGGGAGGGAACTACTGCGGTCAGCGCGAGGTGCCGGATCTCCATCATGCCGGGTTCCCCATTGCGGAGATCGGAGCCGACGGCGGCGTTGTCATCACGAAGCCGGAGGGTTCCAACGGGCTGGTGTCTGTTGATACTTGCAAGGCGCAATTGCTTTATGAGATACAGGGCGTCTACTATCTCAGTCCGGATGTTGTAGCCGATATTGAGGAGGCAACCTTCACACAGCTTGGTAAAGATCGCGTTCGATTATCGGGTGTGAGGGCTCTGCCGCCACCGTCTACGACCAAGCTGTCCATCTGCTTGATGGGAGGGTACCAGGCCGAGATATCGGCGTACGCGACTGGACTAGACACCGACTTCAAGTTCGAGGTGCTTAAGAGCCAGGTATTGGGCCAAATCAAACAGTCCGATTTTACGACGTTCAGCATCGAGAAGTACGGTTCATCAGTGGTAGATCCACGGTCACAAAAGCTATGTACAACGCATTTCCGCATGTTTGCACAGTCTCGGACCAAGTCAGCGTTTGAGCAGTTCAAGAAAGCAATCTTTTACAATGGCTTACAAGGCTATTGCGGTCTTCATCTAGGTATGGACTGGAGGACTATGGAACCGAGGCCGTACGTCAGGTACTTCCCGGCCCTGATACCACAGTCCCGGATTCCCCTGGTCGTGAGTTTCGTTGGTGGTGAGAAACAATATACCATTGAGGCACGTCAAGATGGCGGCACACCCCCTCGCCAGCCCGATTACGATGCTACTGTCCCGTTGTCGAAAGTCGCGCTGTCTAGGACAGTGAGGAGACCGCTAGGGGACCTCGTCTTCGCGCGGAGCGGCGACAAGGGAGGCAACGCCAATGTGGGCTTCTGGGTACGCAACGCTTCAGCGTGGCCGTGGCTGCAGGCTTTCATGACAAGACGGAGGCTCATTGAGCTGCTGGGAGGCGACTGGCAAGCTCGTTACGTGGTGGAAAGGTGCGAGTTCCCAGGGCTCTGGGCGGTTCATTTCGTGATCAAGGGGATCTTACAGGAGGGCGTTAGCAGCAGCAGCGTGCTCGATGGGTTTGCGAAAAGCCTGGGGGAGTTTCTGCGTGCCAGAGTTGTTGGCCTGCCGGTTGACTTGGTCAAGGTCGAGGATGACCGCCGACCACGCGGGTTTGAAAGCCGTGCCCGATCATCAAGGTTATGAAATCTCAAAAGTATTGTGCATATGTGAAATAAAAGCTTTCTCTCTCTGAGTAGACACTAAAAGGGGATCGACAATACCTTTGACCTGGTGGTTCGCGGAGGGCTCTTTCGTAGTGTCAACATTACTTGTGACCCACGACTGGCCGAGGGGAGAGACTGCGGAGTACCTCGGTCAAGGTTCAAGCGCCTGAGAGCGCCATTTCGGCAGTGGGACAAGGTGGTCAGTCGTCGTACTTAGCGGTCTGTGTCCCCTGACATTTCAGCCCGTTGATGAGGCCATGCCAATCTTCGTCAACCTCTCGACAAGCAACTTCATTAATTACTAGGTATTATACTAAGTACTCGGTTCAGCTCGATACAAACAAGGACACACACACGATGGCTTCGAACGATAGGCCGGTAAAGAACGCATCTGGCCGCTACGACAATGTTGATTTCCGCAAAGCCGCTGGCTACGAACATGCCCCCATCAAGTGCGCTTACAACCGCCGCGATGTTCTACTCTTTGTAAGAAGCTTATCTTTCTTGACTATATCCAAGCCATGTTCGAAGAGTGACTGTCATTATGTTGTACCAATGAAAGCGCCAGCTAAATCACTTGCTAGGCGAATGCCATCGGCTGCCAGAAGGAAGAGTTACATTTCCTCTACGAATTGCACCCAAACTTTGCCGCCTTCCCCACGTTTCCAATCAATCTCGCCTTCAAGCAGACGGACCAAGACGTCTTTGACTTTATTGCCCGCACCGTGACCGGCCACGTCCCGGGCTGTCCGCCATTCGACGCCCAGCGTTCCGTGGACGGAGAGAGAGGCATTGAGATCCTCCGCCCCATCCCCGTATCTTCAGATGGCCTCGACTTGGAGGTTCGAAGCAAAGTCATTGGAGTCTATGACAAAGGTGCGCAGGTATTCTTCATCAAACCTCGGCATACAATACTTACTTGTCTGTAGGCGGCGCAATGATCCTTGAAGCAGAGCAGCTGCTGGTCGACAAGAAGACCAACACGGCTTACACCAAAATGACATCCACCGCCTTCGGCATAGGACAAGGCGGCTACAACGGCCCCCGGGGTCCAACAAAGCCGGTCGTGAAAGCACCGGAGCGCGCCCCGGACGCCGTGCACATCATTAAGACCACCCCGGAGGCAGCTCTTCTGTACCGCCTCTGCGGCGACTACAACCCGCTTCACGCAGACGAGGCATTCGGGCAGCGCGCCGGGTTCAAGGGGTCTATCCTCCAAGGCCTGGGCACCTGGAACATTGCTGCACACGGTTTGCTACAGAAGTTGGGCGGCAGCGACCCAAGTCGTTTTAGAGCGTACGGGGCCAGGTTCAAGAGCGTCGTTTATCCCGGAGATACCCTCGAGACGCGCATGTGGGTTGTCAAGAGCGGAGGCGGGGTGGACGATGTTGTCTTTGAGACGATTGTGAAGGATGATGGGCGAGTTGCTCTGTAAGTCTGCTCCAGGTGGCATCCTCACTACCAAACCCTCCTTGTTACGAGGAGGGACGCTGACAATCACAAAGGTCCAATGGCTACGCCAAGATTCTGCAAGCGAAACCAAAGATGTAATCTTTATGCAGCGCACGCGGAAGCTTTCCAGGGATACAGCTGGTGGCCTTCAGAGAAGATTTCTGTTTTTGAGGCAGAGTTTGCGTCGTGTATCATGTTCGTCCAAACTCGGACAGAGTCGCGAATATATGTCTTTCTGTGCTGCTGCAATACCGGTCGTCTTATGACTTTTCGAGTCAGAAGAAGTAGAAAGAGTTGTTCTCCTTGAGTCGGTAGAGTTCAAACTGAAGGAAACGATGACACTGGCCAACAGGTCGAGGTAAGGCTTGCCCGTGCAGATTGCGTGCTGTTTGTGCGAAGCATCCCATCGGCATACCGGGCAATGCCGCCCAGTGTCAGGCTGTCAAAGCTTCTCTTGGAGAAGACCAAAATTGACCTCGGCAGAGCACATATCCACGGAAATATCTCGAGAAAGCATCAAAAATGGAATTAGAGTAGCCTACGTGGGCACAAAGTGCAAAAGTTGCGTCGAGGGGGAATCGAACCCCCGGCTCCCCGACGCTGCTTGATGGCAACGGAGAATTTTACCACTAAACCATCGACGCGGTCTGTTGGATGAAGTTATTGTGAGGTTTGAGGGCTCTTGTAGCGAGCTCGCCAGCCCGCGAAAATTTCGTCGAAATCCTCCCAGCTACAGATGCGAAGGAAACCACTTGGGATCTCTCTTCTCGCGATATGCCGCCAGTCCTTCTGTCGCGTTCTTGCTCCGAAGCATCGCCTCGGCCCATAACTCCTGTCCGCGCATAGTGGCTCTGCTAACGCCAGTCTCCCATGCTTCCCGCGCCGCCAATCGCGAGATAATGACGCTGTCGGGACTCAGTGCAGCGATCTCGCTGGCGTAGTCGAGTGCTCTCGCAAGAAGCCTCTCCTGCGGCACAATCTCCTTGACCAATCCCCAGTTGTGTGCCTCTTCCACTGATAATGTTCGGCCTGTGAGTATGAGATCCATCGTCCGGTGGTTACCAAAGAGCATCATGCAACGAGGCAATGCGCCGGCGAGGGCAGATACGCCGCGGAGGACTTCGGGGAGACGAAATGTCGCGTTTGGTGACGCGAAGATGACATCGGCGTTGAGAATGGCTTCGAAGCCACCACCTACATGCCGTATTAGCTCTGTCTTGGGACTTGCATCCGCGGTAATGTCCTTAGTGTCAAGCATACCGTGAGCGTGGCCGTTGCATGCGACAATGATTGGTTTCCTCCCTGTCCGATTGCTCATGCCCGCAAACTGACCCGGTGGGTAGTCGAAGGCAACGTCGTTTGTCTTGATGATATCCAATCTCTGCTTCAGGTCCATGCCGGCGCAAAAGGCTTTGGTTCCAGCTCCCGTAAACACGGCGCATCGCAGCTCCGGTTCGGCATCATACCATTTCCACAATGCACCGAGTTCTATCGTCGCCTCCACGGGGAGACAATTCATATGCTCCGGTCGGTTTATCGTAACAAGAAGGATGTGTTTCCGAGGAAAAGATATTAGACTGTGTTCAATATGCGGGTAGGGATTCTCAATCCAAGAAGGGACTGGCTTCTTCGTCCTTGGCGTCGCCATCTTCGTGATCGAGTGGCTCGCTTGGCTGTGAGTCTTACTTTGGGTTACTTGGTGCCGATGCCGTGGAACGCTGCGCAACCTTTAGGCTGTAGTGATCTGTCTCGTATCACCCTGTTGCTGTACCCTCGAGGCTTCGATAGCTCTGGTGTCTCAAAGAGTCGAATCACTTCTCTATCATCCTTCTCGCCAAGTTGATCAACAGACAATCACAAAATGTCGTAGACATACCTCGTCCGTAATGATACCCGACTTCCCGGCCAGTCCAGTGCACAGTGACCTGCCACGCATGCCCAATGCAGACAAACGAGAACGAGCGCAACCCCTCCCCTAACGATCCGTTGACGGATGCTCCCTAGCGAGTCTCACAGGCAACCCGCCTCGGCAATCCAGGCGGGAACATCCTTGTGGCTCATCACTGCGGGGTGTCCCACGATTTCGCTGTCCCTCTTTCACCCGCTGTAAAGACGCCAGAAACGTGTATCCCGCTGAGCACTGTTGGAGAGCGAGTCAAAGCCCCTGCGAAACCTGGTGCAATGGCCGTCGAGGAAGGCCAAAGCATCGGGGATGTGTGCCATGCAGGCGGAAGCCTTCTTACCCTCCCCCGAAGGACGCGCCACGGAAGATAGCCCGAGTGGGGGTTAGGTGAATCTTGGATCCAGGATGTTTCCTTTGAGGACCGGATGCTAGGATTGTCGTGTCTCCTACGACTTTATTTGAGCCCGTGAAGCTTAATAGAGGGCGGGAGTATGCAAACGAACACCGACACAAGCAGTTGACATCGTAATAGTATCACCGAGTGAGCAACGTGATTACGACTCATCACAAGATCATCAAGACTGCTTCAACAAGCTCCAGATAAACCGGACCGCAATATCAGAAAATCCTCGGTATGATGGGGTTCAAGACAGAAACACCGCCGCCGGCGACGCCAGCTTTTCTCAGGCTTTCATACCCAGCTCCCCGGGTATTGCTAGTACGCATGGACAGGCCAAAGGACCTCAATGCCATGTCTACAGCAGCCCAGTGGGAGATGGACTCGGTCTGGAAATGGTATGACCAGGAACCAAACCTCAGCGTCGCAATCATCACAGGCACGGGAAGGGCCTTTTCTGCGGGAGCAGACCTCAAAGAGTGGAACAACAGCATGGCCGACGACGCCGATCCCAGCCAGCGCATGGGCAACGCGCCTGCATTTAAGCCATTGAGCAGGAGATTAGGCAAGAAACCAGTTATCGCCGCAGTCAACGGGCTCGCCATGGGTGGCGGGTGCGAATTTGTCGTCAACTGCGATCTCGTCGTCGCCGCCGAGGACGCTTACTTTGGGCTTCCCGAGGTCAAGAGAGGCATCGCGGCCATAGGCGGAGCTTTGCCGCGACTCATACGGACCATCGGACTTCAGAGAGCAAGCGAATTCGCGCTGACGGGGCGTAACGTCTCGGCGCGGGAGATGGAGCAATGGGGTATCGTGAACAAGGTGGTGTCCAAGGAGAAAGTCGTCGAGGAGGCGGTGCGTTATGCCAAGATGATTGCAGCCAACTCCCCGGATGCCATTATATGCACTCGTGCTGGGTTGAGGCAGGGCTGGGAAACGGCATCTGTAGAGCGAGCAGTTGAGTGGACGCTGGAGAAGGAGTTTGCAGAGCTGCAAAAGGGCGAGAACATCCTTGAGGGCCTCAAAGCGTTCTCTGAAGTGCGAGTACCCCAGTGGAAAGGTAGCAAATTGTAAGATGGGCGGGATCTAATTCCAAACATGCCGTTCGAAGAGGAGAAGCAGAAGATCCCGTCTGATGAGAAACCCGGACGAACTAGATCTGTGTGGCCCTCCTTTCCCAAAGCTCTTGCTCGACCACCGTCTAGACTAATCAAACCCGTCGTCCGAAACCAGTCGAGATCGACCGGCCAGGTTTGTCCTTCTTTGTATATAGTCGATAAATAGAAAAGCCTACCAGGACTTGGGTTGCATGCGCTGGCAGCTGCACGTTTTTGTCAGCGTTGCAAATAGACCAGGTAATGGGAAGTGAGGGCAGCCATCACCAATATCGCCCATCACATCAGACTGGTGTGCCATCGGTCCGGCCCCAAAACGGGTTTCAACTATCAGTGCAGTGCAGCGCCTTTCACCAACTTGACATTCCATCCCGATTCAACATCTTGAGTCAGCAGCGAGCTAATGATTCGAACCACCGTCTCGGCCAGATGCAGAAATCCCAAAGTTGTTGTGCTCAGGTCGTGGGGTGGTCTTCCCCGCAGGCCGGCGCAGGGAGAGGCCCCGACTGCACAACCAGACTCCGTGAAAGAGTTTCGAAGATGTTCGAGTCTTCCGGGGGACACCTTGGTGTGCGTATGCCGTGGGACGGTGAAGCCGCGTTGCTGCGTGTGAAGAGGGAGGGGCGGGCGGGCAGAGAGACAGATGGACACATGCAGGCAGACAGACAGACAGACAGACAGCAAGTAAGTCAGATCAAGGCTTGCATTGCATGTCTTGGGGTTCATCTCACTGCTGACCTTGTCCCGTCACTTAGCCCTCATTCGACACTACGCCGCACATATACAGTCCTCCGTCGACGTTTATAGATGGCAGATTGGTCGAGAAAGGTCGTATAAGACTCGAGCACGGCCTCGAGTGCGCAAGATCCCGCCCGTCGAAACCCGTGTGACGACTTTCGATTCGAAATACCGACATACTGCGAGCTAGTTCCCGCATATCGATATACCGATCATCCATCATGGATATCTCCAAGAACGAGTCCTATCGCGAGTTCGATGGGGCGTCGATGGAGAAGTACCGTGAATTCGACCGTGATACCGACCGAGACGATGCTTCTTCGATCCGTTCCGAGGCGCTCGGCGATGACCTCCCTCCCGGCTACTATTACTCTCCCCAGTTTCTCGGGGCCATGGCGGTTTGTCGACACCTTTGCCAAGACCTGGATGTTCACTAATATCATCTAGGGGTTTTGTCTCTCAGCAATGTCGGCATACATCTTCTTGATCCTGCCAACAAACGTGCTGACGTTCATCAACGCTGATATCGGTGAGTAAAACCGTTAATGGTATGAGAAATATCATATGCTTACATTGAATAGGTCCGAGCCCGTACATCTCTTGGGTCAATATCGCCAGAACTCTCTCGCTGTCGTTCACCTACACGATCCTGGGCCGCTTGTCAGACCTTTTCGGGAGACGATGGTTCTTCATCGGTGGGAACGTCGTCGCCATCGTCGGAATCGTCGTGTGTGCTGTGGCGCATAATGTCGAGACACTCATCGTCGGGGCCGCCATCTACGGTCTGGGCGAGACGGTTCAGCTGAGCTTCAATGTCGCGGTTGGCGAACTGGTTCCCAACAAGTACCGCCCTGTCGTCTTGTCTCTCATCTTCTTGACCAATGCCCCTATCTCCGCGTTCGGTCCTTTCGTTGGTGAGTCCATGGCAAGAGGCCCATTCAAGGATACATGTAATTACTAACTAAATCTCAGCCCGGAAATTCGTCGAGAACCCCAATCTCAGCTGGAGATGGTGTTTCTACGTCAACATCATCGCCGTGGGACTTGCCATCGTTCTCTTGTACTTGTTTTACCACCCACCCACCTTTGAGCTTCTCCACGACCGCAAGACCAAGCGCGAGCTGCTCAAGGAACTGGACTGTAAGCTGAATTTCCTGCTTCGCTTCTCATATCCCTCCACTGCTAACAAGATGCAAAGATCTTGGCATCTTCCTGTGGACTGCTGGCCTCACTCTTCTCCTTATGGGTGTATCTTGGGGAGGCGTCATGTTCCCTTGGGACTCTGCAGCCACCATCACGAGCTTGGTTCTTGGTGTCGTTCTTCTGGTGGCACTCTTCTGTTGGGAAGCCTTTGCAGACCTGAAGTATCCTGCCATCCCTATCAAGTTCTTTGCCAACCGTGGTTTCATGGCACTTGTGTGCTGCGCAACGGTTGCTACAGTAAGTCTCCCCCTCCAACAAGTGCTACGTGGCTAACAGATTCGAAGATGTTTTACTACTCCGCTGTCTTACTATGGCCACAGCAGGTTCAGGCCTTGTACACGACTGATATCACCTACGGCGGTTGGCTCTCGGTAAGCAAGGTCTCAGACCGACGTCTCTCGCATCCAGCTAACAGTCACTAGTCCACTGTGGCAAGTGCTACAGCACTTGGTCAAGTTTGCGCAGGAGGCATCGTGAAATGGGGAGGCAACGTCCGGTACTGGATCATCTTCGCGACCTTCTGCATGGTCGGCTTCGTCGGGGCGCTCGCATCCCTGACCCCTGAGACGCTGAACACAGGAATCGCCCTCACCATCCTCGGCCCTTTCTTCGTGGGCTTCATCGAGCTGGCATCTCTCGCTCTGGCGCCCCTATTCTGCAAACCTTCAGATATCGGTCTCGCCTCGGGTCTCCTCGCGTCCATCCGCTCGGCTGGAGGCTCCATCGCCGTCGCTGTCTATACGACGATCCTGTCGAATCGCCTGGCAACGGAGATCCCGGCAGCTATTCGCGGCCCAGCCATTGCTGCGGGCTTGCCCTCAAGCCAGCTCCCGGCCCTTGCAAAGGCAGTACAAGCCGGAAAACTGGCCGCATTCCCTGGCTTGACGAGTGCCGTCAAGGCTGCCGTGGCAAAGGTGCTTCCGACTGCGTACTCGAAGGCGTTTGAGACGGTTTATCTGGCAAGTCTGGGCTTCGGAGCAATCGCGATTGTCGGATGCTTGTTTTCCAAGGATGCTCAGAAGCACCTGACGAACAAGGTGGAAAGACGTATGGGTGATGGGAAGAAAGCTTGAAGGAGACTTGATTTACTTGATCAAGGGGCAGAGTGGTGGGGGAGGGGGGGGCTTGTAAGTGTATAGATCGTCACGCTTGTAGCCAGGCTGTAGGAACGATTGTCACACGATTTGGCTTGAGGTGCTGGTGACTGTATTGCTTCAACTTCCTTCGCCTTGATTGTCTTCATTGCATGTAGCTACAGGACCGCGACCATCTATGGTCGCAATGGATGAGAAAATTCCGACTTCGCTCGCAGCAAGACGCTGCAGAGCTTCCCCGTACTCTACAATAATGACACCTCCTGGCCTCTGCGTGATGCTGCTTTATCTAGGTCAAATTCCATTGTACCATCCTTCCAAGCTTCATCAAGCAGCTCCCATGTAGACCTTGCCAACTGAAAGAGATACCTCTTCTTAGCAGCCGACAGCACATCATCCACGGTTTGTTTCCAGTCAGGATGCCGCTTAAGGAGTCGAGTTTCGAGACATGCCGTTATCAGAGGGAAGACGATGCCATTGCGGCACAACAGATGCTGATTCTCGGGCAGCTGACACGCCACACAAAAGAGATGAAGTCCTGATACCAGACGGTACAAGACGATTTCTGAACTCGGCAGCGCGTCCTGCTGATCGTCACCAACGAATTGGCCATCTTTTTGTGTTGCGTTTATAATTCGCTGCTCGCGTCTGCGGATGTGAAGCATGCCGGCGAATCGCCAACAATCCCACAACAAGCACTGAACGTACTCGCCCATTTCACCTGGCCATCCCCAAAACCGACTAATGGAGACCTCCGCCGTCTCGAACGGGGTGTCGGCGAAGATATCCAGCAGCGAATGCGGCACGCCAGTGACGACTTCCAAGGCCTTGACTCTTCCCCCTTTCCAGGAGTCTTGAACTTGTCGAAAGCGTCTCCAAATACCGAGAGAGGGACACTTTCTTCCCAGTACGAGACAGGGCATGTCCATGAGACCGATAAACTCCAAGGCATGCCGTACTGAGAGGTCATGCTCGGGGTTGGGATTGAGATATGTCATAGGAGCATTCAGATGGAAGGTTTCGGCGAGTAATCCAATGACGGGGGTACACGGTTGAGCTTGAAGGAACTATGTGATCCATCTGCTTAGCTGAAAGATCTATGCCACGCCTGGACATCTGCGGTCGAAGAAGGAGACTGGTAGTGATACATCCCAGGGTTCCGCCAGACGTAGTCGGCTATTATCGGGGTCACTTACTTGAAGAACACACAGCAGTACGCCAGAACACGCCGTGGCAGCCGGCATAACATCATAATGGGCCACGATTTCGCGCCGAAACTCCTTCAGAGCAGAGTCGATGTACTCCATGGAGGAGACAGACATGTCCGAACTGCCTTCATCAAGATAGGCTTGGATGGCGGAAGATAGCAGTACAAGAGATTTGCTCTTGGCAGACATCTCAACAAAGAACGGCTGAACCCATGAACACACTGATGTGCTGTAGAGGCTCATGAGGCCTGTGCGGAGAACTGTAAGCGTCACTCCCTGTTAGCGAGCTCAACGTGATATATCTCATCGAGTCAGCACAGGGACACGCGCAGTTGTGGCATACACTTATGGAAAAGCTCATCCGTAACATGTGTCGTCTGTACCTGAGGGCTAGGGCGATTCGGGAGTGCGATCTGACTTGCGAGAGTGTTGGATTCGGCTGGATTGCTAGTCGCATTGCTGCTACCTTCGCCGGCAGAGGAGTGATTCGCAGCACCATCCACCCAGCGCAGGGGCGTTGAGTATCCAGGGCATTGGATCCCTCGTTGAGTACAGGCTTCGCAAAACGGACGGCGGCGGTCACACTTTCGTTTCCGTCGCCGACAGCTCATACAACCGCCGCGAGCGCGTTGCATCTTGTTCTCTCGAATCTACAGAGTGGCGGCTCAAGATGGGCTTCATAGCCGTTGACAAAGGGATGTTTTGTCCAAAATACACACACGCACACGGAGAAGTTGAGTGGACAAAGATGCCGGCATGGTAGCTTAGCCTCTGTGGCTGCTTTGATTCAGGGGACATTGGGACTGGCCAAACGGAGCACAGACTACGGAATTACCAGCATGATTCAGGGCTAAGAACATAAAGTTAGACCGCACTGATTAGCGAGTATAGGTGGCTACTCGAGCGTAGCACTGCCGAACCCCCACGCACGGTAACCGGTGCATAGTAGAGTTCCGGGTATTTAAGCAACAAAGGCTGGCTGGGAGTGACGGCATCGTCGGGTCACTAGTTCCCAGCCTTTTCGGCAGCTTGCGGTAGTAACTACTGGGGCATTACGTTATTCTGCGCAGTGGCTGTAGTGTTGTCTTTCTGCCTTGAGAGTGGAGAGTGGGCTAGCAAACTTTATGTGTTGTACAAGTGTTGCTCTCATCCTCGAGCGTTGAGAATCTTGTCAATGATGCCAACGGCTTCCAAACACTCTTCATCGCGGAACCTCGGCGCGATAATCTGGACTGCACAAGGTGCACCATGAGTAGCTTCTGGAATGTCTTGAGGTTCAAAGGTTCGAAACATCAGCGCAAGTTTCTAGTTCGGAAGATCGGGGAAGGGTCTTACAATCAGGCATAAAGTCCGCGATGGCCTTTTGTGGTTCAGAGTCTTGCGTCGCGGACGCGGTGCCAAAGGGAATGACCGCCGAAGGGAACTGTTCAATGTTACATCAGCGACCTATGAGAATACTACCAAGGATTTCTAAGCAACGGTTACTTAAACACTCACGTCAATTAAACTCCACATGACTGTATACACGGGGAGGCCAAAGGTATCGTGTGGCACGGCAGTGCAGGATGCCCCAGGAGCCAATATGATGTCGAGGTCGTGTTCTTGCCAAGTTTGACTCCATGCCTGAGCATAAGCCGCGCGAGCCATGTTCAGTCCTGTGAACTGGCTCGGGATGTCCAGCTTCGGGTCGACAGGAAAGTCTCCAGTAGAGAAGGGATGCATTCCTTTGGCGACAGAGGCAACAAAAGGCTCTCCAAAGTCAGCAACAGCTGGCGCTGAAATGCTAAAGTATTGGTACGAGATCCTTGCGCCGAGGGCCGCGCTACGCTTCGCATCCGTTGCAAGATGGACAACTCTGTGTCCAGCTTTCTCGAGAGCGGACGCGGCTTCAGCCAAGGTCCTGCGTACAGGAGGGTGTAGGGTATATTCGGGATCTTCGGGCAAGATCCCGATCGTCAGGGGCTTCGATCGAGGCTCGTCTAGGGCTCTCCAGGAGAGATTGATTGCACTACCGTCGTATCTCCATGGGTTGAGCTTAGTTACGACCTCCATGAGGAGCGACAAGTCGTCGGCGGAGTTGGCCAACGGACCGAGAGCGGGCATCACAGCGGACATCCAATTCATGGGCCATGGAGAGAGAGACTGTCCTGCGAACGGTATGCGATCCACGGTTGGCTTGAAGCCATACACGCCGCAGCAGAAAGCTGGGATGCGTACAGAACCGGCCAGATCGCTACCGATGCCCAGAGGTGATCCGCGAAACGCGACAAGCGCTCCCTCGCCTCCGCTAGAGCCACCAGCTGTCAACTTTGTATTGTGTGGGTTGAGTGTTCGGCCGAAGATGTTGTTCTCGGAATCGCAGGTCTGGACACACTACGTTAGCGAGTATTGTCTAGGGGGTGTTTTGTCTGTGTAGAACGCTGACCATCATCGTTTGTGGAATATTGGTCTTACAACTAGTAGGTTTCCTATCGTCAGATCTGCTTGTTGAAGCAATTCGTTCGCTTAGTCTGCTTACTAGAGAACTGCTCCTGCATCAAGAAGTAGCTTGACAAGGGCAGCGTTGCCTTTGGGACGGTCTTGCTTGAGAAAAGCGACATATCCGACAGACGCGAAGTGCCCATCTACGTGGAGGCTGTCCTAAACGGTGTCAATTGGAATGTTGTTTGCCTCCAGACTCAAAGTCAGAGGCTAGTATGTAGTGGTGTCCTACCTTCAAACTGATTGGCAAGCCGTGGAGCGGACCAACAACTTTACCTGTTTCTCGCAACTGCTTATCGAGCCACCGGGCCCTTTCGATTCCGTCTTCGAAGAAGATCTCGGTGAGACAGGACGTCTGGTGTCCGTCACAAAAAGTCAGCCTGTTGCTTCTGTGCAGCGGACTGTCAGTTGCAAGCAAACGTTCAAATACTCACCAACTGCTGGGCAACGGCTGCTCGCTTGCAGTAAGCAGTAACCACTCTCTCTGCGCTGAGTGTTCCTTGGCGAAGGTGTCTTAAAAGCTCACGGGCTGTGTAATTCTCGGTAATGTTCATTTCGTTGCTGTCGAGAATGCCTGACTTCTTGGCTGCTTGAAGGTCGATGAGGCGGCCCTCCTGTGCCGTGCCGGCGCCGCGAAGCTGTTCTAACTTGGCATTGTCTAAAACCCAGTCCGACGGTATCTTCTTTTTCTGCTCCTCGAAGTGCTTTCGAGCAATTTGTTCCCATTCCGCCATACTTGGCTATCAAAGGGAGGTTGTTGAGGGTCAAGAAAAGGGGCGTTGACGATCTGCAATGAAGTTGGGTTCGAGTCCGGGTGACAGGCCCTCGAGACCTGATTGCAAGAGACATGACGCAGGAGATATATACATGAAGGATTGAAGAACTAAGGAGTATGTTCTACGGAAGTTCTTCTCTCCTCGCTGCTCCTCTTCCTTCGAATCACTCCTCTGCACATCATCTGATAGCGCTGGCGGCGCACTTTATGGCCCAATCGGGATAGCATTACCGCTTGCTGATTGGTCCTACATAAATCCATTCCGACAGCTGCACCAAGATCTCAGCTTCTTTCGGAATTCAAAAACCCATCGGTCTCGCGAGAGCCACCATTTGCCAAGACGAGGGAAGATCCCTCATTCGCTGAGTGAACATTTCAGTATGGTGATGCCTCGACAAGTTCCGCGTTAGGTTCCGAACATTGGACGCGTCCGTCGGAGTCCTCATGAGTTGGAGTGCCCACAAAGAACCAGTCAGCGATTCAGCGTACAGGCCAGCCCGAGTAGAAACACGTGCATTGAAGAACTTCCAGCTCAGGATAGATAGTCGGACCGAGATGGCATTGCGTGTGTTTGTCCCTTGCTTTGATAATAGGGCATGGCACCTACTATAACCAGGGACCAGGTCTAAAGTCTTGTCACACTTGTTGCAATTGGCTTCAGATCTTCAACTTGAGATGGAACAGAGTCTGCGCAAGGCTATCACGCCAGACTTATCGCGTAGAGCATTCCATGTTTGGGGCAGAATTTCCAGAAAAGTCGGGGGGCAATCGCTTTCAAAAGGCTCTAATAACAGGACTTGATGGAGTGACATGATCTACAGTATCCGTGAAGCGTGTTAATGACTCCAGTCTGGTCAAGCGGGTTTACTCCGTGAACCCACCAAAGACAGGCGAGACCGCACCAAACTGACCGCGATTATCTAAGCAGCATCCACAAAGTAAGGGAACAGAGGAAATAACGAATTCTACATAATAGTGCTGCACAATTCAACAACCGCGGTCTACGTATGGAGTCATTAACCACATTGGGTAAGTGTAGCCGCCATCCCAAGTGGATAAATTAGATTACTTTTCAAAACTTGTCCCATAACAAAAGTACTACGCTGGATGTTAACCTGGCACGTGCCTGGATGCATTACAGCCAGAAAACTGAACATGGACCAAGCCACGGCTTTCAGTGTACTTGATGGCGCTCTTGAAATCTTCAAGCTGTTCGGAGGCTCGGTCTGCTGACCTCGTGTTGCCTGACTCAAAACGCCCTTAGGATCTTGTGCGACGAGTCTTGAATAAGCCGCAGTGGATGGTGGCCCTGAGTCCCACTACGATGCTGTTTAGGTAGATGGAGTCAACATGAGCAAAAGTTTGACCGCCCACATAATTCCACTCTCCCTATTTTGGCTGGGTCATTGCACAAAAATGTTGTAAAATCATGGATCAAATCTCTAATATTGAAGAAATCTCTCTCAATCTCTTCAGCTTTTTAGCTTTTAAGTCCCGTACGAGAGCTATGATATTCAGCCGCCTTGTTCAAGGAAGGCGGACACAAAAAAGAACACATCTCCTCTTCCAGAATCGAACTAGAGACCTTTCGATGGATGTGGATATACCATTACAGTCGAACGTGATGAACCAACTACACCAAGAGGAGGCTGTGGAGTGAGGGGACTGTTGTTCGCTCTTATTCCAATGCGTCCTGGCGCCGACCAAGCTGCCGTGTTCTCGCGGTAATTGCAATAACTTGAGAAAAATCACTTCGGAAACTGCTGTTATGGCACACACTCTCGAACTGGAAGAGTTAGACGAAGTAACCAACTTGAAGGAGATCACAAATTAAGTGCGGTGATCCATCTTCAGAGGCCTCTTTGTAGACTTACCTCCAGCACCGCCTCACGTGTACTTTTGTAATATAATCTCTACAAGCCTCTAAGTGCCTTGCGCTTGAATATTGATTGAAAGTTATTCGCTGAGTGCTGTCGAAGTTTTTCTTCAAAGCACAGTTGTAGAGGTTCGTGTGTCTTCTTCAAGTAAACCGACACAATGGCTTTGACTTTCGCCATGAAAACACAGTTGGCACGGGTCTGGTGACATTGAACGTCACTTCCATAGAGACTGGAAGAACTGGGTTTCCTCCATTGACATAAGTTCGGATTGCGACTTGGGTGGTCACAAGTCTAAAAACGTAGTACCGTTGGCCAAATCTAGGAGCAATACAATCATTCACTCATACATAAATTCAAATGCTCGAACGTCATTCTACAGAACCAAGTGCACGTCGATGGGTTTTCCCAATTATGAAGTCAGCCGATATGCTGCATGATAGCGATAGGTGAAGTTGTTAGCCGCACACATTATGTCAATGTGACCCAACTTCAGTGAAAGATATCTAAGATCGAGGGATATTTGCCCAGAACTCTCAGTCTAGAAACTAAAACGCACGCCCAATCTCGTAAAAATGGATGGGGGGTTGTTCCGCATTGAAGGATCTGCTTACCGGGTAACTATACTGATTCGGGCGTTACGAAGCTGCTGCCTAGAGTTAGCCAAGGACCAGGCGTTCAACTACATTAACACTCCGCGCATGGTGGAACCCAAGCTTTCTCTTATACCTGGAAGTGGCAGGTCTTCGGGGACCTTCTTACAGATATCGGCGACCTCAGCATACTTGACGATTCGCATTCGAGCGGTGACGCTGACGGCTTCAACTTGCACTACTGCTGCGATATGCTGACGGGCTTGCATCAAGTCAGACTCTGGCAACGATTGCGCAATTGAGCGTCTCGTACCTATATCCTAGTAACTTTCGCTCATCGCAAGGCACATCACATACTTCTGTTTGGTGGCAAATTGTTGAACGAGGATCAAGGCTTTATTGGTAAACGTAAGGCGACTCCTATGATGCTGCCTAGAGGGGAGAAGACGGGCGTCATGATGTATTGAGTAACCTCGGCCGTTCCAATCATGGTATAATTCAGCTCTAGATACTTATCTTTGAGTGGAATTATAAAAGTGTAGCTTGTGCCCTAGAGGCGGATTTGTACTCAACCAAGCTCACGCAGACTTAACTTTCTCGGTGATTCGCGAACAGTTCTCAAAATCGACATTCTCAAAAGAGTAAGTAATTCATACAGAAAGCAACGTGACTTGTTCTTACAAACACCAAGATTGACATGGACTTCAGCGAAAATGCGCTTCTCCTTCATCTCCGTCATCGCCATCGTCGCAGCACTGGCTGAAGCGCAACAATGCACACCCGGCCGCTACCAGTGCAGGTGAGTCTCATAGTCTCCTGAGTCCATACTCCGGATGCCCAGCAATATCACGAGCTAATCACTTGATATAGATCAAATGTGTTTCCCGCGGTCTGTGACGCCTCTGGCAACTGGGTCGTTCTACAGCGTTGCCCGAACAATTGGCGCTGCATCGAGAACAACGGCAGCGTAACCTGTTCCCCGTAGCTCACTATGTCTTGGAGCATAAAACTTGAGCTTGTGTCGATTAGCAGCTCCATGACAAAGGCCTCGTTAAAAGGCGATGACACGCGAGGAGTATTGATATGACACTGCGTACTAGCATATCGAGGATGGGTGCATCGGATTTCTAGTCCGTAATCTTCCTAAAGTCCATAGTTGCGGCAAATACAAATCAGGAAACCCTACTTCATCTCCATGCCCTCATCACTTTGATCAATTCCCCTGGTTGAAATACATTGAACAGGAGACAACAAATAACAAGTGAGATGGGTATCGAGTAGTGACCTTGTGCAGGAGCTCACGGAAGTCACTAACCTCCTAATGATGCATAAAGCAATGGCATCTTCGTCGAGGGTTAGTAGTACTTATCTATGAGAGCCTCTTCTCAACGCAGGATGCCATGGGAAAACTACCGACCGACGGGAGTGGTTCTGGAAGAAACAAAGCCCATTCACCCAACGTTCAATAAGTAGCTTAGGCCCAGGCTCGTCTTGAAAGCCTATCGATTCCAAGTTGTCTCCGTGTACCTCAATTGACACGTGTTTGTCAATGTCGTTTGGATACAGGTTCTCTGAAGACTCCTTCATCGGCTTAGAGGAGGTGAAAATGTAGACAGGCTTGGATAAGCTCCCAATCTCCACTTCATCGTCATCATCTTCTTGCGTTCCACTTTCTCCTGAGTCGCTTGCATCATCATTGTCGCTGTCAGTGAAGAAACCGACGTAGGCATCTTCATCTTGGAAGCAGTCATCTTCATCTTCATCTTCATCCTTATCCTCATCATATCCCTCTTCTTCAAGATCTTCCAGCACGAAGATTCCAGTATAATTGAACTGCTGGTGATCAAGCAGACCACCGAGCACCAGTGGCTTCTGCGCGTCCATTGCAGCCACAACCATCTTGGCCATCGTCCACATGTACTTTCCGGAAAAGAAATCCTTCTTCTTGGGTCGCATGTTCGCTTCAAGAAACTCTTCTAGCTTTTGCACGAGTGTGTCATATTCAAGCTCGTGGAAGGCATCTCGCAGCTCGGCAAGCCGCCTGGCGATATGTGTTCGGCGTCTCCAGTGGCTATGGTGTATTCGGTTCTCTGAAGCTGGAAGAGCGAATTGCTCCGTGGGTAAGGTGCGATAGAGCTTCCAGATATGGCCAGAAGTCTTCAACCCCTCTTCAGTCAGCTGAACGTTGATGAATCGGCAACCGTTGTTGTAAAAAAGAGGACGTCTCAGCACAGGTGGACAGAAATTAGCAAAGGACTGCTCTGCGATGAAGTCGGCGACTGTTTGACCCCGACATCTCGCCAAAAGACGGCTCCCCTTTCCTCCACAGGCGTTTTCCATGATCTCTCCATTTAAGAGATAAAGTGCGAGCATAGACAGGCTCATGCTGTGGGATCCTTGCCGCAAGATGGCATCATCTAGCCTGATGGAGTACTGGCAGCAATTTGCGACTATGGCCAATCTGTCGTGGCAAAATTTGCTGCCGCGGGACTCAATATCCTTTATGATCCTCGGCGACTGTGACCAGCGGGTCGACAATTGTCCACCGGGTATGGCCTCCCGTAATAGGAACTCGTAATTGGGAGCTGTTTTAAGAATCCGTTCGGCAACACCGGACAGACCGGGAATACCGTCATTCCGCTCAGCAATTATGCAGGCTTTGCATAGCTTTGTGGATTCCGTCTGGAACTTTCGGGATGAGATCGATATGTCGCCCACTACGTTACCGAAAATTTTCTCGTTCTTTGTCTTCTCCCTGAATATTTCACCATCTTCTGGATGAGGGATGAGTAGTGTCATTTGTCCATCGCAACGATAGTTTTCCTGGAAAGTCCAGGCTCTTGTCCACCAAAGATCGGAGGTTATGGCGTCGAGAAGGGACAATGCTCTACGAAGCCTTTCCAGGGCGCTCTCTGCGAAGGAACTTAAGCGGAACTCTCCAGAAGCATGTTTTGACACAAAATTGCCCTGGAGAACGTCTGCGAGAAGGCAAAGCTCTTCGTGCGATTCGATCGGTCGCGCTAGCAGAGCAATGGGGTGATTGCTCAGCTTGTAGACCATATCCATTGCCTGCATACCCCGAGTCTTCTCTGGGCCCGGCTCCTGGCAGATGCAGTGCATATCTATCCATACGTATTGCAGGCCAGGCTGGGCTTTCAGGTATCGCCGTATGCGGTCGAAGACCCGGTTGCGGACCCCAGAAGGTTCGCGTTTCCCATTAGAGAGTTGTACTAGATGGTGGCCGGCTGTAGAATCCTCGTATGGCTCGGAAGCTCCCCATGTCCAAGACACAGCTACATAGTCCAGGTCTTTGATGGCATTCAGGCCGCTTTTGCGGAGCCACACAGGGCGATCATCTTCAGATGCTGAATCGCGGGTTTGTGGGGGGCGTTTTCGGTCTCGGGTTTTATCAAGATACAGACAGTCGAGGTTTTGGATGAAATGAAGTGATTTCGATTGCTCGATAGTAGCGGTCTGGATCTCGAGGAGCTGGCGGACTAGGGACTGCCCACCAGCCGACTGTATCGAAGATAATGGTTGGTCCTGATCGTCCACATCTATTCGTGGCTCCGCCATGGTAACTGCTGTATTACAAATGCTCTCTCTCAGAGCCAGCCCAACAGTCGTTGACGAGTTCCAGTCCGTCGTCATTCGGCCGAGTGGGATGGATGGAATAGGGAGAGTCTCCGATAGCGCGACGCGTCAACGTTGGGCCTTTGAGCGTCCGCCGCCAGTGATGATCGACGGAGCGGAGGCTACGGAGCGCATGATGGTGTGGCTTAGGTGCCGGGTACGTAGTCTGTTTGTGTTCCCACTTCCCGTTGAATCCCTGTATTTTGCACCTTGTTACTCTAAATTCTTGACTCTTGACAATGCGCCAACGTTCGGTGTTTTCGGGGGCTATGCAAACCAACTGTTGGTTCCGTCAGTACGGATACGTCACGAAGACTTCTCTAGTTGACTGGATCAGTCATCACTCGTTGGGATGTTCCCGATCTGGATCTTTGTCCCAGTGGACAGAGTCGTAGCAGAGGCAGAGGCTCTGTTGAGTGAGAACGGGGTGATCTTTTTGCCAAGTTGCCAAGCAAAGTGTCCAGCCCTTGAAGGCTTAGCGTCCCCCAATTCCGTCCAGACCTGACTCTTTGCCTTGGGGTCGTCTGCTTCCCCTGCCGGATTCTCTGAGAGAAATTTTCAGGCGCACATTTGGATGGTCGGCGCAAAAATCTCATGGACGGGTCATTTCTCTTCCAGCAGTCTGTATCACTTCTACCGAAAAACTAGTCCACTACACCTGCAGGTGATGAACTGGGTACCGGTACGACTATTCGCATCCGTACAGTCCGTACATAGTAGACCGGGCTGTAGAGCTAGACTGTAGGATTGTATAAAAATGGGGTTTTCTGTAACGCAATCACTGGATTAGGGATCGTGATTGCGCGTTCCAGGTCCCTCCGTGGAAAAAGTCTAACTTCTTAGCAGCTCGTCGGTCAAGGTGCACTGCATGTGGGCGAGGCCGGGTTCGTCCATAGTCCAAGCCCCGTCGAAAGCCTCCCGCTTCCCTTCCGAATATGCTTGTATCTCAATTTCGAGGAAGCCAATCGGCAGTTGCCCAACTTGCGTGGAGAGCTGACGATTTGGGAGCACCTCATTTGCCATTGAATGGAATGTTGTGTTCCTCACCCACCAACCGTGCATACCGACTGATCGGCTATCGTCAACTACCAGACAAGATGGAAAAGGCCACCTCGGGTGTGCGCAAGGGACTTGCAACATGGCATGTAGAAGGTTTAGATGACGAGTCAACGGTTCAGCTGACATTTGCATGAGGTTCATTGGCCGTTTGCCCACCAGGTGCTTCGCCAGCACGGCCTCGACCCAGGGTATCGCTGGGATGCTGGTAGTTCAATCCATCATTGATCCCTCATTGGGCACTAGAATCAAGGTCTCTGCGAGTGTACGCGCGTGCAGGAAACATGCAAACTTGACTGCCATCCGGTACTTCGAACCGGATGGTCGGTGTTGAGATGGGACGAAACAAGACACTGGGTAAGTGTGTTCTGTTTGCGACCTTTTCCAACCACCTGGAGCTTCCCGGCGTTCGCGATCTCATCACGGCATCAAAATGGATGCGAACCCAGAAAATCTTGAACTATCGTAATGCCGGATCCTGAAAGCCTCGGCCTTCTATTCCGCTTCCTTAACTTGAGCGTGCCAAGTAGCCAAGAGTCTGGAGACCCCGAGGAAATCAGGGTGAATTCGAAGGCAACATTGACTGTGTTGGGAACTGGAATGCTTGCTGTTAGTGTTATTGCTGGCAAATGTGCAGCTGGTCTATCCGACCCCCCGCAACCCGTGCTGAGCCACTTAAGACTTCTGCTGCGTGTTAAAACACCGCAATCTACAACCACGGTACCACCTGCGTCAAACATAGACCTCGGCTGGCCTTTCTAAAAGAAATTCTACCTGTGGTCCGGGCACAGAATCCTCTTCGATGCAAGGCATTCTTTTTCGCATGCGGAATAAGCTCATTGGGCAGATAGTTTGAACCCCATTGATGTTCACAGTTTAACGTGACGGATGTTAAAGGCATCAGGGGGGTTAGGGGAAAACAACCCGAAGACGGGAAGCCCATGCTGCGTCGAAGTCTATTTTTACAGCGTCAGTTAAACAACACGCCGGCGTTGATTGGACAATGGCTTTGTGTGGACGCGCCTCGACGGCGGCTTTGGTCCAAGGGCGGGGAGAATTTGCTTCGGCATGTGGGAGGACGGCTCCGTCGACGGGCCAGGACAACGCAGAAAAGGAGGCTTAAACGGCGGCCCCGACTCCACTGTCTCCCGAAAGCTTGCGCGTAGGGCCACGTCCGGATGCTTAGACTGAGCAGACCGGGGACCCTCCGGTCACTGAGTGACTGAGGAACCGGGATGAAAGGGAGAGAAAAATTAGACTATGTGGAGATGAGCCCGGGGCTGATTTGTTATGCCCACGACGTCACTGGCCACTACACCCAAACGGTAGAGATTAAGCCCCTGCCAAGGCGTTGTACCTAGAAGCAATTGACGATGTGAGCATGGCCTTTGCTCCAGAGAGAGTAAGGGGCAAAGGGGGCAACGTACTCGTAGTCGTCGTCCACACACACTACCATCCCACCTACCGCTGCGCCGGTCATACTACCGAGGCTGCTATGACCCCACAGAAGAAGATGTTGACGTTGGCTGGGCCTGATATTGGGCTACCGGGGTGGCTTTTCTCTACGCTAACTCCGTAGCCGCAACGGGCAGCCCACGCAATCGAAAGCCTCCCGGGGCCACCGTCCACGTCTCCCGAGTCAACGAGGCTTGGTACGGTGATGGCGATATGACTTGAGCTCCACAGTTTGTACTCATGCGACGAACTGCCATCATGGCTATGGCACTGACGCGGTTCGTGGGGGAGGGAGGTTGATGTTGACCGTAGATCAGAATGTCATCTAGTCGAGTATAATAACCCAAGGTCGAAGCCACCGAGAAACCAGAAAGAAGCTCTTCACCAGCATTACATTCACTCTTCACCAACACACCTTTCGCTTTCACTTCCAACAATACCCTCTTGTTCACTTCGACAAATCGTATAAACACCTTCTTTAACAAAGCTTTCCATCCTCAGCTCTCACAACCACCACAATGCGTTTCTCAACCGTCGCTTCCGGCCTCGCCCTCCTCTCCGGCGCCGTTGCCCACCCCGGCCACGACCTCACCGAGGAGATTGCTGAGCGCCGCGCTTTCTTGAGCACCATCAAGCGCTCCAACCTTGCCCACTGCGCCGATAAGCTCGCCGCTCGCGGTGTCACCGCCCGCAACGTCGCCCGCCGCTCCGCTCAGCTTAACCAGGCCCGCCAGAAGCGCAACATCAAGCGCGATGCTGACACCGTCCTCGCCGAGAGCCACAACTCTACCGACCTCGGCTACACCCTGAACACCGACGCCGCCACTCTCTTCTCCGGCAACAACTCTTGCGTCTTGACCCCTGAGGTTACCCAGGGCCCTTACTGTAAGTCATCTCTCTCTTGAAGCCTACATCTCTTACCAGCCACTAACGATTCCTTGCAGACGTCTCTGGCGAGTATGTCCGCCGCAACATCATCGAGGAGCAGGAGGGTGTCGACATCGTTCTTGACTACCAGGTCATCGACGTTGACACTTGCGAGCCCGTCCCCAACGTCTACCTCGAGATGTGGCACTGCAACTCCACTGGTGTCTACTCCGGCATCGTCGCCTCCGGCAACGGTGACTCCTCCGACGAGACCAACATCGACAAGACCTGGCTCCGCGGTATCCAGGAGACCGACTCCGACGGTGTCGCTCAGTTCGAGTCCATCTTCCCCGGTCACTACACCTCCCGTGCCACCCACATCCACTTGATGGTCCACCAGAATGCTACTCTCTACTCCAACAACACCCTCGGCAACGTTATTACTGCCTCCCACGTCGGCCAGACCTTCTTCGACCAGGACCTCATCTCTGCCGTCGAGGCCTTCGCCCCCTACAACACCAACACCCAGGAGCTCACCACCAACGCTGACGACTCTATCCTGAGCGAGGAGGCTGCCACCGATGGCGTCGACCCCGTCATGGAGTACACCCTTCTCGGCGACAGCATCACTGACGGTCTCTTCGCTTGGATGGCCTTCGGTATCAACACCACTCAGGCCCAGACCATCACCCCCGCTGCTTCTCTCTACGCTGAGGGTGGTGTTGCCAACTCCAACTCTGGCGGCGGTGCTGGCGGTGCCGGTGGCTCCCCCCCCAACGGCACTGCTCCCGGCGGCGCTCCCGGTGCCTCTTCTTCTTCCGTTGCCACCACTTCCGCTGCCGCCTCTACTGATGCCGCTTCCTCTTGCTAAGCGTATCATCACCTACTTGGAAAATTTGATCGATCGAGTCGCGAACATGCATAAGTAAGCGTTGCGCTGCAGTTGCCCACAGAGATTTTCTCGGGGCATTGGTTGTCTTGGAAATTGCATATAGAAACGGCGTTGTTGTTTAGCTCCTGTATATCCCAAAACATCTTTGTACATTCATACCAATCAAACCATTTCATTGCTGGTAAACAGATCCCATTGTCTTTCACTGTGACGCCGCCATTCATTTAGACATCTTCTGGGCTCTCTTTAAGCATCCTCACAAAGCTGCCCCTTAACCTTGACCAAGGTCTAACTACTTCAAATGCCGCTGCCTCGAAGTGACTAGATATCCTCAACCGTAACTTCTACTAGATAGGCTCAATGTGACAAAGATAGTTTGCCAAGTGTTTATTTGGATATCGATCTGCTGTGCTACACTGATACTACAGGGCTTTTCTTGAGCATTATATCAATTCACTCAAGCGGTAGGAGTAGGCAAGCAGGAGCAAGCCGAGCTCACACGCGAGATGACATTGGTCGGGCATGCCTCAGAGGCATAAGCAGGTACCACTGTAACATCGGCAATGACAGTCTTTGTGAACTCGCCACAGAACTTCTGGCTTTCCTCCAACCGTCCCGGAACACTGGAGGCTCTGAGAGCACGCAGGCAGTTGTCTGCGTTGCATGTCTTGGGCTTGCAAGCCTCCTTCTTCGTCATCTTTACCAAGTACGCTCCGCGTTCGATCGTATTGACGAAGATGAAGCCCGACTTGAAGTAGGCGTAGGATGACCATGTGCCAGAGAACTGGATGGCTCCGCCCCCTGGAAGGGAATCATCCTCGGGGTAGATGTCAAAGTACGCAATCTCGCAGACGCTTCCTCCCGTGGGATCTTGGGGTACGGATGAGACGTCCCACACTCTGACACCGGCGCCGTAGTTGGATTGAACGAGAAGATCGCCGACGACGTATTGGTTGTGGTCGATTCCCTTCACGGTGTGCTTGAAGAGACCGGTCTGTTTGGGAGACTCGAGAGACCTGATGTCCCAAATGTACGTGACGGGATATCCATCAGCGGCAGGGCCGGCCAGATCATCCTCATCGTACTCGTCATCCATAAAGAGCCACTCTGTTGATAGTTCAGCCACGGATCTCCGTCAGTTCGCGGTTCGAAGCGTCTCACCTTGCCAGTTTACGTCGTTAACCCAACCTTGGTGTGTGAACGTTGCGCCCTCGTAGCTCGTGCGGGAAATTATCTTGGAGTTCTTCTTGTCGGAAACATCGTAGATAGTCAATGTGTCCTCGTTGTAGCCATAGCAGATATCGCGGCCTTGATATTTGGCATCAGGACCTCTGTAGATGAGGCATTGCGCCTATGCTCAATCATGTCAGCTTACATGAACACAGTTACTTAGAGGCTTGCAGCTGGGCAGGGGCTTGACATACATCGTGGACATATCCGTCCTGGCCATCGCAGCCAAGGGCAACGGGATTGCTAGGGTCCTCAAGACTGATGAAGTGCAGGCCACCCATGCAGCCCTCCGCACGAGGCTGAACACCGACAGCAACAGCGTACTTGGCCTCCTCATTGACGACAACGTTATGACTGCGGCCCAGTGGGAGAGATTCGATGAAGTGGCCGGTCAAGTCATTCTCATTAGTGAACAGAATGGGTGCTTCGGTGGGATCGATATCCAAGAGCTAGTATGACAAGTTAACAATTATAGTCGCCGATGTGATTTGGGGGAAGCCTCACCTTCGTCATGTCAAAGATCTGTATACCATGGCCCTCAAGCTCAGAGCCGATGAGCATGTAGTTGTGATACGGGCGGATTTCATGCCAGTATGCTCTATTGCCGACGGGCGAGTACGTTGGCCTGAAAGGGTACAGAGTTAGTCAAGTTATTCTTCCCTTTGCTCAAGTAGAAGGTCTCACAGGAATCCAAGGTTGAGCATCTTGCCCTCAGGCAGGATTTCGATAAATGCACATCCGTCAAACATGCCGCTGACTTTAACCAAAGAGTTAGCGAACTGATTGGTTGATGTTTGGTCATCGATCTTCCTCACCGATGAACTCGCGGCCAGATTCAGGATCAGTCCATCCCCATGAAGAGCTTCCGCTCTTCCCACGGTAATCGGCATTTGGCGAGCCCAGTTCGGCGTGATTAATGAAGTCATAGAGATCCATCTAAATCAACAGATCGTCAATAAGACCGTCGCGCAAAAATGGCCCGTTAAAATCATCGTGAGATAAAATTACATTTTTGCATCTAAAATTGTGCAATGGGCTGTCAGGAAGGGCCTCGGCATAGCCATCGACGCACTTGGTGTAGCCTAGCCTGGGCCATTGAGATGAGTTCATGAGGCCGACAGCTTCTTCAGCTTCCCAGTGTGCCTGGACCAGTGTTAGCTTCATGTTTGCGGTCGCCTCACTTTGGCCGATTGATTACAATTTTCGCGGACATGAGTCTATCGTGGATGACACCGGAGTCATAGAGCTCTATATGAAGTCAGTAAGGCCATCGATACTTTAAGATTCATGTGTCCTACCGGCAGCACGAGCCTCATCCTTGGGGAGCTCTCTTCCATGAACCACAACCGCCGTCAGAGCGATAGCTCCGATAACTGAGCTAGACAGCATGATGCTCAACCACAACTCGTCGTTACTATTGTGACTTGGTTGCGGCTACGATGAGGCTCTTCGAAGGTTCAGGGTCAAGGATACTGAGAGATTGCCCTAGGGACCGACCATTTCAGACCGATCGCGGCGGATTCTGAATGCGACGTAGACTCATTATATACTCGTTGAACTCCCAGCCCCGTGACATCACACATTGACCATAGGTCTCTCTCATGTTTCCCAAACAGGCAGGAAATGAACATCTTGGCAGACAGCGGTGTCGGCAAGTCTCCAAAGACAGTGCCATTGAGACCATTGTCTATCTCCGTGTCCGAGTTGGCAACTCCTGACATGAAAAAATCTCGTTTTTGTCATGGTAAGTACCCCGCCTTCAATCGGTCTAGAGGTCTTGATCCAGTATGGATCTGGAAGGAGACAAGACATTTAGGTGGTCAAGCCAAGACGGCCAAGCTTTCTAGATAAGCACAAGTCACCCCCGCCGGAAACCGAATGTAACGCTGCGGAACATGCTGTTGGAAATGGAAACCCCAATCGTTAATATCACTCCAATACCAAGACAACGTCCAGGCAAAGATCTTTTTGAGGCTCGGCAATGCTCCAGGAAATGTTGATAGCTCCCACAACGCCGTTAAATCTAAATGTTCTTATGGCTGGTAGGGGTTCGGACTTGGAGACCTTCATCAAAGCGACGAGTTCTCCACTTCGGTACTAGGATCCTAGTTTTTTGTGCTCATTATATCAATTATAAACCGATGATTGATTATGGATGTGTATTCTATAACACAAAGTGATGAGTTTCTGGTCTAGAACTGCGCAAGTGTGGTAGAATGATTGGACAGTCCCAGTAGAGGACACAAGGTTCTCCCGACTCACACACTGACTACGGAGCTCGCAGTACTGAACAAACAGTGCAAGTTACTTGGCGGTCATTAATAAAAGACCATAGTTTAGCACCAGGCAGCAAGCTACAGATGATTGGGCTACAAATTGAGTCAGCTCTTTTCACAAAACATCAAAAGTCATCATCTCTTCAGATCTAAGGTAAATTCTGATTATTATGTCACGTCAGAGGGCAGCTCATGGCTCGAAACTTAGAAACAGATAACAAACGAAACACCACTATGCTGATAATCCTTTTCTGACGACCTCATGTAGCACCCTCGCTGAATGGCTGAACGACACGATAGTATCCCCAGAGTGCCAGCATTCACATCGAATATAATTGAGAAGGATGTACGTACTATACACAAACTACGCGTAAAGATCATGTCTCTAGCGCGCCCGACGTTCCAAACCTTCTTACAAATAGTGTAATGAGATGGGTCAAAGTTTAGCTCATAGCCTACGTAGGTTTAATGAAAGAGTGCTAGAAAGCTAAACGAATCTAATCAAGACCCGGTCCTGAAAAGCTGGCCTGAAAATGCCAAGCCTAATCTTCATTTCACGAATAGTTTCACATCCATATTTTCTCAACAGATATCCTCTTGGACTTAAGTAAGTTCTATGGCGACCTCGTCAGGTCGCCCCCAAAAGTCGAGCGGGCGTCCGCGTCGCAAACGCTGTTGCAGATGGGGCATTCTAGTCTTCGTGGACCCTTAAAACCAGCACTCCAGATGCAGCCTCTCTTCTAGAAGCACTGGCCACATTCCACGCCGACTCAGTGTTTCAGAGCGGACTTTGAGATGTCGCCCGAAGTCGAATGTGGAAGTTTGACTATGATGGGATGAAATCCCAAATGTTTGGGAAATTTCTAAATCTGATATCCAATGGGCAAACAGCCTGGGACCAATACTACAACGGCTTTCTCCGAGAATACCACACATGATGGGATGATCATTAGCCCTGGGGCAGCGGCACTGGGGAGACAAAGTCCGAGACCGAGCTCAGCAAATGTGGATTTGGATCGAAAATCGTTAGTCAACGAAGCTAACTTTGCAGTCGTGAACGATTCATGTGGCTGTTCGCTTATTTGATTGATGTATCTTTAACTTTAGTTTCACAAAAGTGTGTACATCTGTCGTACAGGCTGTGTCATAATTCGTCCGCAAGCCACCTAATCACACGGAGCGACTCCATCACGCTCTGGTGCCTCTGGCTTACTTCCCGCAGTGCATAGTCCCCCATCATAGCCATCGGAGAAAAGGTCCCTGACGTTTCCGAGCACCCGTCTGTATCCTGGCTTATCCCATCTTGGAAGTCAAAGTTGTATGATGTAGCTGAAGCCGGGAATCCCTGACCTCGAGACTGGCTAACGGCAGGTGGTGTCATGGAAACGGAGTTGAAGCGGCATTCCGTAGATTTGTGTAGTCTCTTCATCATTCGAGACAACAAGAACACGACCGAGTTGACATCCAAGTCAAAAGAGCTCACAACGTTAAATTTGTTGAGGTTTCCGTTGGGTGTGTTGCTGCCCAAAAATGGCTGTGCCAGGCTGAAGTCGCTGCCGGGACTCGGGCCCTGGCTCTGCCGTGAACATTGAAGACGGCCCCTCAGGGCGCTGAGGAGTTCTTCGTAAGAATCCAGGAGAAGAAGATAATTTGTCATAAAAAGAGAGATAACGAGAGTCAGGTTTGGTGGTTGGTGTAGATGTTGTACTGGCTCTTTCGGAAGCTGTGGTACTACTTGTGTGGCGAAGCCGGAAGTGTCGGGTGCTCCGGTCCAGCAAGATGGCGGTGAAGTAGATCGTCGTCCTTCCACGCTCGGCCTCACTAGTGGCAAGCTTTCCACGACATCAATGAGAGTTTCTGTCGAGTGCACGGTCGTGTTGATCAGTGTTGTAAGCCCGTCTGCGTCCTGTGCTCTGGTGATGTGCCGTGAGAACAGCAGAGACTGAAGATCCACGAGTCGCTGTGCTGCCGACTCGGATGATCGTGAAGTTGCTTCTGGTGATGGAGGCATAGTATCGCCGGCAAAGGATTCGGCGTGACTGAACTCGGACGGGTGATCACATCCTGGAATCCAGCTGTCTTCTGTGTTGGTGGGTAAAGAGCCAATCGTCGTTGGGGGTGTAAGTGGCAGGTCATGAGGTTGTGCTACAAGACTTTCATCTTGATGAGCCAAGAATCCCAACGTGTCCGTATCCATCCACTCCGTGGATATCAGCTTCGTGTCGTTGCTTTGTAGGAGTCCGAGTAAAGGGTCCTCGAAGTTGCCAGTCCAGGTTCTATCTTCCTCCGGATGGCTCGGTATGATTCCCATCCCATATTGTTGGAAGTCGCTCGCATCGTGGACGTTGGATGGAAGCACTTCGGGCGGGCTTGTGATTGTTTGAACAGTGGTGTTGCTCGACATTGTCGAGGATCGTCGGAATGTGGTTGATGGGGTTGACTGCGCAGCTTCCGGGTTCAAGCGCTTCTTTGCTGGTCTTCCCATGCGCCGCGGAGGGCTATAGAAACAGTCGATCTGGAGTCGTTGACATCTTTCGCACTTGGCCGCTCCAGTTTCTCTGGAGCAACGGCTCTTGAGAGCACGGCAGCGATCGCAGGCACTTCTTTGAGAGAACAGCATGTTGGCAAAGCGTTCATGTAGATGCACGACAAGGTCGAAGGGACGAGTTGAACTCAGAAGCGCCAGGTGACAACGGCCGAAGTTTATATGACTTCGTTCCTGCGACTTGCGTACTACTCAAAATAAGTCAATTTTGCCAAGACTCTCTCTTAGCCGCGCCAAGTTACCTGCGCCGTTCGACTCATGTCAGGGTTCTGGCGTCTTGCGCGGGGCGCGGGGGACACGTCAGATCTAGATGAGATGTCTCGGTTGAACCTACCCTCCCTTTTGGGGGACTAACCATCATGCGCATTGTCGATTTCTTATTTTAAGGTTTCAGGGAAACTTCCCACGTATGACATTGTCGATTCAGTACTTTGGTACTAGTTTGGCTGTCAAGACTGCGAATTCGACTTGGCAGAGACATTGGCTTTACCGCAACTCTGGAAAAGGTGCCAATCATTCGATAAGTGGGTGGTGTGCAGGTTAACCTGCTGAGTGGGATCGCGTTCCCCTTAGCTCGACTTCAAAGTTCTGACGAGTTCCCAGGGCTCTGCAACCTCGGCGAATGCTATGCAAACTCTCTTTGGAATTGGGGTCCACCGCCTCGCAGTGGTGTGTAACAAAGGTGGTGTGGCCCGGTGAGGCGTTCTAATCAGATCAGAGAAAGCTTCCTTTGATTGCCTGGTAATTACCGAATTGTCAACGCTCCTCGCACCATCATGTCATGTTTTGTTACCCATCTCGCCAAAGGCACGGTGTATCATCAGTCAGGTGTTGTTTGGTGACAGCTTCATGGCTTCCCGTCTTCTAAAAACAACACAGCGCCAAGGCCAAAGCCCCTCCTGTGGGGTCCCTATTTGGGGATCGACTTGGCCAAGAGATTGATAGTGGTTTGGTATAGGAAGAGGTGAAGACTGCATGTGTGTGCATAGCATACCTAGTCAACAAAAGACAGCGAGTCCAAAACGCCCGACCTATTTGGACGCCTCAACTATTCGTACGGTAGGTAGTCTTGGCGGGTTTGAGCTGCTCGAGTCGGCACCTTTGGCCTGTGTGCCCCGCCAAATTGTTGGCCCTGGCCTGTTGCGAGCAAGTAAAATAGGGTTTCTATTTACCCGACTGTCATATTCCCATTAATTCCAGGGATGGTTACCCATGACTGGGCCCAGCCTTGAGCCCGGCGAGCCGCCGAACGTGCTCGACGGCTGCTAGTGTCCGCGGGCGCGGGCAGCGGGCTTCTCCTGCCGCTTGATCGGCGCTTGCAGCACGTGAATCTCTGGCTGTAGGCTGTGGCTAGAATAAGTGACGTTGAAGCATGGCTGGGGCTCTTGGCGGCGAGAGTAAAATAGATTGCTCAAGAAACAACCAAGTGTTCCCCCCTTGGCATTAGGAAAGGGAAACGCGCCTGAGGTAACCTTGAGGGGTTCGCGTCTATCTGTACGGAGGACGGATACATGGTCAAGCTCTCTCCCATCGGGAAACAACCACAATGTTGCGTTGCGTTGCGTTCAGTGTGTATCCGTAAACACACTGACAATGGTGGATTCTGCTTGCGGACTTGTGGAATAGTACTCATTGCGAATTCGGTCTCGGGCATGTCGAAAGCGGCAAAAGCCAGCACCAGAAGCTGTGGGACGACAAGATGAACTCGCAGATCGCGCGAACTCTATCATTGGACTCTCTCGTTTTCGCCAGCGAAGTGTGAACCTGTGAAGCACGGTCCAGTGCTTCCAATCTCACGCTGCGGGCGTGCCGTTGCTCCTTGAGTCAAGCCCAGCGATGTTGTGTCCTTACCTGAAGTCGACCAGCGAGACGGCCCGAGCGCATTGGGCAGCCCAATTTTACCTTTACTCCCGCGGAATACCTCTCAGGTTTGTTTCAGCTTGCCTTGCGGTACCATTTCTAACTAAGTATGGACTTGGGTACGACCGATGAGGCCTAGGAACGAGTCGTTAGGGGTCCCTTTTCAAGGGTAACCACTATTCAAGGGGCCCTCTCAACGGGGTTACATATGGCCGTATCGCACAAGCCATGCTATGCGTAGGTCCTCCTATCCCCGATGGGATGTGAATGCTATGGCAGAATGCTGTGCACCAGCGTATCCGTATACCAGATGAGCTCATTGGGTAGCCGTATCCATGCTCGAAATGCTGTATTCGCACCTGAGCGCTTTCAAGATAGGATAGAATGATGGACTAGGCTCACAACAGCCACGTTACTTTGAGTACATGCGCGACGTCTCCGGACAACCCGAGGTTCAGAGCTCCGGTAGCGCAAGCCGGCGGCACCGTGAGCGATCTGCAATCAATCATGTTATACCCTCGCAAGATGTGGGTTAGGCGTAGCTTAGCTTTACCTAGACTCGACACTTTGACCAGTCATCACGGAATCAGACAATTGATTAAACGCCCTGTTTTTCTGCCATGGCACCCGCTTGCTAGATGTTGACTCTCTATCGCTGTTCATCGCATGATTCGGAAGCATCTGCGAAACCCGAGCCCTTTTAGTCTCGCAAGCTTCGTCCTTTCGTCTCTAATTGACGCGTCAGTCATAATTCGGGTGGTTCCTTCAGGTGAACTTAGATACATCAGACCGGAGAACGCCGTAATATTGTTCCCTATTGCGAAGCTTGTGATTCTTTCAGTTGCCACGGGATAGACGACTGAAGCCTCATTTTCTCTCCTCTGGACCAGCAACATCCCGTCGGGTCCGAGTGCGAGTGATCCATTAGGCTCAACTCTAAATCCAAGGATTCTTGATGAGCAAGCGGGCCGCTATCGAACCACCTCAACCCCGTCGGAACGATTAATCAAGCGACGTATTTTCGTATAGGTATTCCTAAATCATTTTTGCGATACTACCATTGTGTTCTAGGTATGATCAACTTTCAGGACCTTTGCACTCTTTTCTGAGCAAGGAACTTTTGATAGAGCTTGATAACGGCGCTCAACACTAGCAAGGGCCACCTCAAGAATGTCCAATCTTAGAAATGTCAGTGCCCACGAACCTGAGCCTCGGGCTCTCGGCAGTTATCCACGGGCTCGAGTCATTCTCTTTTCTTCGCCTGCTGACTGCCTATTTCTTTTTTGGCCGAATGTCTTTCCACCCCATACCCCACGCGAAGCAGAATGATGCTATAGCCAGACCGAGGGATAGATAGAACTCCTTGTCGATACTCGATACATATGCCAAAAGCACTCCCGGCAGTTCTTCCTCGGGCACGACTTCACGGAACCCGGTTGCCCCGGCCTCAAGAACTATTGACGCATCGACATTCGGCACGAACTTAGGTAAGTCTTGCTTCAGTGCCCCTGTAAAGATGGCGTTACCTACCGCCAGGGCCACAGCTGAACCCATGAACTGAGAAAACGTAACAAATGATATCCCCATTGAAATCTGCTCCGGAGGTAAGTTCGCCTGAATAGCAATGCTTGGCTTAAAGTCATTCTGTTAGCTGGGCTTGCGGTCAGGAACCACTGCATGTGGCAAGCGGGTCTCACCAGTTGTAAAACAATGCCTCGTCCACCACCCGTGATGATTTGATAACCAACCCACTGGGTCACCGAAGTCGTCGGTGTGAGTGACGTGAACAAGCCACTAGCAATAATCGTTGCCGCTGTGCCTGCAACAGCCCACGGCAAATAATACCCGAACTTACCGACTTGAAGGGTGACAAGGACGTTAGCCAAACTCAAATTATATATGGAATAATTCCATAGGCTTCCGTACCTAGCACGCCTCCGCCGTAGGCGAAAGCTAGCTGTGACAAGATGCTTGGCAAAACGTTGATCCCGCTCTGGACCGGCGTGGCGCCTTGTACTGCCTGGAAGTAGAGCGGGAGCAGGTAGATCTGGATCATCGCCGAGCCAACAAAGGTGAAGTTTGTAGCGGCTGCGGACCAGACGGGCCTCTTACCGGCCATTGATGATGGGATGAGCCCGTCATCTCCTTTTCGATAGTTCCAGGCCAAGAATGTTACGAGAGCCACAGCAGAGCCGCAGAACAATCCTATTATCCCGGGGCTGTTAAAAGCATATTCGTTCCCACCAAGTTCGAGGGCCGTGAGGAATGACACCGCAGCGCCAGCACATAGCAAAAAGCCGGTAAAATCTAGATACGTGTGCAATTTCGCAATGACCTCCATAGGACTCGGTTTCTGCACCTGATCGGGAATCTCGCACCATGCCAGAAACAGAAGGACGACGCCGCCAATCGGGAGGTTGATGTAGAATGCTGTTTGAGTTTAGTAGGTGCTCCGCAATACTTAGAGTCGTCTCAACTCGGATGAACTCCATATCTTACTCCAACGCCAATTGGCATAGTCGGTCAGTACTCCGCCAAGAACAGCTATGTGTTAACGTTAGTATTTTTGGCGAGACTTTCTCCTTTCTAGGGTGGGTTTCTGCACGTACGACCGCAAACGCTGCCAGAGTTTGCAACTTTAGTTTGACGTTAGCCACTGCTATGAGGGTCAATAGCATATACGTACGTCCGATGACCAGTCCCATAAGAGCTATTAGACAACTTGAATTAGCCAAGCATTTGTCAGACGAAACTCGCAAGGATTGATCTAACCAGGTCTTTTCTCTAGAGGGACTGATCCGGCGATGATCGTCAGGCCACCACTCATTATGCCCGCACTTCCTATCCCCGCGATGACTCTGCCCACGATCAATATCAAGGACGAAGGCGCAGCCCCGCATACTAGAGATCCAATCTCGAATAAGACTAGGAAGACGAAAAAAGACCACTGCATAAATCAGTTTGGATTTGGAGACGTATTTGCCAAGAGCCGGGAAAGC